GCACAACCCCAGAGGATGCTGCCCCTAAGTTAGTGAGCTGACAACTTGCTCCCATGCTCCCACCCACCCCCATCCCTTCACCCCATGCCTCCTTACCTGTACCTACCATAGCCGTTCAGAGCGCCATGATGCCTCAGGCTGTTGGGATGTGGGAGGAGGAGGGAGAGAGGGAGGGGGGGAGATTAGAGAAGGGATGCCTCTGTTGCGCCCTTGTTCCAGTGCTCCCTCCCTCCTTCAGGCTGCTAGAAGGGGAGGGGGGGAGAGAAGAAGAGAGAGGAGGGAATCAGACAACACACCTGCTACCATACCTCACCTGGTACCATACCTCACTCACGACTCGACCTAACCTAGTCTGCCCCCTAGCCCCCCACCCCCCACTGATTCTGCTGCTGCAACTGCTGCTGCCGGTCTGCTACTCAGCTTCCTCTGCTTCAGTCTTCACCCCATGCCAAGAGACATGGTGGAGTGGGGGAAGAAAGGGGGAAGAAAAGTAATTGAGTTGGAATGACCAGAGAGAGAGAGTAAATAAAACTGCAGCAGACGAAACCGAGAAGGCGAAAATGAAGAGCACAAAAGGGAGAGCGATGAGGGAAAGAGGGGAGGTGACGTACCTTGAGAGGCCAAGCCCACCCCGATACTCTCCCTTGTGGCAGCGACTGGCAGTGCTGCCTCCCTCCCCTCCCTACGGGTACCTGCACGGCCACAGGGGAGGGGCGTGGGGAAGCGTCGGTGTTGACCCCCGCCCCTCCCCTCCACCTGCAAGGCACACACGCAGAGCTGGTCAGTGGGCAGCGAGGGGATGAATGGTGAAAGTGCAAGAGAGGGAACGGCAGTTGCAAGGCGGGAGAGGGGAGGGGCCACTGGTGGAGGCCAAGTCACAAACTGCAGACCCAAGGGCTGCACCTGAGGGGGTACCTGCACACCTGCACCTGAGGGGTACCTGCACCTGAGAGGGTTACCTGAAGTAAGGGGGTCTGCAGCATGTGAGCCGGTCCCAACCAGTGGCGCTGTTTCAAGAGGAAGGTGCGAAAGCGCATGCAAACACGAGATGCAAGCAAAGTACACAAGACATGGCGAGGCAGGCAAGGGGTTGAGGGAACTTAGCTGGCAGATGGAGAACGTTCGAGGGAGCTGTTGCCTCGTCCCTGCTCCCCTCCCCTCCTCCTCCAGTGTGCGTCTCCTGTTGAATGCCAAGTGACCTGGTAGGGGCAGCAGACAGGGGGGGAAGAAACAGCAGTTGAGTTGGCATGACCAGGAAAAACAACAACAGCTGCAGCTAAAAGAAATGAGAAGGCGAAATTGAGGAGCAGAAAGGGAGAGCGATGAGGGCAAGAGGGGAGGTGACGTACCTTGAGAGGCCAAGCCCACCCCGATACTCTCCCTTGGTGCAGCGATTGGCAGTGCTGCCTCCCTCCCATCCCCACGGGTACCTGCACGGCCACAGGGGAGGGGCGTGGGGAAGCGTCGGTGTTGACCCCCGCCCCTCCCCTCCACCTGCAAGGCACACACGCAGAGCTGGTCAGTGGGCAGCGAGGGGATGAATGGTGAAAGTGCAAGAGAGGGAACGGCAGTTGCAAGGCGGGAGAGGGGAGGGGCCACTGGTGGAGGCCAAGTCACAAACTGCAGACCCAAGGGCTGCACCTGAGGGGGTACCTGCACACCTGCACCTGAGGGGTACCTGCACCTGAGAGGGTTACCTGAAGTAAGGGGGTCTGCAGCATGTGAGCCGGTCCCAACCAGTGGCGCTGTTTCAAGAGGAAGGTGCGAAAGCGCATGCAAACACGAGATGCAAGCAAAGTACACAAGACATGGCGAGGCAGGCAAGGGGTTGAGGGAACTTAGCTGGCAGATGGAGAACGTTCGAGGGAGCTGTTGCCTCGTCCCTGCTCCCCTCCCCTCCTCCTCCAGTGTGTGTCTCGTGTTGAATGCCAAGTGACCTGGTAGGGGCAGCAGACAGGGGGGGAAGTAACAGCAGTTGAGTTGGCATGACCAGGAAAAACAACAACAGCTGCAGCTAAAAGAAATGAGAAGGCGAAATTGAGGAGCAGAAAGGGAGAGCGATGAGGGCAAGAGGGGAGGTGACGTACCTTGAGAGGCCAAGCCCACCCCGATACTCTCCCTTGGTGCAGCGATTGGCAGTGCTGCCTCCCTTCCTCTCCCCACGGGTACCTGCACGGCCACAGGGGAGGGGCGTGGGGAAGCGTCGGTGTTGACCCCCGCCCCTCCCCTCCACCTGCAAGGCACACACGCAGAGCTGGTCAGTAAGCAGAAATGGGCGGCTGTGATTTGCAAGGTAAGGATGAATGATGCGTGCATGAATTGACTTCTGCAGTGGCACACCCAAGAGACCTCGTACCAGCTGAACCAAACTAAAGCGAATACCTGAGGCTGTACCAAGAAAAAAGATACCTACTACCTTGGGGGAGGGAGGTCTAATGGGTGTGACAAAGAGCAGTGAAATATGGAGTGTAATGCATGGCGCAAGCATGACAAGCAAAGCAACAAAGTGCAAGGGTTGGGAGAAGAGAGGGTTACTTAGCTGTGGGTGAGTTGGGTGGAGAGCAGCTGCTACCTGTACACTCCATGTCCCCCGCCACTGCCACTCCCGTGTGAGCGACCTGCTGGGACGAGAAGGGGGCAGATCGGGGGAGAGAGAGAGAGGAAGGGAGAAGGGGGGGAAAACAGGGGAGTGAAGGGGGGGCAAAGGAGTGGAGAGAGCAGTGAGGAATGTGGCAAAGATTGAAGTGAGAGCGGAGTGTGCAGCAAGTGCAAGAATGATGCATGCATGAATGGACTGCTGCAGTGGCACACCCAAGAGACCTCGTACCGGCTGAACCAAACTAAAACGAATACCTGAGGCTGTACCAAGAAAAAAGATACCTAATACCTTGGGGGAGGGAGGTGTAATGGGTGTGACAACGAGCAGTTAAATGGGGAGTATGATGCATGGTGCAGGGATGGGTGAGCAATGGAGAGAGGAAGGGAGGCGAGGCGAGGGTACTTATCTGCGCGCAGGGGGAGAGGCAGGTGGATGGCGAGTGGAATGGCGAATGGGGTGGGTCGTCCAGCGGTGGTGCTTGCGATGCGAGTGAACGCCACGCACGCTCCAAGGAACAATGCAACAGCTTCGACAACGTTTAAAGGACGGACCATGAACGAAACGCGTGCGATTGCGGCGAAATGAACTGATGTAACGAAAGGGTTGACGGCTTACCGCGGAATGGCGATGGAGGGAGCAGGCGAAGGGGGTGGTTGCTGCATGGCCGTGGGTGGGCGGATGGACGACGCGTGGCGAGTGGAAAGCAGCTGCAGTGGAGGCGCGCGGAAGGATGGCGAGTGCGATTTGAATGATGACCACGATTCTCGAGAATTGCTTCATGCTTGACCTGAAACGGGAAACGGAGAACGAGATCAGTAGTGTCAATCGCTGATCAGGAATTGATGCCTACCGCATATTTGCGACTATCAGGACGCACAACATACAAAACGATCAGGAAAATCGGCATGAGAAGAAATCCAGAATAAACGTACGGATCAGGTTAAAGTCGCGACGCGACGTGGAGGCGACGAATCGACAACGTGACGTCACGCGACGCCGGCGATCGATTAAACGTGCAGCCTCGCACGGAATTTCAGCAGCAACGACGTCGAACGACGGAAAATCGTCAACACGCCCGCGATCGAAGGAATGAATCGGCTTCCGCGTGCCTAATCTGACGACGAGTAGGAAATGCCGTGAAGATCGATGGAAGCGCAGCTGAAAAGGCTTCGGCGAAGGCCAGTTTCGTGTGACGAGAGTGCAGAAGAGGAGGCGACGAGCAAGTGGAAATGTGCACAAGTGAACCAAGAGTCGTAGACTAGCCACACTGAATGAGCCGCGTAAACTAGCCGAGCTGAACGAGATTGGGGAAAAAAGCTAGGAGCGAAAAGGAGAAAGGGAGGTGCGAAATGCGGAGGGAGAGGTGGAGGCAGAAGTTTGGGTGGGAGCGTGGCAATGCGCAAGCGAGAGTTGCGTTCGCATGCTCAACTTGGGTTGGGCCCCCTCGGGGGGTGCGTAGAAAGCCGTTGCGACGAATACTTTCGATCGCGAAAATGTGAAAATTCGAACGCGATCGTCCGAGTCAGCAGCGCCTAAGCCACATGGCCGGTTGAAATCAACCCAGGGGGCCGAAGTGAGTGACGTGGGTTGCCTATCGACCCCAAACGCTGCCAACTAAGCTCAGATTTTCCTTGGGGGGTCACTAAGCCGTCGTGAGGGTTGAAAGAGCGCGAAAGGAGGTGGCTCGAAGGGGTAATATCCGCGGCGGGCCGAAGCGCGGCGAATATTAGTGGCGAAAAGTAGGATGAGAAGGAATGGCTTGCTGGCTAGTGGTGGCAGATCTGGCGGGAGGGAGGTGCGGGTGTCAGTGGGAGCAGCGCTGCCAGAATTTGGATCAGAATGTTGGGAGGGACGAGCATTGCCAGCGGATTCAGTTCGGTTCCTCGAGGTACACCACAGCGATTCTTGGAGGACTGCTACATTTATAATATACGGTGTATTCTTTCAATTATCATAAATAAAATATACTGGTGATTAGAGTCACTATCTACATGGAAATATGGTATGTACTATTGACGCTGTACATTTACTAATATGATGGCTATTTGATTGGTGTATCGCTGACCTGAGCCAATGCTGCATTGGAATTTCGATAACACCTTATTCAAATTCGTCTGTGCAGTGATTTTGTTTGCAACTCCATCAGTAGGCAGGCCGCAGACTGATGTGTATGTGGAGGTGGAAAAAAAAAACTAAAAAGGTTGTACATATGGGAATAGGGGAAAGGAGCATGAGACCGAAGCATGGCTATGGATGCTAAGTAAAATGAATGGGGGGGGAGGAGGAGCGGGAGAGTGAGAGAGAGGGGCAAGGCATAAGTATTCAGGGAACTGATGCACCAACTACAATGGTCTAGCAAAGTGATTAGCATTATCGCTAAAAAAGACAGTTGTGTCTTTAACTACAGTTGTGTCTTCTCACGTGCTGCTGCCTCTGCCTTCTCCCACTCCATCTGCGTCCAATCGCACAAACATACAAGAAAGCAAAAGCGCATATCCTTAGTCATGAGGTGCTTGGCCAGGTGCTCAAAATATGACAAGACAGACGATCACAAGCTTTGAAGAAGGCCAATTCCATGCCTTACCTCGATCTCACTGATTTCTTAATCTCCAGATCATGCATTCCTTCCTCTCCACATTACACACCAGCCCTTGCTCTCCACACATACCTTTGCGCGCTCCATCTTCGAAACATGCTTCTTCAAAGTGTCGCCCAACCCCACGCCACCCCACGCATCCTCCACCCTGCCACCGCCTGTCTTCCCCGAACAGCTGCCGCCCGTCACAGCACCGCCACCATTCCCCGCCTCCCCCACGCACTCCCTCAGCGCCCTTGCCTCCATCAGCTCCCTCTCCAGCCGTGACATCTTCTTCACTCCCTCTCCCAGCCCCAACCCCTGCTGCTGCTTCTGCTGCTGCTGCTGCTGCTTCTGCCGCAGAGTGCCCGTTTTCCACCCCTTCACCCGTACCACCACTCTCCCCGCTGCCACCATCTGCACTCATCTTCTCGTTCTCATTCCCCTCCACTCCGCCTTCGCCATTTCCTTCACCAGTAACCGCAGCATGAGCAGCAGCAGCATCAGTCGTTGCTACCTCCCCGCCCTGCACTGCCCCTCCCTTCACCGCTGGCTTCTTCAGCACATCTGCCAGCCCACACCCACCCCAGCCTGCGTCCACAACAGCATCAGCACCAGTATCAGCGCCAGTACCACCACCAGACCCTCCTGCGCCTCTCGCCCACGCTGCTGCCGCCTCCTTCTCCCGCTCCAGCCTGCTCTTATGCTTCACCAGCATCTCTCCCATCCCAGGCACCGACCCCTCCTCCACCCTCTCCCTCCGCCCTCCCTTCGGCCCACCATCCGCCCTACCCCCCTCACCCACCCCATTTGCCCCTACCACACCGCTACCACCGCCGCCCGAACTTTCCCCCCACCGCTTCCTCTCCTCCTCCATCTCTCGTTCCAGCTTGCTCTTATGCCGCACCACCAGCATACTATCCAGCCCAGGCACCGACCCCACCTCCACCCTTTCCCTCCTGCCCGCCCCTTTCCCTGCCGCTACACCACTACCTGTACTCTTCCCACCAGTTGATCCCCACGCCGCTTTAGCAGCCTCTGCCGCCTCTTCTTTCTCCCGCTGCAGCCTACTCTTGCCTTTCACCAGCATAGAATCCAGAGAAGGGACTGATCCCACCTCCACCCGTTCTCTCCTACCCACCCTGGCCCCACCCGCGCCACCAGAAGCAGCAGCCCCTGCGCCTCGTCCTTGCGCCTTTCTCTCCGCCTCGCGCGCTGCAGCCAGCTCCCTGTCAATCCGCGACACGTGCTTTATGCCGCTGCCTAGCCCCTCCGCTCCCCACCCAACGTTCACTCCGCTCACACTCTCCCCTCCTTTCTTCTCCGTCTTGGCCTTCCTCCTCTCCTCCTCCTCCCTCTTCCTCTCCTCCACTGCTGCAGCTTTCTCCCGCTCCAGTCGCGATAGCTTCTTCACCAAAATACTCCCAAGGTCACCACTGCCATTATTAGTTTCCGCTTTCCCCCCACTTGATCCGCCAACTCCCGCCTCCTTACCCTGCGCAACACTCCGCTCCGCCTTCTCCGCCTCCCCCGTTCCGCCTGCAACCCCCACGACCCTACTCGTTCCCGCCCCAGCTAGCGCGGAACCCGCCTCGCCCGTTCCGCCAATCTGAGACAGCGCGGCGAGCGACTGGCGGCGGGAGGCGGAGGCGGAGAACGACTGGCGGCGGCCGTTCCGCAGCCCCTGCAGCAGCCCGTTGACCATTCCGCGCGACGCCACGATGGCGGCGAGCGCCGTGCGCTGGTTGCGGTTGAGCGCAAGCACGCGCTCAGCGATCACTGCGGGGACATCCATCTCCTCCTCGCCCTCCTCCTTTTCCCCCTTCTCCTGCTCCTCATCCTTCCCCGTATTACCCTCCTTCTTTTCTTCCTCCTCCTTCATCGGCAGCTCTTCCTCCTTCTCCCGCATTTCCGCTCCCGCTGCCACCGCCCCTCCTTCTTCCGCTCGCGCTTCCGCCGTCGGCTCCTCCGCTGCTGCCGCCTGTGCAGTCGCAGTTGATGCTGCCGCCGCGGCGTCTCCTACTTCCAAACTAGCCTCCGCAGCTTCTCCCTTTATGATCGCATGCCCCTGGGACTCATTCTCGTCAGACACCAGCTCCTCTTTCTCCACCCCCAGCTCTCCTGCCTTCCCCTCTGCGTCCTCGCCTTCTCCTGCTTCTCCCGTTCGCGTACCCTTCTCCTCGCCTGCCTCCTTCCCATCTTCCCCAGTTTCCCCTCCGCCGTCGCCCTTCCCAACCTTCACACAGCCACCTTCCCGACCCCGCACCTCCTCTTCCCCTTCCCGCTCGTCGCCCTCCTTCACCTCCCAGTCAACGAAGTCAACGATGCCGTCCGCGGCGCGGATATTCCCCACACGCGACAGCGCTTTCATAACCGCCAACACCACCTCCTTCTCCACAGCCTGCGCGGTCGACACTGACGTCAGGATGACGTCGCGAGAGCTCAAGGCGCCGGCAAGCGCGGACGCCGCCATTAACTCGTCGTCCTCGGCGCTGGCGGCGGCTGCTGCGGCGGCGGCGGAGAAGGCCGAGCTTCCAGCGGCGGCGGCGCGGGGACTGCCGCTTCTGCTCCTGCTAGTGACGGCATGATCGAGAATAACGCCGAGCTTGGCGGCCTCGACTACCGCGTCGTGTGCCTCATCCTCCGCTTTCGAAGCCACCTCGAGAGCGCCGACAGACGGGATACTGCCGACGGGGACCACAAGGGGAATGATTTAAAGGAACCAGATGAAATCGCCAATGTTAGTATTGGATGATGAAGCAGCACAAATGGCAAGCATAACAATCATTGACACGTTTCAAGAACTTCAAAAGAGCGAACAGGCAATGATTATAAGGAAACGGGGACCCCGGGGACCCCGACGGGGACCCCGGGGGGAATGATTCGAAGGAAACGGGTATCGCATTATAGCACGAATGGCTCGCACAAGAAATATTGACACGTATTCAGATAAACACGAGTGTGCTCGTGAGGGAGTCGAGTCACGAACGGCAAAAGAGCGAAAAGGCAAGTCTTCTTACCCTGCTGCGTCGAGTATGCGACACCACGAAGCTTCCACGAGAGCCACCTGGCGTAGCTGCGAGGCGCGCTTGGCAGCCATGGCAGCCTCCTGCTTCTCCCGCTCCAGCCGACCCAGCTTGCTCGGAATCAGCAGCTGCTCCAACGGCGGCTGTGGTCCCACTTCCTCCTGCGACGACCAGAGCATTAGAGAGGGGGATCCAAGGATGCGTCAGTCGAGGAGGCAGACAGCTAGTGAAGAAATAAACCCGCGAAAACAGTAACCTAACGATCAGACTGCTGCTATGGAAGATGATAAGTTGAAGACGGACGCCGGAATGGACTTTCACTGAACAGAAGGAACACCCCCCTGAGAATGACTCAGCAGCAACGGATGGAAAGGTCGTGGTGGAGGGTCGCACCTGCAGCTCTCGCAGTCTCCGCGTAAGGTACGGCTCTATCTTCACCCGCGGAAACCACGCCGGCTGCGGGGACACGACCGGAGCCGTTCTGGCGCGAGTCGCGCTGCCAACCAAGTTCTTGTGACCACCCGACGGCGTTGACTCGTTCGCGGTCTGCGGCGCAGCGCTCTCGTCGTGCGAGCGTTGGGGGCTCGGCGGACTCGCTACGATTGGGACGCGCATTGGCTTGATTAACGTGCCCGGGTTCAAGATTTCGCCGTTGCTTGCGACCCTGCTTGCACGGTCATCTGACGGTGCAGCGGGATCAGAGACATGAGGCTCGGGAATTACCATTTCGGCAACTTCATCGTGTCCGTGGATTAGATTCTCGGGATTCGAATTCAACGGCTCCGTCATGCTGGATTGTGTCACTGCGGGAGGAGTTCGACAGGACGACTATGCATGAAAAGAAGTGAACAATGCTTGTCCCCTCCAAACAAACTGCGCAGCAGCGGGCAGTCACAGCGTCACCGCTATCAATAAGGTAGATGGACCACAGTTGATCTAGTATCCCTTCATGGAAGTGAAAAGGCCTGAACAGGAAGTAATATTCTTGTGAATCCTACTGTCCTGGCAATTCTAAAACCTGACGCAGTTCCAGCAATTCCTCTAGGCTGAAGAATTCAGAAAGCAAGGGATTTCCCTCTTGGGCTCTGGCAGGCCAATTCCCGAAGCGCCATCACCCCAATGCATTTTTCCTCCTGCCAATCTCGCGCCCACGCCTGCCATGCCAGTCGTTTCGCGCCCAAATCTCGGGGTCTGGCGGGAAGCTGGGCCTCTGCCATCCATCGCCTTGTGGTCAGTCTCGATAATATCTCTACTGTTCATGCTTACACAAGGGGTCTTTGAATGTGAACAGAATTATCGCAATACATAATTATGTCAATTACAAAGCACCTACGGCTGCATCTATAAATTCTACCCACATGCCAACCATTCTCCTACAGCTCCCTTGATACTACATCACCATCAATAAAAACCAGTTTCCAGTATGGCAGGATAAACTACTTGTCCTTGGAGCCAGAAGAACCCAAACTCACTGAGGCAACAGACGAAGTAACAGAAGAAACGGAGGATGCAACTCCCTTTAGCATCTTCAGGGCACCACCCCATGCAGAGGTGCTGCGCTTGACAGCATCCGTGCCAGATGATGGGTAGACAAGCACAGGGCACGGTGCATTATGCAGAAGGTGCTGGGACACACTTCCCATCATTGCTTTCTGGAAGGGGACACACATGGTGAAGGAAAATGCAGCACACATATATGATATATGAGCTTCATTCGTATGTGAGTTGATTGAGACACTGATTTTGCCACTCTCATCATCTTCAATTCTCTTCGTTTTGTTTGACTTTTGAAAACCGTGAACCTCTCTAAAAGTGACGCTGAACAATATGAAAGAGAAGTTCGAGGGATAAGAAAGAGAAACAACGGAAGGGAAGGTGTGGAGCAATAGGGATACGAGACAGGGCAAGGGAACCGTGACATGCTTCTAAAACGAGGGGCGACAATTGCGGTGAACATAAACTCACACTCACACATCAGCATAAGATTCAGTGAGAGCGGTCTTGCCCTGGCCAGCACAAGATTCAGTGAGCGCCGTACCGTGAGAGCGGTCTTCCCCTGGCCAGCACAAGATTCAGTGAGCGTCGTACCGTGAGAGCGGTCTTGCCCTGGCTGCCGACGATGATGAAGTCCACAAAGTCCTCAGCGGCGCGGTTGCACAGCACGTCGCGTGGGTCTCCCTCGCCCAGCATCGACTCCACCTGAATGCCCGGGTGAGCCGCCTTCACCTCCGCCGACGCCTCGTCCAGCAATTCCCCTGCCTTGGCTGCAATACTTGACTCCGATCGTTGGAACTCGGCGCTGGAAGCTGGAGTGAACAACAAAGATTTTGAGGAGAGAGCAAGAGGTACATCGATATAAGACGTGAGGATACATCGACATATTTACAGTCAAATGGGGAAACACACGCATCTTCAATAAATACGGGGACTTAGCTGATGCACAAAAGACCACACCAGCAAAACTGACAACAGTCCCGCTTCTTTTGAAGCGAGCAACTGCAGCGCATTGTTAACGTGGATGGAAAACCCAGGGCTTCTCCGCTCTCAATAATGTACGGAAGTGAAAAAATATTACCGTCAAATTTCGGCCTGACGAACATGATGATGACGTAGTCCGTCTTCGGATCAAAAATGTTATCTATGGAATAACTCATAGCCTTCTTGCTTGCCTCGCTACCATCTACTGCAATCAGAATGACTCGCATCCATGTCGGACGGCCCGACTTAGTTGCCATTTGAATGCTAGCGGATGAACGGTGCTACTAGAAGTATCAGAGCACTAGAACCGACGTGGTGGTCGAGCTCTTCCGTACGCAACTAAGGAACACGTGTTTTACGCGTGGCGTTCAAACACGAAGACTCTGTTCCAGGAAAATAGCAGAGCAAATGGGAGATTCCCAAGAAGCCGAAGTCAAATGGGTAGGTTTGAGCTTGAATCACTGAACTCAAGCGATAGAGAGGTTTTGTATACGTGTATGGAGCACACAGGGGTCCAGCCAAAACCCCCCCACACAAGGTCCTTCATTTACAGCTCAAGCAGCTCAACCAGACGCACACCACCGCCGCCAAGCCATCCTTCGGTCACCCTGCCTTATCCTGATCAGAACCGTGGTCGCATGTCGCAGGCGACCCTTCCACCTGATTCCAGCGATTTTCCCGCGCACGGATCTGTGAAGGTAGGGGCCTGGTTGCAAGATGACGGTAGGCGATTTTGTGTGCGAACTTTCTCCGTCGTCTGACTGATCACTACCTCTTGATGGGAGCAAACGATTTGAACTTCCTGCCCGTCAATCTCAACGATGGCGGCGGTTCGTATCGTGGAATGTTCAAGGATGAACGTTCTTGGGTGTGCTGGCTTTGACGACATCCCAGGACCAGGAGACGTCAGCGACGACGTGGATTGAACCCTCGGTGATTGCTGGTTCGTCAATAACGAACTGTGATTGGGTTGACGAATAATAGGGGTATGAGCGGCTGACCAACCCGTGATCGGAAACGACACCACATGGCACTCCAATACGATGTGGCAGCAGCTCACGGATCAGGAGTCAGGACACAAGTCAAGCATTATTTTACGGGCATTTATCTGAGCGGTAACACTCTTGGAGCTCGATTGCACGCGAGGTAAGCTACGTGTCGAAATCGTAACAGAGATGTCTTCTCATCGCCACCATGGTAACCAGGATTGCCGAGATGGTCAGCATTATTGCCTGGATGGTAATGAACAGTGCATCCGGAAATCCTGGCTGGTAACTTCACGTCCCAACCAAACTGTACACCGTACAAGAAACTGTAAAGAAACTGACTACACGTTCCACGTCAGATTTGACTCAGCAAAAAGAAACTGACTGTCCGCGTACACACCCACAGAATGCGCAATTCTCTTTATAATAGCGGCCTTTACAATCCGCGACAGTGAAACCTCGATATGCAGAATTGTAATCCGTAAAAAACAAACAAACAAACATTAAACATTTATCATAGAATTAAACGCCACAAAAAACACACACACAATGTCAAACCGCAAAGCTATCCTAGATTTTTTTTAAGTTATTTAAACTTACCAGAAATATAATTCCGAAATGGGAGAAGACCAAGTAGCAATATTTTTAATATGAGCTGAACAATATCATTTTTTTTGCAAATGACAGATAGTAAAAGTTGCATAAGAATGAAAACTTTTTTTATATAATACACCATGCATTCAAGGCTTGATATAAACTGTATGAACAATTGATTTCATCCCAGTTTTTTAATAATCAGGCTACATCTGTTTTTCATGAGTGTCCATAAGATATTTGCTATAATAGTGATAGTTAAATATATCGAATGCGTGCATGTAACTTTTCGCGTTTGTAAGCGTTCGTATACTAAGGAGAATTGCGCATTCTGTGGGTGTGTACGTGGACAGTTAGTTTCTTTTTGCTGAGTCACACCTGACTTGTCCGGTGTACAGTTTGGTTGGAACGCGAAGTTACCAGCCAGGATTTCCGGATGCACTGTTCATTACCATTCAGGCAATAATGCTGACCATCTCGGCAATCCTGGTTACCATGGTGGCGATGAGAAGACATCTCTGTTACGATTTCGACACGTAGCTTACCTCGCGTGCGATCGAGCTCCATGATTGTTACCGCTAAGATAAATGCCCATATTATACATCTTATATGAACCACTTCTACATCTTCTTTATGATATGAGTCTCAAAAGGCCCTGTGAGACACAATACTTTGAATAAGACCAATGTATAGGGGCTCGTGGTGCTAAAAAAGCTTTCCAACATACATTTTTTATCATTATTTACGTATTAATTGGTTATTTTCGTGCTAGGCAGATTGGGTCTGCCATATCATAACCTTGTTATCTTCTGCTTAACTGTAGTGCAATTCTTTTGTTTATAAGACAGATGACAGTTTTGCTGTGGGTTTCTGCATCTCCACAGCAGGCTATCGCGCAAAAGCGAGCCAAAAGTGTCCAAAAGCTGCCGCAAGCTGCCTCAAGAACCGATTACAGTTCCCCTGAAACAATCTGTACTGCGTCCATGGCTACGTTTCGTGCGCTGAATGCGGGGAGCAGACGCGGACGAGGCCGGGATGCGTCCCGCGCCACCAATTTGCCCCATGCGGGGGATAGCGGTAGCGGGAACGTAGCGCCGACGAGTTCGCTAGCGGCGGATACGGAGAAGCTGTACTTTGATAGCTACGCGAACCTAGGGATTCACCAGGAGATGATCCAGGTGGGTTCAGATTATCGACCAGGGCTACTCAGATGTGGGTCTCAGTTACTCGAGATTTGCGTTTCAAGCGAGGGTTTTCCCTTCATTGTATGGGATCACGACCGTTTCTCGTTCGAATTCCTGGCTTTCGTAAGATGACGAGACAGCGAGAACGCGACGTACGTCCCTTGCATGAAGCGAAACTGTCCCACTAAACCCCGAACCCTGCACCCCGATGTCGGGGCTGCTCTTTAAGCCTACCGTCCTTCGTCTCCTGTGTCACGGTCGATTAGGTCTAACACGCTGCTGAATGTGAGGTGTATTCCGGAGGACTATTTTCCTCCGTTTCTAATTTACAAGAGCCAAGCGTTTCATTCCTCCCTTTCTTCCCCTTCTCCTACCCTCCTCTTTTTCCCGCCTCCTCTATCCATCTATCAACCCCCATCCCCCTTCCTCTCCCCTTCTCTCCCTCCCCACTCCTCCCACCTCCGCGCAGGACGAGGTGCGCACGTGCGCGTACCGTGACGCGCTGATGCGGCACGCGGATCGGATCCGCGGGAAGGTGGTGGTGGACGTGGGGTGCGGCACCGGCATCCTCAGCATCTTCGCCGCGCGCGCGGGCGCGAGGAAGGTGATGTTCGCGCACGGGGGGGAATGCAGAGGGGGGAGCGCAGGAGGGGAGCGCAGTGGGGGAGCGCAGTGGGGAGCGGAATTTACGGTAGGGACTTACGAAGGATGGATGTAGTATGGAGCTTACAAGAGGGGTGTTTGGATAGACAGGCAAGAAAGGGACCGAGGGAGTGATTGGTAAGAGACGACAGAGAGAAGTAGGTGGAACACATGCGGAAACCATTACTTGTGCACACACGTCACTTCTGCTCCTTGCTCACTTGTGCTGGTGCAACTCATCATACACTTCACTTGTTCACCAGGAACGTACACAGCTCAGCACTCTTCACATACGTGCGTCTCAGTTCACTCTCTCTCTCGCGCTTTCTCTCACGTGCGCAATCTCCTCGTCTCTGCTCCCCCCCTCCCTCCTCTTCCCCCCTCCCTCCGCTCCCCCACGCCCTCTGTCATGTGTGGCGCCCTCCCTCATGCCCGCAGGTGTACGCAATAGACGCCAGTGACATTGCCATTCATGTGAGATGCTCCTCTGCTCTTCCTCGACCCATCACCCTGCCACACACGTGCCCTGCCTCACGCCCTTCTCATTCCCTTCCCGTGCCCTTCCCACACCCTTCCCATGCCCTTCCCACACCCTTCCCATGCCCTTCCCATGCCCTTCCCATGCCCTTCCCATGCTCCCATGCTCACTCTCGTTTGAGCTCACTCACTCACCCTCGTTCTCTCTCACTCATCCCTCACGCACACCTCGCCCCTCATCCCCACCAGGCACAGCAGGTGGTGCAGGCCAACGGGCTGGCTGACGTCATCACCGTCCTGCACAAGAGAGTGGAGGTGAGAGGCAGTGCAGGGGACGGCAGGTGGTACGTGGGGAGGTGGAAGGTAGGGAGGGGGGAGGTGGGGTGGGGGGAAGTGAGGATGGAAAAGGTGGGGGAGTGGAATGTGAGACTGCTGCATCTAGTGTTACTTTCCTCCTTGTTCGCTTGCTTAATTCTCACAATGAGCTGCAGCAACGGTTCCCATAAGCTTTCCTCAACAGTGCCTGTCTTTTCGTCTGTCTGTCCGCTGCTCTGCTCTGCATTTGTCCTCCTGCCTATGAGTGTACGTCTGTGTGCATGCGTGTGCGGGCGTGCGGTGCATGTGTGTGTGGGTGCGTGCATGTGTGTGTGTGTGTGTGTGTGTGAGAGAGGGCGCCAAGAGCAGGAGGTGGAGTTAGAGGAGAGGGCGGATGTGCTGGTATCGGAGTGGATGGGCTACATGCTGCTCTACGAGGTCACCCTTCCATCCTTTACTCCATGCCTTCCCTATCACCCCCACGCTCCCACCCTCTTGTTCCATTTTGGCACTTGATCTCTTCATCTCCATTTGCATTCCTCTCCTTTCCCCTTCCACTCCCACTCGTTATCCCATCTTGATGAAACCCTCTCTCCTTTCCTCTGCCGCTGCCTCTGCTCCTGCCGGTACCTCTGTCTGTGCGATCAGACCATGCTGCCTGCAGTGATAACGGCCAGGGACCGCCTGTTGAAGCCAGGAGGGCTCATCCTGCCATCGCATGCCACCGTATGTACGTCGCCATGCCATGCCATGCCATGCCATGCCATGCCAGGCCATGCCATGCCATGCCATGCCATGCCAGGCCATGCCATGCCATGCCATGCCATGCCAGGCCATGCCATGCCATGCCATGCCAGGCCATGCCATGCCATGCCATGCCAGGCCATGCCATGCCATGCCATGCCATGACATGCCATGCCAGGCCATGCCATGCCATGCCATGCCATGCCAGGCCATGCCATGCCATGCCATGCCATGCCATGCCATGCCATGCCATGCCATGCCATGCCATGCCATGCCATGCCATGCCATGCCATGCCATGCCAGGCCATGCCATGCCATGCCATGCCAGGCCATGCCATGCCATGCCATGCCGTGCCATGCCATGCTGTACCATGCCTTGCCCATGTCAGAGGCCATTACCCAGGCCCACATCCCACTCTTCCACCAACACCACCGTCCTTCCTCTCATTGCATTGTGTCTCATGTCCCATGCGCCATACCACAACCATACCCCATGTGTGCAGCTGTTCATAGCGCCGGTGTCGTGTGAGGACCGCTTTCAGGACGGCACAGCCTTCTGGAGCGACGTGCACGGCATCGACAGTGAGTGAGGCCGCCCTGCATGCTGCTTGCTTGCACTCCTCGTATTGATATCCACGGCAAGTGATTTTCTCATTGCTCTTCTTTCTTTCTTTCTTTCTTTCTTTCTTTCTTTCTTTCTTTCTTTCTTTCTTTCTTTCTTTCTTTCTTTCTTTCTTTCTTTCTTTCTTTCTTTCTTCGATGGCATCAACAATCGGCCCGTGCAACTTTCACCTTGTCACTTTTGTAACTCTCATCTAGTCACTCCCATCCCTTCACTCGCATCCCATCACCCCTTTTTCAACCATACCCACCTTTCCTCCCACTCTCCTCCTCTCTTTCGCCCCCCTCTTATTCCCCTTTTCCGTACACTCCACAGTGACAGCGCTGGTACCCTTGGCAAAGCGGTGCTATTTCTCAGACCCCTGTGTGGAGAACATTACAGCAGAGCACGTTCTAGGGGAGCCCTCTGTGGTGAGATGCAGGGGTCGAGAGGGGTGCTCAGAGGTGGATAGGGGCGGATTTGGGTTGAGATGAGTGGATAAGGGCGGATAAAGGGTGTGGTGCAGGGTGTGGCACACTTTGTGTGTTGAGCAGAGGGGGGTGTATTGAGCAGAGGGGGGTGTATTGAGCAGAGGGGGGTGTGTTGAGCAGAGAGGGGTGGACAAGGGGGAAAGACAGGGAGGACAGACAGTGGTGGGGCGGACAGACAGGGAGGGGCGGACAGACAGGGAGGGGCGGACAGACAGGGAGGGGCGGACAGACAGGGAGGGGCGGACAGACAGGGAGGGGCGGACAGACAGGGAGGGGCGGACAGACAGGGAGGGGCGGACAGACAGGGAGGGGCGGACAGACAGGGAGGGGCGGACAGACAGGGAGGGGCGGACAGACAGGGAGGGGCGGACAGACAGGGAGGGGCGGACAGACAGGGAGGGGCGGACAGACAGGGAGGGGCGGACAGACAGGGAGGGGCGGACAGACAGGGAGGGGCGGACAGACAGGGAGGGGCGGACAGACAGGGAGGGGCGGACAGACAGGGAGGGGCGGACAGACAGGGAGGGGCGGACAGACAGGGAGGGGCGGACAGACAGGGAGGGGCGGACAGACAGGGAGGGGCGGACAGACAGGGAGGGGCGGACAGACAGGGAGGGGCGGACAGACAGGGAGGGGCGGACAGACAGGGAGGGGCGGACAGACAGGGAGGGGCGGACAGACAGGGAGGGGCGGACAGACAGGGAGGGGCGGACAGACAGGGAGGGGCGGACAGACAGGGAGGGGCGGACAGACAGGGAGGGGCGGACAGACAGGGAGGGGCGGACAGACAGGGAGGGGCGGACAGACAGGGAGGGGCGGACAGACAGGGAGGGGCGGACAGACAGGGAGGGGCGGACAGACAGGGAGGGGCGGACAGACAGGGAGGGGCGGACAGACAGGGAGGGGCGGACAGACAGGGAGGGGCGGACAGACAGGGAGGGGCGGACAGACAGGGAGGGGCGGACAGACAGGGAGGGGCGGACAGACAGGGAGGGGCGGACAGACAGGGAGGGGCGGACAGACAGGGAGGGGCGGACAGACAGGGAGGGGAATGAGAGGGGCCGTCTGGTGGGCGGAGGAGATGTGATGGTTGACAAGCTGTGGAGGGGCTGCCTCAAATGCTCCGTGGTGCTGCAGGGTTCTGAGGCGCCTCAAAAGTCTTCGAGTCAACAGAAGGAGATTGTGCTGCATTCGTGTGTTTAACAACATTTGCGTGCGTTTGTGTGTCTGTGTCTGTCTGTGTGTGTGTGTGCGCGTGCACGCGCGATGGTGAGGCGAGCAGGTGAAACGTATGGACTGTGCGACGGTGACAGAGGAGGAGCTTCAGCTTGTAGAGGCGGACTTCTCTTCCAAGTCCATGATCGTGTGTGAGTGGGTAGTGGGTCATGCTGGTTGAATTGCAATGCACAATCCGACCATGAGTCCCTGTCCCTGCTAGCACCGTACCGGTCAAATGACCCACACCTCCTTACTTCCCATTAACGTCGCAACTCTTTTCTCCCACCACCTTCACTCCCCGCATGTGCTCCTCTCATTCCTTGTCTCCCCTCCTCTATCTATCACGTGCCTTGTCCGTGCAGCCCCACTGACCGGCTTTGCCTTCTGGTTCTCCGTGGAGTTCAACAACCATCCACCCCCGATTGCTGCTCCCACCCTCTCCCAACCATCTGCCGCCTCTCCTGCTCCTCCTGCTCATGCTGAGATTGCTGATGCGCCATCGGATGGTTCTGTTCCCATCCGTGCTGATGCTGCCGCCGCCCCTGCATCTGCTGCCGCTGCTGAACCTCCTTCTTCTTCTGCTGCTGCTGCTGCTGCTGCTGCCGGCTCCGTTGCTGCTGCTAGTCCAGAGGGAGACAGCACAGACGCCATGGTGACAGACAGTGTAGTGCTGTCTACAGCACCGGAGGACACACCAACACACTGGATGCAGGTGACCACCATCGCCTTCTCTTCTCTCCTCGCACGTCTGTGGGTTAGGCAAGGCACCTTGATGAAGATGTGGTAGGCGTGTCTTCCTTTCCTTTCGTCCCCTTGCATGTGTGTTTCATGCATACTTTCGTTGACACGCCAACCAACACACTGGCTTCAGCCGAAACCCCCTGTTCCCGCTCATCCTCTCCTAGCCTCGCATCCTTGTAATCTCTCCTCTTGATCTTCACTCGTCCCGTCTCCTCCCCTCGCATCTCCTCATCTCTCCACATGTCCCTCTTCCCCAACTTCATCCTTCCCCACCTCTCCCTTCCCTCCTTTCCCCCCTCGCACCAAACCCCGTTCTTCCCTAAATGCACCGCCATCCTTCTTCCTTGCTTGTGTGCCATGCCCATGCGGGTCAGACGGTGCTGTATGTGAGGGAGATGTACAGTACCTCGTTCACAAGGAGTTCTTAGCCAACTCACAAGTCATTCTCCCTTGAATATGTGCCATGCCATGCCCATGCGGGTCAGACGGTGCTGTATGTGGGGGAGATGTACCCGTTCACCAGGAGTTCTTAGCCGACTCACAAATCAAGTCATTCTCCCTTGAACGTGTGCCATGCCCATGCCAACCAGACGGTGCTGTATGTGGGGGAGATGTATCCTGTTCACCAGGATGATGTCATCAGTGGCCACGTCACCATTGCTCCCAATAAGGAATGCGCCCGCTTCCTCGACATCAATCTGTCCTACCAGTAAGAGCTTCCACACTCACACACACTCACCTTCGCTAACCCCCGCCACGTCCTTGCAATTCTTGCAATGCAACTACCGTACTTCCTTACCGTCCTGCTGTGTATTCTTGAAGCACGTTATCCATACTCAATGCCATTATCCTATGGAACACGAGTGCTAGTACTTATGTTCGAGTTCGATGCCATGATTTCCCTATGCTGCTCCCCTCCGACTCCACTCATGCTACGGTGTTGCACTATCATTCTCTTGCCAATGGTGTGGGTGCTTCAGGACTCCTACCACGAGTGGTTCCAAGACTTTCACAATGCGCTGATGAAAGGAGAATGCACAATGCATGAATGATTTTTCTGCGCCTTACATGGAGAAGGTCTGGAAACTGGTTCATGAAAGTGGCTCTCTTTTTTTGTTCCCCTAGTTATGTGGATTCACCTGATTAAACACATGTCCCCCATATCAAAGGCTAGTTGGTGTAGTGTGGTGAGCGCAAATGTACAGTACCACGTGATATTGCCCGAGTTCCTTCCCCGCAGTTTCGACGCTCGGTCTGACCGCGTCGCACAAGCTTTCAGGGCACCACGCGGCATCACCAAAGTGGCTGTGCAATGTTCAGATGACAGAAATTGCAGGCGGCGCGCAAGCGAAAAGACACCTCTTGTCGCCAAATCTCGCGCCTGCATGCGACATAACCCGCCCTCTTCCCTACACACAAGCTTTCCATTCGATTCGACCCACCCAGCACAGGCCGAGCCAGCTGTGAGCGCGCCTTGGTCGTGTGAATTCGAGGAGCGGCGCGGGATTTTCACCTCTGTTATGTTCTTTGTCGGGCTTTCCAATTGGCTCGTCGCACCGCTGGCCACTGTGCGGCGTGTGTTGCTCCTATTCTTGTACCCCTGCGACTGTGATGTACCGTTTCCCTCCATTACCGTTTCCCTCCAGACAGAGGGATGTACGATGACGAGCTAGGAATCAGGATTTGAGAGATCTCTTGTTTGTGTTATCAACAACTTGGCTTGGCATCACCAGCGAGGAACGATTGGACGGATTCAGCAAGTGTTAGCTACTGCTCAGTTCTCGTTGCCAGATCCTTTCTTTCTCCTGCTCCATCTCCTGATATAGCGAATGTTAGAACCTCTGAACTACTCTCATAGTGGAACGATTACGACTATCACGGTAAAAATCACCTATGGGGCTGCTAATCTCCGAGTCAATGCTGCTTCGCAGCGCCGAAGACTGGCTGAACATGACCTTCGGCGTGCGGCCGGAGGATGTCGCGACATACCACCCAGTCTTCAAGGACGCGCTCCTATCGTCCGTGCGTACTAAGCTTCGTTACCCAGGCCTTCCTTCGCCGCATTGCCCCGCGAACCAGACTCTTTGGCCGCTACCCGCTTCGATTACTGTCGGATCGCAACCGCACCGACCCGCCGATTCCAAGGCTTCTTTCGAGTTAGAGGAGTCGCAAGTCGAAGTTTCGTTACAGGCGACCTTTTCGAGTCCGAGGGAAGTCGGGAATCAGGAGAATGACGCCGAGCCTGTCTCGCCGCTCACGCCGCCGTCGCCCCAAACTCCCACCTTCTCTCCGCCGGTCTCCTTCTTCTCCCCGCGTCTTTCCGCGCACTTCCGCCCGCTCCTCTTCTCTCCGTTCACCTGCGGAACCTCCTCGCCGCCCGGCTCCCCTTCCACGTCCTCGTCTCGCCACCACCCTTCCAGCAGCGACGCTCTCCTCAAATCCCAGTCCCGGGATCTCCCCTCTCCCGCTCTCGATCCCCCAGAACCGCTTCTGCTGACGCCTCCGTTCCTCACGCCGCACGACGTGGGCTTTCCTGATTCAGCGGCGGCTGGGGGGCGAGCCGGCGGGGCCGGCGCTTGGAGGAATACATGGGGGGAAAGCGCGGAAGAAGGGGAATCATCTTCGAAATTTTTTTCCAGGAAGAGCTCCCGCAGTGGCGGCGGCGGCGGGAGGAAGGTGCGCGGACCAGTAGGCCGCTTGCTATTCGATGACGAGGGGGACGGGGACGAAGGGCGGAAATGGGAGGGTCGGAGGGAAGCGAATTTCGAGGTGGATTCGAAAGAAGAGTCCAGTTTGAGAGATTTGCAGGTCACGAAGGGCAATTTGCAAGAATGGACTTTTATTAGCGGGGGAAAATTGCACGAGGGGGATGTGAGGCTCGCGAGGGACGACTGCGCGTCGTCCGCATCTTCCGAGTCGCCGTTTTCGCCGCGTGCACCGGCTGCAGACGCATCGGCGGCAGGGAAAGCTACGAGCGGCCGGCCGCGGTTCCTGGGTGGACACGTGGCCGCAGCGGATAGGTGCCGGGTGCTTGCGGAAGAGACGGCGCGGCTGGAGGACGAGTACGAGGTGGGGAGCGGCTGGGCAGCGGGCACTTCGGGTGCGTGCGGGTGTGCCGGGAGCGCCGCACGAGCCGCCTGCTGGCGTGCAAGTCGATCGACAAGTCGAAGCTCAGATACTGGTACGGTTGGGCGTGGCTGGGAAGGGTTCGGAGTGGTTGATTTGGTCTTTGCTGCGCTTTCTGTGCGGCCTGTGCGTGACTGCTCGCTCGAGGCTGAGAGTCACGTTAAGGAGATGGGGTTTTCGATATAATTTTGGAAAACCCCGGTTACAATACGACGAAAGAGCTGTCCTTGCGAGTGTAGTGCAGATCAAGCGAGAAGTAGACACTTCAAATATATCTTTGTCCCCTCAACCCCCCGTGTTGGCGGCAGGGAGGACAGGGAGGACGTGCGGCGGGAAGTGGCGGTGATGTGCGTCGTGGGTGCGGGCGGAAATGTTGAGGAGAGGGCGGGCGGCGCGGGGAAGACGGCAAATGGGGTAAGGGAGACGGATTCTGACGGGGGAGCGGAGGGTGGACCGGAGAACGGTACGGAAGGCGGAGGGGAGGGCGGAGCGGGAGGCGGAGGCGGAAGCGGGTGCGTGCGGCTGCACGGCGTATTGGAGGACGGCGCGGCGGTGCATCTGATCATGGACCTGTGCGCGGGGGGCGAGCTGTTCGACGCTGTCATCGCGCGCGGACGACTCGCGGAAGACGAGGCCCGCCACGTCATGGCGCAGGTGGGTCGTGGCGCAGGTGGGTCGCGTGGCGCAGGTGGGTCGTGGCGCAGGTGGGTCGCGTGGCGCAGGTGGGTCGTGGCGGCTTCTCTCCTGGCAGCTTGTCGCTCCATTCGCGTCGCTTGCCCGTTGATGCTGGCGACCTCAAGTACCATGACTTATGATGAAGGTCGTATCCTGTCTCCCTCGACGCTCGTTGCCCCCTCCGTCACACCTTCCCCACCTCACCTTCCCCCTCTGTACCCCTCATCAGGTGGCAGCAGCAGTGCGGCACTGCCACGCGCTGGGTGTTCTGCATCGCGATCTCAAGCCAGAAAACATCCTGCTTCAACTCAACCACCCGCTCGCTCCATCCCGCCCTCCCTCCGCCCACGGACCCACCCTCCCCTCCTCCTCCTCCCCGTCTTTTGACTCCCCTTCCGCCTCCTCCGACGGTTTTGCCGATTCCGCCGAGTCCGCGGCCTCGTGCCCCCCGCCGCCCGCGCAAAGCAACGCTAGCTCCGCGCGCCGCGCGCACGCGTCCCTGCTTTCCCCCAACATCCGCGTGAAACTCGCGGACTTCGGGCTCTCCGTGTTCCTGCCCCCCGGGCAGCTCGTAAAAGGTTTAGCGGGCAGCCCGTACTATCTGGCGCCGGAGGTTCCAAACGGGTGGTATGGATTCCCAGCGGATATATGGAGCATGGGGGTGGTGCTGTTCCTGATGCTGTCCGGGCACGTGCCTTACTATGGCCAGACAGACGCTGAGATTCTAAGAGCCATTGCGGTGGGATCGCTGGAAGGGGAAGAGGAGGGGGGGGGGAAGCGGAAGGGGAAGGGGAAGGGGAAGGGGGACCGGTGACGGGAGAGGTAGGGAAGGTGGAGGGGAAGGGGGGCATGGGGAAGGAGAGGAAGGGGGTGTGGAGGAGGATGTGTGGGGAGGAGTGGGCGGGGGTGAGCGATGAGGCAAAGGAGCTGGTGGCGTGGATGCTGAGGCGGCGACCGGAGGAGAGACCCACGGCGGAGCAGGTGCTGCTGCACCCTTGGATGCAAAGGAGAGGCACGGGAGGGATAGGTGCAAGGGACGGTGGGCATGGTGTGAGGGCGCGTGGGGAGGGGACGGGTGGAGGGAGGGGTGTGAGCGGGACGGAAGAGGATTGTGAGGTGCATAGTAGGGGGGCCAGCGGTGATGGGGATGGCAGCAGTGCTGTCTCCGGCGACAGAGCCAGATGCAACAGCGGAAACAACAGCAGCAGCATCAGCAGCAGCAGCAGCGGCAGCAGCCGCATTGGAGAAGTCACAGAAAGCAGAAGTGAATCGGGCGCCTCTTCTCCTCCTGTCCCTGCCCCTCCTCCTCCTCTTCCTCCTCCTCCTCCTGCTCATAATCCCCATGCTACCACTGCCACCAACCTCCTCCATTCCGGGCCCACCACCCTTGTCTCTCTCCTTCGCTCCCCGTTCTCCTCCCCACGCGACCCTTTCTCCTTCCCTCACTCTCGCCTCCAACCATCTCCGGACCCAACACCAGGTGCAGGAAACTCCACTAGATCTGCACTGTCCCCGTCCCCTTTACAAGGTGCTGCGATACAAGGGTGTGTTGAGCCGCCAGTGCTGCACGCCCTGTTGGGTGGTTCCGGTCCTGAACTCGGAGAAGAGTCTAGTGGGGTGGTGGGCGGTACAGGGGAAGAGGGAGGGGTTGAATGGAGTGGAGATGTGGCTGTCGTTCAGGAGGAGGCGATGGTGGAATGGGGTAGAGGGGAGGTGAAGCGGAGAGGGGAGCAGGAGGAGCTGGAGGAAGCAGATGGAGGGGAGGATGTGTGGGAGAGGATAGAGTTGTCTGAGAGTGATGGGGACAGCTGCAGGAGCAGCAGCAGCAGGTGTGTGGGTGGTGGATATGCGAGTTGCAGTGCTGATGCGAGTGAAGCAACTGTGATGCAGGACTGGGGAGAGGTCCACAGCAGCCGGATCGGGGAAGAAGAGTCGCAGGAGCAGCAGCCGGAGCAGCAAGAGCGGCAGCATGGAGAGTTCGCCAAGAGCAGCGGGGACTGCTGTGGCAGCAGTGGAAGGAGTGAAACGTGTTCTACAGAGAGCCGCCGTTGTGGGATAGGCGCAGCTGTGATGGTCGAGGGAGGTGCGGTGGCGGAGGGTGCAGTGGTTGAGGGAGTGGCGGAGGGAACGGTGGTGGTGCAAGGGCAGGCACATGACGTGGGAGGTAAGGGTAAGGAGCTATATGCTGCAAGAGAATCAGCCTGGTTGGGCCTTATGCCATCGGAAAGGGATATGTGCTCTCAAATGGAGTTTGTTGAGAGCTTCTATTTGCTGCTGTAGGCTGCATGTAAACATCCACTTTAAGCAGTCTCTGTTGAACTCAGTGTGAGGAGGTCCGATGCTAATTAGGTGTGTCAATCATTATGTTGACATTGGTGATTTCAAAATTAAGTGTAGCATAGCAAGAATCTGAGCAGTTGCCATGCAAAATCGTAATTCCGTTCCTGTAATGATTATTACTAGAGCTCACAGACGCTGCTATTGTGTGAATAATAGATTACATTTTTGTTTTATTCCTATGGTCCAATATCCATTCTACAAGTATTTAGGTTATGTGATAGTGTTATAGCCACAACCTAATGAATATCAAGCTCTGGTCAGAACTTTGAGGGAGCCAGCAGCAAAGCAAGTTGGCCAAATTCAACTAATCTTGACAGCAATTTTTGGCGGGAAAGACGAGGATCAGCCCGAGACGCCGTGCGTGCAATCCCCATGTGCTGTGCTAAGAATCACCTGAACCGCAACAAAGCTGCTCATATTGTACATGGTAGATTCGTTTCTATCACATGTTGAACATGACGAGGACACCCCGTAAAATAGTGCGCGACGCTAGTCAGACAAACGAGTCTCCTTAGTCCTCGTTCTCACAATCCCGCATGACATTACTAGCTGCTGCGAGTTGCTGACATGGCAGACTCGCCCGGCGACGCGACGCCGTTTTTGCCGCAGCCTGGCTCGCCGGCTGCGGGATCCGCGCCGCTTGTCACGTCGCCTGGATACCGCACGTTTCAGGTACGACTTTTGAGGCGCCTCAAAAGCCGCGCTGCTTGTCACGTCGCCCGGACACCGCACGTTTCAGGTGCGGGGGGAGGTGGAGGGGAGAGGGGTGAAGGAGGAAGAGAGTGGGAAACGCTGGAGTGTCAGGTATTGGTGATCGTTTTTACCAGTTACAAGTGTGACTCCAATTCGTGCTCCTCTCGTGGCGTCGTGGTTGTGCGATCGGTGATTCCTCTCATCTTGGCGCTGTCAGTGGGCCGTCTATTCGCGGCGCGTCGCTTCATTTCCTTGCTACTACCTACTATGGTTGTTTTAAAGTGGTACAAACGTTTTCCCTCTTCGGAATGCCGTGCTTAGTCAAGACGTACCATTCTTTGCTCCCTGTCATCCCCATCCCGTGTTATCCAATCAGAGGCCGCCACGTGCTGCAGCACGGCAGTTGTTCCCCCCCACTGCGACAACTGCCACTTCTGCCACTCAACCTGCTGCTTCCACTGCTCTCACTGCTCCCACAGCTGCCGCTGCTGCCACTGCTGCCACTGCTGCCACTGCTGCCACTGCTCCCGCTGCTCCTGCTGCTCCCTCTGGTCCACCACCAATCGCAGCAGTGGGGTATTCAACACTCAGTGGTAACCAGCAACGCACGAGCAGGCCCAATGACGCCCGCAACACCACCGTTGGCAGCAGAAACGTCAACAGAAACGCCAGCAGCAGCAGCAGCACCCACGGCAACGCCAGCAGCAGAGCCGCTGCTGCTGCTGCCAGCGCCAGAGCCAGCAGCAGCAGTGGCAATGGCAGCGGCAGGGGAGGCACGAGCAGCAGCATCATAAGCAGCCTTGCTGCCATTCCGTCTAATCTAGCTGCTGCTGCTCTCACCACCTTCTCACCTTCTCTCGCTACTGCGCTGTTTGGCGCTGGTCGAAGCAACTCCATCCTTCCCACGCTCTCTTTCTCTCCCTCCTCCTTCCCCGCCTCTCCAACCCTTCTTCCTGCTGACCTCACATCCATCCTTCCATCCCTATATGCATCGCTCAATGCCTCCTCCTCCGCTTCTGCTTCTGCTGCGTCTTCTTCTTCCTCCTCTTCCTCCTTGCCGCTCTCACGACACCCCTCCATCAACCTCCCCTCCTCCTCTCGCCCCCCCATAGCCCCTCACTCGCAGCCGCTTCACACGCTAGCTCGTGCTAGAAGGGCGTACGCGTCAGCAGCAGCTCCGGTTTCCGCACCTCCTGCACCACCCACCGCAGCAGCGAGAGCAACGGAAAGAGACGATCCAGCAGCAACAAGAACAGCACCACGAGAAGCAGCAGCAGAAGCATCTGCAGGGCCGTCGGGTGTAAGGTCTCAGTCTTCGCACCAGCTAGCATCAGAGCACACGCCTTTACTGTCCAGTGAGGGAGAGCGGTGGCAGCATGCGAGCGGGGTGGACTGGGATCGCCCTGCTGCTCTAAGGAGAGGCGATGAGCTAGACGATGGGGGCGGGGAGGGAGGAGAGGGAGATGGGGGAGAAGGGGGACGGGGGGAAGGTGGGGGAGGGGAGGGAGGAGAGGGATCAGAGGGAGAGTTGGAGGGTGGGAGCAGGTCTCCGTTTCTCCATGGAGTGTCTCAGAAGGTAGTACATGCCCATTCCTCCATGCGGTAGTCATAAATCTGGGCAGGCGGCATGGGGGTGGGGGCATGTGTGCGAGCATGTGTTTCTCTTGTGTGTTTTTCGTGCCATTATGAGTTCCTTTTCCAGGCACAGTCGGTCGATCTGCTGTTATTCCGTCCCATCAGCCCATCACCCAGTGTCCTCCTCTCGTGGTCATTCATTTGCCTCGTGCACGCCCATCCTCCCGTCCCTCCCTGCGTCCACTCTCCTTCCGTCCCCACCTTAACACCCCTTTGCCCTTCCCTGCGTCCACCCTCCTTCCGTCCCCACCTTAACACCCCTTTGCCCTTCCCTGCGTGCACCCTCCTTCCGTCCCCACCTTATCACCAGCCCACGGCAGTGTTTCTGCAAATAATGTTCCTCGTGAGTTGCCTCGCTGCCACCCTGCCCTCCATCCATTGCCGCGTGTCCTTGTTGTGCTAGTGATCTTTCCTGTAAAATTACCGTTCACAGCTCATTATTACGAGGCGTTACCATTACGCGGCATTACCATTACGCGGCGTTACCATTACGCGGCGTTACCATTCCGTGGCATTACCATTACGCGGCGTTACCATTACAGGGCGTTACCATCACCCCTTCTCCGATACACCTCATCCCTCACTCCCTTCATAAGGCACCCCTCTATCTCCCCCCCTCTTGTGCCCTCTCTCCTCTTCCAAACCCCTGTTGCCCCACTCTCGTCTCCCCTCACCCGTCAAATTCCTCCCCATATTTCCGCACCCCACAATACAACACTCACTCATGGGATCTCTTAAAGCCGTGTCTACCCCTCATTACCCTGCGTTGCCTTTCCTATCCCCGAATCTTCCTCCACACACCCTGTATCTGCACGTCCTGGTCGCTGCTTCCACGCACAGGCTCAAGACGAGTGGCCGCTGCTTCTGGTGGCCATGCTGCCTCTCCTCGTCTCCGCTCTCACCACCTTGGCTCTAGTACGTGCATGCTGCCACCCTGCCTGCCTGCCTGCTAGCCTGCCAGCCCATCAGCCTGCCAGCCTGCCACCTCTAATACAGTATTGATGCCCGTGCTCCCATCTCTCCCTCACACACGCGCCTCTCACACTCTCCTTCCAGCATCTCCACTTCTGTGGTTCTCTCTACGTTATTCCCATTCACGTCAAGGTCATCCCAGGCTGCTCCTTAAAACCCAGTCAGTGTATTTCCTCGGTCGTAATCCTGGTCCGCCTTATACTGCCCCCACTCGTCTGTCCCTCATCCGTCAATCATCCGTCCCTTCATCTCTCCCCTCCCAAACCATCTTCCCGCCCCCCTCTCCCCTCCCTCGTTCCAACAGTCACACTATGCAGGGCGGGTGGTGGCGCTGGTGAGTGCAGCGAGCAGGGGCAGCGAGGAGGCGTGGAGGGCGTTTCTCGCACAGCTCACAGAGACCATTTTCTTCATGGCCGCCACTGTGGTGCTGGGGTACGCTGCTCTCCCCTACTCCCCTACTCCCCTACTCCCCTACTCCCCTACTCCCCTGCTCCCCTGCTCCCCTGTGTGGTAAGTCGAGTTTTGAGTCGACACGCAGCTCACAGAGACTGTTTTCTTCATGGCTGTCTCTGTTGTGCTGGGGTACGTTGCTCCCCTATCCTCCTGCTCTCGTTCCCCTTGTGTACCTCCATGCAACCCCGTGCACCCTATGCACCCATCCCTGCAACCCCATGCACCTGCATGAGTCGACTCCGGGGTGTCCTAGAATAAATTTTCCAAGTGGATCGTGCACGGAAAGGCTGCGGGCACCATTGGTGGGGGTGATGTGGACATTCCTCCAAAAGCACCTCAAAACAAGCCCTTTGTTTCTATGTCCCATGTGCATGGCAGGGCAGTGGCCACCATGGTGCGCACGTTCCTCTTCTCTTCCGCCAGTGAGCGAGTTGCGGCGCACATCAAGACCAAGCTCTTCCGATGCCTGCTCGCCCAGGTACTCCCAGGTACGGTACCCACAGGTACGGTACCCACAGGTACGGTACCCACAGGTACGGTACTCCCAGGTACGGTACCCACAGGTACGGTACTCCCAGGTACGGTACCCACAGGTACGGTACTCCCAGGTACGGTACTTCCAGGTACGGTTCTCCCAGGTACGGTACTCGCTTCTCTGGTATGGTCCTCCCGGGAACGGTTTTGCCTAGGTACGGTACTTACAGGTGCACAAATACCTGCGCACGAAACCCCCCCGCACCCCACCCATCTGCGACCCCAGGACATCGCGCTGTACGACAGTGTGATCGTGGGCGAGGTGGCAAGGCGGCTCTCTTCCCCTCTCTCCCCGCGCACAATCCCCTCCGCACCCCCACCCGTCTCCCCCCCCAGGACATGGCACTGTACGACAGTGTGCGTGTGGGCGAGGTGGCAAGGCGGTTGACGGACGACACAGGGCTGGTGAGGAGCGCGCTGGGCACGGGCGCACCAGAGGCCCTGCGCTCCCTCTCCACTGCTGCCTGCGGCCTGCTGCTCTTGCTCGCCATCTCGCCCACTCTCACAGGTCGGTGGGAGAAAAGGGGAGCGGGGAGGAGTGGGAGGGAGAGTGCTGGTGTGGAGGATGCGAGTGCGGTGCGTGTCAGGTCAGGGCATGGCCACTGACGCAGCAAGAGGTGCTGCTAGTGGAGGGTATGGGTATGCGCTCCTTGCGCTGCTTCTTCTAGGGCTCAAGCCCATCCAGACGCCTTCCCTTGCAATGCAACAGTCCTTGTTGTCATCTTCCCAGTCTTCCCGATCATCTCTCCTCCATCTTTCCATGTCTCTTCCTCCTCAACTCCACTCCACTCCACTCCATGCATGCTCTCATCCCCAATCTTCCCACTTCCACTTTCCCACCCCCGACCTGCCCACCCGCCCATCTCAACACGTCGCCCTCGCACCATACCCCCACGGCCTCCTACCAGTGCTGGCGCTCGTGGTGTTGGTGCCCGTGGCAGTAGCAGTGCGGCACTACAGTTACGCCATTAGAGCCCTGGCTAGGGACGCTCATGCCGCTGCTGGTACTGCCGCTGCCGTTGCCGAGGTGAGTCGGGTGGGGACTTGTGTGGGGAGATGTGTGGGCGGGAGTGGAGGATGTGGTGAGAGGAAGCAAGGTGGGGCAAAGGAGGATGGTGGTCTAAGGGATGATAGTGCTGGTGGGATTGCAGGTAGTTCACTTTGCACATTATTAAGTCTAGGTGTGTGCTTTTCTAGGTTCAGCGTATGAGCGACCTGGTCCAAGCGCGCGCGACCGCGCCTTGGTCCAGGGGCGCGCCTTGGTCCGGGGGCGCGCCTTGGTCCGGGGGCGCGCCTTGGTCCGGGGGCGCGCCTTGGTCCGGGGGCGCGCCTTGGTCCGGGGGCGCGCCTTGGTCCGGGGGCGCGCCTTGGTCCGGGGGCGCGCCTTGGTCCGGGGGCGCGCCTTGGTCCGGGGGCGCGCCTTGGTCCGGGGGCGCGCCTGGTTCCGGGGGCGCGCCTGGGTCCGGGGGCGCGCCTTGGTCCGGGGGCGCGCCTTGGTCCGGGGGCGCGCCTTGGTCCGGGGGCGCGCCTTGGTCCGGGGGCGCGCCTTGGTCCGGGGGCGCGCCTTGGTCCGGGGGCGCGCCTTGGTCCGGGGGCGCGCCTTGGTCCGGGGGCGCGCCTTGGTCCGGGGGCGCGCCTTGGTCCGGGGGCGCGCCTTGGTCCGGGGGCGCGCCTTGGTCCGGGGGCGCGCCTTGGTCCGGGGGCGCGCCTTGGTCCGGGGGCGCGCCTTGGTCCGGGGGCGCGCCTTGGTCCGGGGGCGCGCCTTGGTCCGGGGGCGCGCCTTGGTCCGGGGGCGCGCCTTGGTCCGGGGGCGCGCCTTGGTCCGGGGGCGCGCCTTGGTCCGGGGGCGCGCCTTGGTCCGGGGGCGCGCCTTGGTCCGGGGGCGCGCCTTGGTCCGGGGGCGCGCCTTGGTCCGGGGGCGCGCCTTGGTCCGGGGGCGCGCCTTGGTCCGGGGGCGCGCCTTGGTCCGGGGGCGCGCCTTGGTCCAGGGCATGAGCGGGCGGTGCAGCGCATTAGCGGGCGGTGCAGTGTATGAGCGTGTGGTGCAGTGTATGAGCGTGCGGTGCAGTGTATGAGTGTGCGGTGCAGCGCGGTGTAGCTTCTGTGCATGCATGCATGCACGTCGCTCGAAATGCTTCTCCTCCACATTACCATACCACCATACTACTCCATCCCGTACCCCACCCCAGGAAGTGCTGCAGGGCATTCGCATGGTGCGGTGTTTCTCACAGCAGGAGTGGGAGCACAACCGCTTTGCACTGCTCACCAGACACTGCATGCACATGGGCGTCACTCTTGCGGTACCACCACCATCCCCTCCCACCTTCCTCAACTATTCACAGCGCTCACCATCACCCACACTCACACCCACACCTCGCGCCTCCAGCCTTCGCCCTCGTCCCTCACGCTCACCACTTTACCTGAACACGAGTGTAACTTCCTAGCTCTCTATGTACCAGTGCTCCGTGCACACCTGTCAGCTTCTGTGTGGTCCAATTTCATTTGTTTCCTCCTTTTTCGTTATTCTTCCTTCAACCTCCTTCCCCCCCCCCCCCCGTTTCCTCCTCCTCTTCCTCCTCCTCCCCGCACCTTCCCCCTTTTCACAAACCCACCTCCGCACTACCATTTACATCAGTTCCGAGTGGGGCTGTTATCAGGAGCAGTGTATGCGGGTGCAGGGCTGGCAGTGGTGGTGGTGTTCGCGTATGGAGCATACCTGTCAGCCGCAGGAGCCATGGACACAGGGGACCTCGCATGCTTCATACTCGTTGCTGTCACTGGTACCGTGCCACCCCATCATGTTACGCCATGCCATGTCATGCCTCGCTCCACTGTGCCACGCCATGCCATGCCACGCCATGCCATGCTTTTCCCATGCTTTGCCCTCTCAAGCCAAGCTTGGTTCATCTTTTGCTCTTTACCACTTCGCAACCCCCTTCCTTCTCCCCTGCTTTTCCAATCTTCCTCCTCTCCTCAGACTTACCCCTCCACCCCTCTTCCTGTCCCCCCAACCTTTCCCCCCAACCTTTCCACCCACCCTTTCTCCTTTCTCCCCCATGGCACCCATTCATGGGTGCAGTGGGGTTGTCTGTGGCGAACTTAAGTGGCATATACGGCACGATGGCGAGGGCGATGGGGGCAGCGGAGAGGGTGCTGCTCATGCTCAACATGCGCCCGCGCATGCCACCCCATGGCAACCGATGCCCTCCCATGTATGTCACCATGCATGCGCTCATGCCTGCATGCCGGCAGGCCATAATGCCATCAAGCCACCATCCTGTAATCGTCCATCACTTCATCTCCTCCTGTCCCCTCTTGCTCGATCCACCTTGCCTGCACTAAGCCTGTGGCTCTCTTCATGCATCCCTCCTCAGCCCCCCCTTTCCCCCCTCCTTTCTCACTCCCCGTCCTTCTGTTCTGCGTGCACTCTCTCTCACTGCCAGGGGTGGAGAGGGCCCATGTTTGCTGTTTGATAGAGTGTGGTTTGCGTACCCTTCGCGACCAGAGCACTGGGTTATCAAGGTAAGGATGGGAAGAGGGTAGGAGAAGAGGGGGGAGGGATGGATAAGCGAAACTTGTGGCTTGCGGGCAGGCTGGTTAGGGTGTGATTGTACGGTGTGTTGCTGGGCCTTCCTGCATTGAAATGAAACTTTTAGTGGAGCGGTAGTTTACAGCACTCCATGTTCTCCTATCGCTCTTGTCAATCCCCACTATCTGGTCTCCCTCCCAACTCCCTCCTCTCTGAAATTCTCCCTCCTCACTGTGTGTCCTCTATGCGGTGCTGTTTCCTCACCCCCGCACTCGTGTCTGTGGTGCCATGATCCCAGGGTCTCCAGCTAGCCTTGCCGTGGGGGCATACAGTCGCTCTCGTGGGGGCCAGTGGAGGGGGCAAGGTATGTTGGAAGGCTGATAGGCATGCCTGTGAGAATTCTCAAAGTTACACAATTGAGGGATGTATCTTACCGAGTGCTTGAATGCAGCGCCAGCACACGTGACTATCCTCTCTTTTCCTCCCCTCCTCTTCCCACTGTCCCTCTCCCCTGTCCTCCGTCTTCTCCGCCGCCTCTCTCTCCCCTCCCCCTCTCATCCAGTCCACACTAATGTCACTCTCACCTGGAGAGAGGCGCTGCGCCTGTACGACCCGAGTGAGGGCCGCATTCTGCTCGACTTTTGAGACGTCTCAAAAGCGCTCTCCTCTCTCTCCTCTCTCTCCTCTCTCGCCTCCCTCCCTCCCATCATCCAGTCCACGCTGCTGTCACTAGCGCTGCGCCTGTACGATCCCAGTGCGGGCCGCATTTTGCTCGCGGGTGTGCCACTGCCTGACATCGACAGCAACTACCTCCACTCCAAGGTGCCCCCCTCTCCGCCTGCACCTCCCTGCACTGCACCTCCTTGCACCCTCCTTGCACCCCCCTGCACCCCCCTGCAACCCCCCACCACTTTGAGACTTCTCAGAAGCTCTCCCCCTCCCCTTGTGCCAGGTGTCAGTGGTGTGGCAGGAGCCTCTCCTGGTAAGCCGTTCAGTAGCAGCCAACATCAGCTATGGTGTTACCACGCCCGTGCCCCTCTCCGCCCCTCCTTCTCCTGCACCCCCTTCCCTCTTCCCCCAGGTGTCAGTGGTGTGGCAGGAGCCTCTGCTGGTGAGTCGCTCAGTAGCAGCCAACATCAGTTACGGCGTTACCACGCCCGTGCCCCTCTCCGCCCCTCCTTCTCCTGCACCCCCTTCCCTCTTCCCCCAGGTGTCAGTGGTGTGGCAGGAGCCTCTGCTGGTGAGTCGCTCAGTAGCAGCCAACATCAGTTACGGCGTTACCACGCCCGTGCCCCTCTCCGCCCCTCCTTCTCCTGCACCCCCTTCCCTCTTCCCCCAGGTGTCAGTGGTGTGGCAGGAGCCTCTGCTGGTGAGTCGCTCAGTAGCAGCCAACATCAGTTACGGCGTTACCACGCCCGTGCCCCTCTCCGCCCCTCCTTCTCCTGCACCCCCTTCCCTCTTCCCCCAGGTGTCAGTGGTGTGGCAGGAGCCTCTGCTGGTGAGTCGCTCAGTAGCAGCCAACATCAGTTACGGCGTTACCACGCCCGTGCCCCTCTCCGCCCCTCCTTCTCCTGCACCCCCTTCCCTCTTCCCCCAGGTGTCAGTGGTGTGGCAGGAGCCTCTGCTGGTGAGTCGCTCAGTAGCAGCCAACATCAGTTACGGCGTTACCACGCCCGTGCCCCTCTCCGCCATCCAACGCGCTGCCACCATCGCCAACGCACACCACTTCATCTGCGCACTACCGCACGGGTACGGGGGGAAGCAGAGGGGGGATGTGGGGGGTAAGAGAGGCAGGGAGTTTGGTTTGGCGGTGGGATTCAAAGGGTTTAACAGAAAGGTTGATGCATATCACTTCATCTGCCCGTTGTCACACGGGTAGGGAGGAGTGGTCGGGAAGAATGGGAGTGTGGGTCAACACATTGCACCTGATTAAGGAACACAAAAGGACTGCCGAGGCTTGATACTTTGCTCTCCCTCTTCCTTCCCCCACGCCTCCCATCTCCTCCCTCTTTTCCACGGCTCCATGCTATGGCAGGTACGACACGGAGGTGGGGGAGAGGGGCGTGCGGCTGACAGCAGGGCAGCGGCAGCGCATTGCCATAGCGCGGGCAGTATTGCTGGACCCACAGCTGTTGCTGCTGGATGAGGGCACGGCTAAGAGCGATCCAGACAGCGAGCACCTCGTGCAGGTAACGAGGTGACTTGTGTATTGCCTTAGAATTAACTCGCCATAGTGCGCAGGCAGTGCTGCTGGATCCACAGCTGCTGGTCTTGCTGCTGGATCCACAGCTGCTGGTGTTGCTGCTGGATGAGGGCATGGCTAAGAGTGATGCTGACAGCGAGCACCTCGTGCAGGTGAGGCGGCACCCTATCTTTTCTTCCTTTGATTCATTTTCTCGCGCTCCCCCTCATACATTCTGCCTCACTCTCCATCTTACCTCCCTCCCTCCCCTCGCTCCTTTGCGACCTTCCTTCCCTGTCCCAACCCTCCTTCCCTGCCTGTCCCAACCCTACCTACCTGCTCCAACCCTCTGTCCCTGCATTCCCTGCACCCCCCCACATCAGGCAGCCATGGACGAGGTAATGAAGGGGCGAACCGTACTCGTGATAGCGCACCGGCTGTCCACAGTGAAGGCGGCGCACACAGTGGCAGTGGTGGCGAGGGGGGAGGTGGTGGAGGAGGGCGGGCATGAGCAGCTGGTGAGCGCAGGGGGCATGTATGCCCGCCTCGTGCGCCGACAGCTACAGTCCCAGGGGTCTCTCACTCTCAAGAGCGCTGCTGCTGCTGCTGCTGCTGCTGCTGCTGCTCCGGCTGCTGCTGCTGCTGTTTCTACTGGTACTGCAGGGACTTCTAGTGCTGGTCCTGATGCTGGTGTTGCTGGTGCCGCTGCTGCTCCTGATGATGCTGCTGCTGCTGCTGCTGCTGCAACTGGTGCTGGTTTTTCTGGTGCTGGTGCTGTCACTCCCACTCCCACTCCCACTACTGCTGCTACTGCTGCTGCTGCTGCTGCTGCTACAGTCGTGGCAGCATGAGTGGTGGCAGTGTGGGCGAGGCGTCTAGCAGCCCTGCCTCGCCACACCTTGCTGTGCCAGGGCCCTCCAGTGCAAGGGGCACTCGCCGGGAGGGAGTGTCAGGCTGGCAGGGAGCGACGGGAAGGCAGGCAGAGGAGAGGGGTGAAGGAGAAGGAGAAAGGGAAGGGCAGGGGCAGGGGGGAGGGGAAGGGGTAGGGGAAAGGGGAGGGCAAGGGGGGGGGAGGGGGGAAGGGGAAAAGAGAGGGGAAGAGGAGGGGGCAGGTGCAGGTTTGTGGCGGTCAGGTGGAATGCGTTCATGGCAGCACTTGCTATCACTGCAACGCCACTACTCCAACATCTCCTCCCGCAACCCTCCCCCCTCCACTCCCTCTCCGGCCACCTCATCCCCCATGCAGCCGTCGTCCTCCCACAACCACACTCCCCGCTCCTCCCCCCTCACCATCCCCTTCCTTTCCCTCTCTGCTGACGTCAGCCCTCAACCCGCCTCCTCCGCCTCCTCGTACTCATCTCCTTCCTCTCCTCCCTATGCGCCCCCAAGCCGTGCAACCGGCACCGCTGGCTCTGCAAGGGCCAGGGTTGAGGCGTTTCAACGCTCTGGGAGAGCCAGTTATGAGGCGTCTCAACACTTTGCCAGTACGAGTAACCCTGCAACATCACCCTCGCCTGCAAGGGAACCAACACCCTCAGCACTATCACCGTTTCCATCACCATCACCGTTACCATCATCACCACCATCACCACCACAGTCACTGTCACCATCACCATCACCATCACCACCGCTCTTCACCCATCTGCTGTCTGACTTGCAACCGCCAATCTCTTTCAGAACACACAGCCTTCCTGTTGTTGAGTCTCGGAGCTTCACCCCCAGCAGCCTACAACCTACCACCACCAACACCAGCACCACCAGCCATCTCACCTCCTCATCTCTCTCCGCCTCCTCCCCTTCCACATCCCCATTCTCCTCCCCATCACCTCCCCCCATGTCTTTCCTCTCCTCCCGCCCCCCTCATGGTATCTCCACTTTACTCGCCTCAGGTCAACCGCTTGGCCCGTTTGTGTTTTCCACTTTCTCCTCCTCTCTCCCAATCATATCCTCTTCCATCTCTTCTTCTGTCTCCCTCCCTTCCCCATCCCTCCCACAATCCTCCACTTTCGCTCCCCATTTCCTTCTCCCTGCCTCTTCCCTCCCTGCCTCCTCCTTCCCAGCCTCAGCACTCTCCTCCTCACCCCTTCTACCATCCTCTCCCTCCTCTCCTCCCGGTCCAGGCCCCCTCCTCTCCTCTCACACCCTCCCTTGGTCTGAATCACACAGCTCATACCGTCCACGTAGCACGTACAGCGCAGGTGGCACACCCACCATGCATGCTGCGCATACCATACGCGCTACCCCTGCCACTGAAAGCACGCCACCTAGGCCGTTCAGCAGCCATGGAACGCACAGCACCACTCTGAACCCACCTGCACCTGCCACAGCCGCTGTCTCAGCTGTGGGTTCAACCAGTGGCAACAGCATAAGTGGTGGCGACAGGTTTGTGGGTGTTTCCACTTCTGCTGCTCCAACTGCTACTTCCTATACGTCTGCAGGGAGTTTGGCATTTTCAACCACCGCCAGCAGCAGCAGCAGCAGCAGCGGCGGCAGCAGCAGCAGCAGCAGAATGCGAAGCACAAGCAATGCTGCTGCTAGCCTCGATGCTCCTGATGCCATTACAGTTTCCAACAACGTTTCGGAGGCTGCAACAGGCAGCAGAACGAGACAGGACATTCACGCTGCACAAGCATGGACCCCACAACCAGCAGCAGTACCACTGCCGCCAGAAGTAGCAGCACCATCGCCGCCACAAGCAACAGCAGCAGCAGCACCATTACCACTGCCGCCGCCACCACAAGCAGCATCAGCAACAGGAGGAGGAGGAGGAAGAGGAGGAGGAGGAGGAAGAGGAGGAGAAGGAGCAGCAGAGGCAATAGAGTGGCAAAGAAGCAGAGCAAGTGAGGAGCTAGCAGAGCAGGTATCATCAGAATCAGAATCATCTGCAGTGGAGGCTGGAGGTGTGAGGGGAGCAGCAGGGGCGGATAGTGATGTGACAGCTGCCGTCCCCACTTCTGCTACCCCACCCAGAGAGACGACCCGTGAGTTGAGCCAGGACTCAGCAATGCTACAGTTGGCAGTGGAAGAAGCCATAGCAGCAGCGCCAATGGCAAGTGCAGCTGAGGTGTCCGGGGCCGATACATCGGCAGTGTCAGCTGTAGAAGTGGTAATTGCGATGCAAAGTCCAGCTTCGCCTCAAGTTTTGTCTCGAGTTTCGACACAAGCTTCAACACAAGCTTCATCACAAGCCGGAACACGAGCTTCAGGTTCAGAGCTGATACTCTCAGGTCGGTCTCTGCATTCAACACGATTGTCTGCTCCAGTTGAAGATGCAGTGATTGACCTGGATAGCACGGCAAGAGAGATTACTGATGAGACTACAGTGACCGAGGGAACAATCGATGCCATGAGTAGGGGGAGCAGCTATGGTTCGGTAAGTGACTAGTAGTTCCATCCCATTCCACCTGCTAGGATGGTGATTAGGTCGGTCGGCACAGGGGTCTCAGTATGTGTGACTTCAACAACATGCCTCTGCATCCCAGTGCTTCTGCTGTACAGCACTCTGTTTCTTGCCTACCCCTGACAAATGCCAGGGTGACATTAGAGAACTGTGTATGCTGTCCATTGAACCCTGAACCCAGGCACGGTGGGTGGGGTTAAAATTCAACCCAATACAGAATGCACCTGTGACGGTACGGTATTTCACTTCGGTCAGGAGCAACCAAAGCAGGGCTCTTAACCAACCAATCTAGAGCAACCTGTTCAATCAAAAATACGGTAGGGGTAAAATTGTACACACACATGCCAAACCTACTAACACAACCTCTCTCTCTCATCCACTTGAGGTCTGTTGGATTGGAAGAATATCTCCTCTTCACTCTCTAGCGTCTAAACTGCTGCTGAATCCCTTTGCCCTCCCCTGGATCCAAAACCCGAGTCTTGCCCATCACCACGCCCTTGCCGTCCACTGCTCTTCTTCAAACCCTCCTCCATCTCCATCATCCCCTCCCCACAGCCTTCCTCCCAAAAATCTCCCCTCCCGCGCGTTCCCCCCCCCCTTCCTCCCCAACGCCTCCCAACGCTCCCAACCCCAACAGCCCTCTCCCCGCTCCACACCTGTACCGCTGCTTCCAGCCACGCGGATTCCCCGAATCCGTCCGCCAGTCTCCTCTCTCTCTCACCCATCCACTCAGTCCTCTCCCCAAATCTACTCTCGCCACTCTCTCCTCCCTCCCATCCATCCACTCTTTCCCCACGCCCATCCATCCACTCTCTCCGCGTTCCCATCTACCAGAACCACCAGGGGTCCTTCCACGGCGGCACGTACTCTCCCGTGGGAGCCGTCAGTCTAAACGAATCAATGGTCGTCCTTAAAGCCTCCTCCAGCTGCGGCCACTCCGAATCCACCGTCGACACCGTCAGGCAGTAAATGTACCCCTCACGCTCCGCCGCCACAGCTAACGACCGACGGAAAACGTCCTTCTCGCGCCCCGTCAGCATAGTCGGCGACTTCTGGTTCACGTACTCGAACAGGTAGTACTTAAGAGGCTCCGAGTCGCCTTCCGCGGTGCGGAGCTCCTCGTACACGTCGCCGAGGATCGTTTCCTGTAGCCGTTGGATCGACGTCATGCGCGGAGACGTGCGATCGGCCAGGATCGACCGAGCGACATTCACGGCCGTCCATCCGGAGGCCTTGGCCGTCTCGAGATCCGCCTCCGCCGGCGGCGGCGGCGACGGGAGGAACGCCGCATTCGGCGGGGAGACAGAGACGCTGATGACGAGGGATCGAAGTGGGACGAGGCGCTCCGACACAATGCGCAAGCGCGCATCCGGGGAGAGCGGCGCGGCGGAAGAGTAGCGCTCTGGCTTGCGCGTCTCGATCCAAACAATGTCACCGACGGGACCCGCAATCTTTACCGGGTACTCGTAAACGCATGCATTGATCACGTCAGGCTGCTTGGAAAAAACTCCGGATTGGGAATTAACGGCAATGGCTGCTTCTGCTTCTGCTGCTGCTGCAGAAAGCGGGGAAGCGAGCAGCTGAGCCGCGGCTTCCCCGCACGCTGTCGCAACCAAACCTGCGAGAAGCGCGGATCGCCGCGTGCATGCCGCTTCGGAATGCTCCGCGGTGGCCGACTCCTCTGTTTGTCTACTCGCGCTGCTTCCCTGCGGGAACTGAGGCTCCGCGGAGGCCCGGATTCCGCGCAGAGCGCGGCATGACGGGCGCGCGAAAAGCTGTAGCTTTTCGCTTCCCGACGGAGACGACACAGAGCGCAAGCCGTGGTGGCGCGGGAGAGAGAGCGAGGCGGTCGAATGCAGACCAGCCATCGCTGTGGCCGCCATGGCTAGAGTAATGGGGGGGAAAAAGTAAGCCCTCGAGGAATTGACTCTGACCAGTCAACCTCTCAAGAAAACCACAATCGACAGCGGCGGAGGAGGCTGACTGGCAGCAAGGGAAGGAGGAGAACGCGCAGGTTATGTTTTCAGGCGCGCGCGCTTTGATGGATTTCCCGCAAGCCGACGTGGCAGTCCGTGAGTGGAGAAATGGGCCCTGGTTGGGGCGGTGTCGGGGGAACGAGTTGCGAGGGGGCAGGCAGAAAGGGTACAGATTTGGGATAATGCGGGGTGGTTTCAAGGGGCAGGCCTTGATGTTGGCTTGGTTTCCCCCTTCTAGAAGCTGTGGAGTGGAAGTAACAAATTTACTCGTGTACTACAACGGTATATACTGAGTGAAATCAGGATCTTTGCAAAGGACATTAATGTGAACAACTAGCTTTTTTTACCATACAGTACCATTCTGAACTACCTTCTAGAAACAATTCATAACTATTGCTGAAGAAATACAGTATGGGATAGTTGACATGAATCAATAGTGCATACTCCTTCGCGTAGAACCCAATGTGCCGTTCAAGACTCAGGAGGCAACAGGGGCCATCACCTTGTGAAAACAGGGAAGCAGGTTCCACCATTCCTCTGCAGCATCCCACTTGACACATCATCACAATCAGTGTGAACATGTATTTAGCTGACCAGAGGCGCATCTTGCCCCAGAACAGCCTTGATTACATCTGGGCCTGTTAGACAAGGAACTGAGTTGGCAGCCGCCCATTGGCGGGCAGAAGCAGCAGGGAGGGCCCCGTAGTCATCACTGCTGTTGCTCAGCATGACACAGCCAACCTAGAAAACAAAAGGCAAAAGGCATGTGAATGAAGGATAGATTCATGACCACTGTGTGCTGAACATGCAGCAGCAGTTTCTAAGGCAACAAGGAAACAAGCTGAGGGGGAATTAAAGATCAACGAATGAGTATCTGTGCAATCAAACCGTGAGATGACAAGGATGGCAGCCAAGTTGCTGAAGTAGGCTACATTAGCGTGATGGACCATGTGGGACAACTCGTGATGATAACCTACCATAACGCTCAGCACCAGCGACCAGGCAACCAACCAGACGCCTGGGGTTTGATAGCAAAACCTCCTTAACCTTCACCACAAGTATTCACGTTGAATAACCTCCCTTGCTACTCACGTGGTCTCTTCAAATTCCTCCGCATTCCTGTTTCAAAATCACAACTTTATCAAGCCCCCCTTCCCCTCTTCTTCCCTCTCCCCCCTCCCTCTAAACCTCCCTAAAACCCGTTCTCCCAAGCCCGTGCGCAGGAAGTCTCACCATGACGGGCGTGATCCCCGCGAGTTTCGCCAGAGCCACCGACAGCTCCGTGTGCCCGCGCCTTCTGCGGAGCCCCTCGGGGTTTTCAATGCACAGGAAGATGTGTCCTGGCGTGTGGAACTCCTTTCCCAGCCGCCGCATTGCGTTCTCCTGCTCCGCGTGCCCCTCCCCTTCCGCTTTACCCGCTTCTCCGGATGAACTTGCGCGCTCTGCGCGGATCTCCTCCCACAGCAGCGCGAGTCGCCGACACGTGAGACTGCGCTCTGAGTCCGGAGCGCCAGTGTGCGTGGAGCGGTGGTCTAGAGACAGCCCGACCGAACAGGAGCCTTGGCACATGCCGTCCACCCCCTTCCCTAGGTATTTCAGCACCGGAAACCCCTTCGCCACTTTGTCGCCCACGCCATTGCAGTTTGCAGATCCGGTATTTGAGGGTGAGGCTTTTGAATCGGCGGCGGCTTCTAACGCGTTTGAAATGTAGGGGATCCCGAACGTCTCCGCGACTTCGTGGCCCACCGCTATGTACAATTCGCCGCCAGCGTCGATGCGCAGGCGTCGCAAGTCCGCGGGTTGTACTGCGGACGCGGGGAAGAACAGATCCGTCTCAGCCTCGCGACTCTCGTCGTCAAGAATGGCGACGCATTGGCCTGCCCGCAGCGCGTCCAAGGCTCTCTGGATCTGTTCTGATACTCCATTCTCGACGACGGAAACCATTGTAACGTGAAAGGAGATCACACTTGGTTCTGGAACGTTCAGAAAAGGGGTGTTCAGAAGCGTAAAGAGGCCGCAGAGGTTTTTGAGACTCGAGAAGGTAAAACTGCCGTAGCGAAACGAACCGCGGCGAAAGTGCTGGGCAATGAAGCTTGCTGGAAAATGGTTTCACTGCTTCTGGTCTGGCTGGAGAGCTGTCTGGTGGTGACAAGGATGGATGGACAACTTAGGACTTGGGTGGTCTCTGCGTTGGAACGAGTCGCGCAACCGAAGATGGCGGCGACTTTGGCTGGGTACTCATCTTTGAAAACATTCATACTTCTCATTTTGAAAGTAAAATGGGAAGCTGGGTTATGTTCAATACGAAATGATTGAAAGATTCGACTCTTTTGTGATTCTAAACCGTAAGCGAAGATGTGAAAATTTCTGCTATTGTTAGGGCCAGCAGGGGCCGATTTGTCATGAGGATGACAACGTGGCACGACGATTTCCTTTTCCCCGTTGACCAATGAGCATCTTCGTATAACGCCAGCGCAGACCAAACAGAACTGGCATCCTTGGCTCACGAGGAAAATGAGGATCAGAAGCTCCCGACTGCGTAATTGGGCGATCTAGATCTTTGTGATCCTGCCCCCGCTAGTACCACAACGTCTACACTAAATGCGATATGCAGTATACATTTCTAGCATTTTATGCGACATGCTCGAGTATTTTACTGATGTCATAAACGCGGATAACCAGCCTCCTTGTTGATGTTGTCGTTCGTTACACATTCATCCAATCAATGGACGCCAGATGTCCAGCACCTCAAGAGGAAGTGAGCCATCAGATGTTGAGGACGGTAGTGTACTACACATAGATGGGCGATCGAGATCGAACAGAAACCGCAAAAGTGACCGCCGTGCTGACCCTACTTCTTGACCTTGCCCAAGGGCGCGGCGAGCTCGCTGTGATGCTGGCAAGTAGGGGCACATCCACCAATCCAAGTCAAGCAAATCCCGCTTTTCCCTGAACACCCGTCCTTCGCTACTGCATTCCCAAGCCAAGACTCCGCATTTCCCCCAAATCCCCGCTCCATCTCGAATTTCATGATGCATACATCCCCGCATTCTCCCCTCACTCCCCCCCCGGCCCTACGATGGATGCTCAGCTCCGCTACCCCTCCCCCCGAGCCGATGCATCAGTGGGCATGTACGGTACGGTCGTTCAGGTTCAGGCTGCGCCGCTGTGCTTCAAAAGTTCATTCAGAATTCATCTTCACATTTCGTGACTTGGTTTTGCAAGTTAGGCAGATAACAGCCAACAGACCTCCCCGTGCAAAACGATGGAGATCCTTCAGAAATGACGGCGAAAGCCGCGAGTGTGGAGTCCCCTACGCTAGGGGGTGTGCTGCAACCGACTGAGGAGCAGCACTTCGAGGAGGAGTTGGACGAGCTCGATGCGGAGATTGAGAAACTCTTCACGGCCGACGATACCACCGCGCAGTCTGCGCTCGACGGTCTCTTGGCCATCGGCTCCTCCGCGCTCCTCTCCCCGCCGCTTCCGCCCGCTGTCGGCGCAATCCAACCGGAAGATGGCGCTGGCGGTGGATTGACCGGCGCAAACGGCGGCGCCGGTCCTGGCGTGGGTCCAGGGAACGTCGGTGGTAATGCGAAAAAGGCGTCGTTAGATTCTCTTTTGTGGGAGCTGGATGGCGATGGCGTGATTGAGGAGGAGCAAGTAGCCGTCGGCGATGGCTTAAAAGGTTCAGATCTGCATGCTGCTGGGGATGACGAGACGGCGGATCACTACCCTACAGGTATTCCCATCAAAGAAGGCGAATAGTATTGTGAAAAGGGAAAATGCGCTCCTTGTCTTGTTAAAGATGTCCACTTAGATGTTTTTCTGTCTGCTCTTTCCTGACTAGGGTGATTCTGTGCCTTTCTCAGTTTCCTTTCTTCTACTACTGGTCTTCTGCAATCTCATTGCGCTCGTGCGATTGCCAAACCTGCCTTCTCCAGTTATTGCACAAAACACGTTTCTCATGCCGTTTTCTTCTTTTTGTGACGTAGAATAGACTCGTAGTGGCATCCTCTTTTCTCGCTACTTACCTCCTGCTCGCCCTGTCAACCCAACTCGGCAGCGGCCGACGCGGCGTCGATCTTCGAGGATGAGGTGGCAGAAATCCTCCGCGTCGCGCATCGCCAGGTAAGCGGTCTAAAGCTCGAGGCGGCATGGCTGCGCTCCGGGCTGCTGGCGCTGCAGAAGGACGTGCGCATGCTGCGCTCCGAGAACGACGCGCTCCAGGGACAGCGGCGCCGCGCGGATCAGCGCCTGCTGCTGCTGCTGCGGGAGAAGGAGCTTGCGGAGGAGCAGCGCAGGGTGGCGGAGGAGCAGCGCCGCGCGGCGGAAGACGCGCAGGAAACGCTGCGCGGAGTGGTTTCCCGCGCGGTGGCGGAAGCGGCGGTGCTGCGGAGGCAGCTGGCGGTGTGGAAGCCGCCCGGCGGCGCGTGGGCGATGGCGGTGAAAGCGGGGACCTGCTGGGGCGGAGAGATTGGCGCAAGCGGAGCAGTCGGGGGCGGGGGGACAAGCGGAAGCCCGATTCAGCGCAGCTTCAGCGGCAACTCTCTCCGCTCCAGTCTGGAGGGAAGTGGCGCTCCTTCGCTCAAGAACGTTCGTGGCGGAAGCGCACTCGCAGCGCCAGGAGGGGGAGCTGTAACTGCCGGGGTCGGGGGAAAAGCTGGCGGAGGCAGCAGCGGTGTTTCCGCGTGGGCGGAAACTGCAGATGGTTTAGCGGGGGGGAAGGACATCGCGCACCGCGCCTCGCACGGTCTCGTGGCAAAGGAAAGTGTCAGCCCGGCCTATAAACCACCTTCGGCAACATCCGGGGAGATGTTTTTCGCGGCAGGCGCCGGGGGCGGAAAATCCGCAGCTCCTGCGCTAGTCGGCGGGGGCATGGGGAGCGCGGGTTGCGCCGAAGCCCCGCGCCGTCTAGCGGAGGCGGGGCGGAGCGACAGCGGGGTGTGGGCGGAGGTGAAGCGGGTAGGCGCGGGGATGGGGCTCTTGATAGACTCTGACGTGGATGCTGACGAGGACGCGGCGCTGCTGCGCGAGGAGAACGCGCAGCTGCAGGCGCTGCTGCGCGAGTCGCAGTGCGACCTGCAGGCGCTCGAGCAGAACGTCGCGCGCCTCAAGCAGGTCGTCGCCGCGCAAGAGGCGGCGGTGGACGCGGCGGCGGTTGTGGCGGCCGACGCGGCGGCGGGGAACGGAGAGGGGGCGGCGGAGTTGGGGTTGGGGAACGGGGGGAAAGGGGACTGGTTGGGAGGCGGAAAGGTGAGGGGACTGGAGGGGAAACAGATGGGCGGATGGGGGGAGGAGCTCCAGCGGGAGAGAGAGCGGTTAAGAGAGGCGTGGGAGGAGGTGGAGAAAGAGAAGCAGAGGCTTGTATCTCTCCGGCAGCAGCTCACATCAGGGACGACGGAAACGGAAATGCCACAGACGCAGCCGCGACAGTGGCAGGCAAGCGGAAACGCAGCAACGGGCGGATGGCAAGCCATCAGCGACATGAGCGACGATGGCAACGCTGATGACAGTGAGAGCGGCTGTATACGGATTGTGTGTGGGAGTTGCGGAGCTGAGGGAGTGGTTCCAAGAGGCGTTGCAGGGCGGCTCGATGTCCTGGGTGCCCTGGCAGGCGGTAGCAGTGTGGGGGAGGGTGACGGCAGTGAGAGCGAACACGGTGCAAACGCTGCAAGGCTTCTGGAGGCGACACAGAGGCGCCACAGCGCGCCGAGCTTCATCCCCGGGTCTCCTGGTTCCGTTCTGACCTCTTCAGCTGCTGCTGCTGATGCTGTGCCTGATGGCGTAGGAGGGGCCAGCATTGAGGGTATCCCAGAGCCTCGCGTGGCGCTGAAGAAGGCTGTTTCCATGTCTGATGCGCATGCGGTGCAAGTGGGGGTGGATCTGGAGATGGTGCGGATACTGGAGCTGGAGGCGCAAAAGGAGCTGCTGGGTTTGCTGCACCTCAGCGAGGAGGAAGGCAGCCCCACTGCTACTGCTGCTGCTGCTGCTGCTGCTGCTGCTGACGCACAGCTCGAGACAGGAGGTGCAGAGGTGGATGGGGGCGTGGAGGAGGTACCGGCTGAAGCAGCAGCTGATGCTGCTGCTGCTGCTGCTGCTGCTACTCCCGCTGCTGCGGGCAGTGGCACTGCTTCCCTGGTTGGCGGTGATGCTGCTGATAACTCCCCCACTGGGGGTGGTGTTGGTCAGGCTGGTGCGGCCTGGTCTGCAGCGAATCAGGGCCTGCCAGGTGGACCTGCCACTGTAACGGATCTGTGGACGGCGGCCTCGCGTGCAGCGACGCAGTTGCGGATGTCCCTGGAAGCCGCTCGGGAGGCCACGGGAAGTGGTAACCATGCAGCAACGCTGTCACCTTCCAGTCACACTAGGGGGAGTGTTGGCGGTGGTAGTGATGCTGGCACCAGCACTAGCGTTGCTAACACTGGCAGTGTGACTGCTGCTAAGGATAGTGTGAGCTCGCCTGCTACCTCCTCTGCTGTGATCTCTTCCGGCCCTACTGCTCTCACCACCACCACCACTACTTCCTCCCCCTCTGCAACCTCCTCTGCTTCGTCTCTCGCTCCCTCCCACCCTCCACCTCTTCCTCCTCGCGCCCCCTCTGCAAGCTCTGCTCTCCACCCCGGCCACCCTGCATCTGCCTCGTCTCTGGCACTCGATGCTATTCTTTCTGAGAACGAGCGGCTGAGGGGGGACATGGCGGATATGGCACTGCAGAAGCGGCAGACTGTGTCGCATTTGTCCTCGTTATTAGACGACCTGTGGCAGCAGCACCGCGGGCTGCAGCGGTGCTTGAAGGAGATGCGAGCGGCAAAGGAGATTTGCGAGGGATGTGCGGTGTGTGAGGAGAGGAGGCAGGCTGCTAAAGCTGATGAGATGCTTTGTGGCTGGGGATAAGAAGGGATGGGGGAAGGGATGGAGGGTAGGGAAGCATGGGGCATGCTGGGAGGGAGGACTGTGTGGGGTTCAAGGTGGAAGGGGATGGAGGGGAGATCATAATGATGGCTGTTCAGAGAGTGGTGTGGTGCTGTAGTGAGGAGGGTTTAATAAGGGGGAGGGTATTGGATAGGTGGGGGGGGGGGAGGGGGGGGGAGGAGGGGATGGGGGGAGAGTGGGGAGGGGGGGGGCCTTTCAGGGAGGGGGAGGGGGCATTCATGAAGGGGGAGGGAAGGGGGAAGGCAGGTGTTTGAAATCACTGGAGTGAATTGGAATCGGAGGTTTCGATTGGTTGTTAGAATGCTTCAAGTTATGCTATTTATATATATGAATATAAACTTGTTCTCTATGTATATCTTGAATGGACATGTGCTTATTCCTGTACCCGTTGTTCGTTCCTACCACCTATTTTGCAGCTTCTGCGGTCACCCTGTCCGTCATGTTGTGGGCGGGAACTCGCAACCGATTGAACTAGTTGATGGTTCCTACCTAGGTCGTTCCCCAGCCTAAGGGTGAGTTCTTTGTTCAACCTTTTGGGTGGTAGGGAATTGGTTAGAGCCGAGGCGAGTCTGTACAACCTTCTTGGGACACTAGCGAGGACGTTCTTGAAGGAGAGTCAGTGCGGTCTGGGGCTGTCTGGCCAGTTTCGTCGAGTCAACCAGCAGGGACTCCAATCGCTCCTCCAATCCCCCCCACGCGCATATCGCCACGTGGCTCTCAGCACAGACTCTCCACTCCACACAGTCAGCAGAGTCACAATTCCCGAACCCCTCCACTCCCGAACCACCGCTTTTTCCCCTCTCCCCCCTTCGCCCCTTCTTGTGCTGGCTGCCACATTTCTGCTCCGCGTCCGTAACGAGTTGTGTTATCCCACGGCTTCAGACTTCTTGATAACGTTGCACAGATTTTCTTGAATGGCGACCTGATGATTTTTGCGCTTCTGACTGCATCACCAACGCATGAAGCAATTTCTAAAACTATCAAAATTTGTTAATCTCTAGCACGCCATCACCTTGGCATCCATCCCCGCTTTCTCGAGATGGCAACAAGGTCGCGGCGTTCGATATGGCAGCGTGTGATTCTGGTTGCATTCGACCGTAGCGAGGCAAGCATCAAGGCCCTTAAGTACTCAATAAAGAATGTATTTGATGCCAGAACGGACCGCGTGATCATCATGTTTGTCCGACCCAATGTCTACGAAAGCCCTCGCCGGCGGCCAGAGTCAGGAGTGACCGTCGTGTCCCAGGCACAGATGCTCTTGAAAGCGTCGGCGGAAGTGAAGGCGGCTCACCCGGGCATTCACGTGGAGTCGAAGCTGGGCGACGGAGACCCACGTGACGTGCTGTGCAAGCACGCTGGAGAGGAATGTGTGGACTTTATCATTGTGGGAAGCCAGGGCGGCAAGTCCTCTCACAAGGTACACGCTCGCTCAACGTTTCTTGATCAAGAGTCGCTCACCTCTTCCTGAGTCGCTCACCTCTTCCTGAGTCGCTCACCTTTCCCTAATTCGCTCACCTCTTCCTGAGTCGCTCACCTTTCCCTAATTCGCTCACCTCCCGAGTTGCTGTCTTCCTGCTGACCAGAACCAAAGCCAGGACTCACATAATGCTCTTTCTTTTCTCTCCCTCCTCTCTCCATATGTGCTCCCACCCCTTCCACGGGCAGAGGAGTGTGTCCCAGTACCTGCTCCGCCATGCGCCATGCCCTGTGCTGATTCACCCTCCCTCAGTACGGACATCAAGAGCTGCCACAGCTGGTGCTGTTGCAGCTGCTGCTGGGGGGAAGGGCGTAGGGGCGTCAAGGGCAAGAAGAAGTAGCTCCGAAGTTGCCGCTGCCTCAATGCACCACCACTCAGCTGCACACTCACAGCCCACACGCGCACACTCCCACCGCAATGAGCCTAAATCCCGACCTGCTGCAGCAGCGTCAACTGCATCCACAGCTGCTGCTGCTGCTGGAGGAAAGGGCGCAGGGGCATCAAGGGCAAAGAGAACTAGCTCCCAAGTTGCTGCAGCATTAGCGCATCAACAGTCAGCACCACGCTCACTACCCACCAGCGTACCATCTCCGCACAACGAGCCTAAATCTCGACCTGCTGCAGCAGCGGCAGCGCCAATCACAGCCACAGCTGCTGATGCTGCTGCTGCTGCCGCTGCTGCTGCTGCTGCTGGGGGGAAGGGTGAGAGGGGAATGGGGGGCAGCAGGCAGGAGCAGATTTGTGCGCAGTATTCACTAGCAGAGGTGGCGCAGGCCACGAGTGAGTGGGCGGAGAGCAGGCGCATAGGGGGAGGCAGCTTCGGGGATGTGTACAAGGGCGAGTGCCCCCACAACCCCTCCCTTTCCTGGGCTGTCAAGCGCGCCAAGGTCCTCACCAACGACTTCAAACGCGAGGTGGGCTTGCTTGCAGGAGGGAGAATGATACGGGGGAGAGGCAGGTGAAGGGGAGAACGGGAACAAGTAGGGAAGACAAGGTTGTATTGTGTCATACGTTTACGTTTCCCTCTCTTTACTTATCCTGCCTGACTTGTCAGCTTGCGCCGACTGTGCTTGTGGCAGGTGGGCGAGATGGCAACGAAGAACCACCCGAACCTGGTGAGGCTGGTGGGGTACTGTCTGGACTTCAGCCCTGTGACGGAGAGGATGGAGCAGATCGTCATCTACGAGTTCATGCCCAACGGCGACCTCGAACACTGGATCGGCCCTTGTGAGTGCTTATCTCTCTCTTTCACTCTCACCATTTTATGTTGCTCAACATCTCAGCTAGCAACCTCACCCTCATTGTTTTTCCATGGCTGGTTCTCCATCCCCGCAGCGGCAAAGCAGACTCTCACGATGCGGCAGCGCCTGGATATTCTCATAGGCACGGCTCGCGGCCTGGAGTACCTGCATGAGTTTTGAGTGGTGCATCGCGACATCAAGCCCGCCAATATCCTTCTCGACGACAAAATGAAGGTATTAAGTTGTATGGTGCAATTGTGTGCCCTCTTGCCAGTACATGCAAAACAAATCTAAACATAACAAATTTAGATGTATACAATTGTGGCTCTTTTTCAGCTGGGCTTCTCAGCTATACATGTCTTTACATGTGCATTGCAGGCTAAAGTGGCTGACTTTGGGTTGGTGAGGCATGGGGAGGGCACATCTGGGGCTGCCACTCGAGTGATGGGGACACCTGGCTATGTCGACCCCGCCTACTACAAGTCACAAAAGGCCACTCCCATGGCTGATGTGTACAGGTATGGATGGTGTCGATTGAAGTGCATCTCAGATGAGATTTATCACCTTGTTATTGTGCATAGCTCTCAACAACACCATCTCACTTTATGCCATTATTCCTCTGCAGCTTTGGAGTGGTGATGCTGACTGTGCTCACGGCACGCAAGGCCATCTGCAACTTGGAGTCAGACCAGGTCAACCTCAAGGCATGGGTGGCTCCACTCATTGCATCCAATAATGTGGCTGCCTTCAAGGACCTGGACTTGGAAGCATCGGATGCAATTATCTTGCGCTTGGCACGCCTTGCTCTCAGCTGCACTGCAATGCCCACTGCGTCCCGCCCCTCCATTAGTCGAGTGCTGGCAGAGCTTACAGTTATAAAGGAAGACTGCCTTGGGCTAGAGGTAAATAGGATGGCAGAGCGCATTGACAAGGAGCTAGACACCTCCATGTCGCAAGACTTTGATGGGGAGCTTGCCCGTATTGCAAGCATTAAGTCTCAAAGCTTGATATGAACGGGTGTTCACGTGTTTGCTGTCTGTATATTATATACATTAGACTATTAGTGGTAATTGGAAAATGTTATGATAGAGCATAGCCCACATCGTTGGGTTACGCGATAAGTTCATGCAGTAGACGCTCTACACTGTACCATAACTTACCGCAACAAATAGTGTTACGAATTATCATGTACCAATGCCCCTGCCCACTCTTTTACCTCCAGAGAAATTGCAAATCTCAACAGTTATGTGTGGGTATTGTTTATTAGAGTGAAAACTCGTAAAGCTACTTATGGCCCTAGCGAAGACGTTTTTGAAGAAAAGTCAGTGCGGTGTGGAGCTGTCTGACAAGTTTCGTCGAGTCAACGGGTGAAAGTCCAATCGCTCCTAACCTCCTCACGCACACTTGCCTGTTCTCTTCGTCAAGAGAGTACAGGCAGAGAGCTGTCCCCACGAAACCCCCCCCCTCCCTCGCCCCTCCCTTCCCGCTTCCCTGCGCTGGCTGCCACATTTCGGCTCTGCGTCTGTGAATGAGGTGTTGTTTTCCGTAATTGATTCTCTTGTCTGATAGATAATCATTATCTTGGCGACGCTATGCTTTTGCCCTTCTGACTGCATCGCCATCGCGTGAACCAGAATACGGCGTATATCTTTTCTGGCCGTTCAACGGTTGAACCATCTCAAGCGAATCTCTTTTTTTTCCTAGGATTATTTCTCTCTACAGTAACCACAGATATGAAGCCTATGAACCATAGATGCAGGCAGTTCAAGCTGCGCACAACAGACCCTGGGGCGGCTGCTGCTGCGATATCATGTGTGTCCGACGATGAAGGTGCCCCTGGAGCCGCGGAAGCTAGTACCTCGCGAAGTATTACTACTAGCACTTGTACTACAACCAGGAGCACTACTACTAGTAGTACTAGTGGTGGTAGGAAGATAGAAATGGGAGAGGGGGGTAAGTGCATCGCTTCAGGTGGCGAGGGCGTTGCGGTGAAATTGCACGAGTCACATCGCCTTCTGAAAGTCGTAAAATGCTGTGAAACCACGAAGAGGGCCGGGCTTTCTGCGTCCCGCGATCAGCGCCGGGGGACGGATGGTGGCGGGGTACTAGAAGCGTCGTCGACAACGATGACTTCAAGGGATCAGGTCGGCGCGGATTCTCCATCCCCTCTGGCGGCTTTGAAAGCAGCGAGCTCTACCGAGGATCCTGATGCAGGGACAGCAGCTGGCATTTGTGGGTCGGAAAACGAGCGCTGCAAGACTGCGCCTCGGGCGCCTGAGTCAGCGAACGGCATCACTTCCATTCAAAGTACCTCTACTGCTATTAGCAGCAGCAGCAGCCGGCGTGGACCTGGTGACGTGGCACACTACTTGCGGGTTCTGGGGCTCGGGACACCAGCCAAATCACAGACTCATCGGAACATGGCAGCACAAATGTGCAGAGGTGGAAATGTGGGTGTTGCAATCGCTTCAGACGGGAGACCAGTGCGTTCTGAGAGGGCCATCGCAGCGAGGGTAGCCGCTGTGGCATCAGGTCCTGCTGACGTAACAGCCAAGCCAGTAGTGGATCCAATAAAAACATGCGCCACAGCAGCAGGTCGTTCTGTGAAGCCGGAAAACAGGCCTTTCAATCCCGCCTCCTATAAGAAACTAGCGCCCCTAGAATGCCCGTCAGCAGCCATATTAGTCCCGGTCCTTCCTGCAGCATCTTCGGGGGTGGCAGCAGCTGCGATGGGCGTGGGAACGGGAGGTGTGGCGGCCCAACAGCAGGTGCAGGCTTGCGCAAAGTACTCACTGGAGGAGGTGGTGCAGGCGACGGGTGAGTGGGCGGAGAGCAGGCGCATAGGGGGAGGCAGCTTCGGGGATGTGTACAAGGGCGAGTGCCCCACAACCCCTCCCTCGTCTGGGCTGTCAAGCGCGCCAAGGTCCTCACCAACGACTTCAAACGCGAGGTGGGCTTGGTGCGGGGGAGAGAATGATACGAGGGAGAGGCAGATGAAGGGGGGAACGGGAACAAGTAGGGAAGACAAGGTTGTATTGTGTCATACGTTTACGTTTCCCTCTCTTTAGTTATCCTGCCTGACTTGTCAGCTTGCGCCGACTGTACTTGTCGCAGGTGGGCGAGATGGCGACGAAGAACCACCCGAACCTGGTGAGGCTGGTGGGGTACTGCCTGGACTTCAGCCCTGCCACGGAGAGGATGGAGCAGATCGTCATCTACGAGTTCATGCCCAACGGCGACCTCGAGCAGTGGATCGGCCCTTGTAAGTCCTCCCTTTCTCTCTCTCTCTCTTTCTCCTCCTCTCCTTCTCTCTCTTTCTCTCTCTCCGTCCATGTGTAGTCCTATATAAAAAGCACTTTTCTCTTTCACTCTCACCATTTTACGTTGCTCAACACCACAGCTAGCAACCTCACGCTTATCATTTATTTCATGGATGATTTATGCAATCCCTGCAGCTGCAAAACGGACTCTCACAATGCGGCAGCGCCTGGATATTCTCACAGGCACGGCTCGTGGCCTGGAGTACCTGCATGAGTTTGGGGTGGTGCATCGCGACATCAAGCCCGCAAATATCCTCCTTGACGACAAAATGAAGGTATTCATGGTGGAGTTTATGCAAAACCCGATAAAAACATGTACAGGCTGTGTTGCTATGTTGCTTCTTTGCCTTCATGTCTTCACATGTGCATTGCAGGCTAAAGTGGCTGACTTTGGGTTGGTGAGGCATGGGGAGGGCACATCTGTGGCTGCCACTCGAGTGATGGGAACACCAGGCTATGTGGACCCCGCTTATTACAAGTCACAGAAGGCCACTCCCATGGCTGATGTGTACAGGTATGGTATGGATGGCGTCGATCAAAATCAATCTCAAACGAATATATCACCTTTTTATCTTGCATAGCTTTCGACAATACCTTCTTACTTTATGCCATCACTCCCCCGCAGCTTTGGAGTGGTGATACTGACTGTGCTCACAGCACGCAAGGCCATTTGCAACTTGGAGTCAGACCAGGTCAACCTCAAGGCATGGGTGGCTCCTCTAGTTGCATCCAATGATGTGGCTGCCTTCAAGGACCCGTACTTGGAAGCATCGGATACCATTGTCTTGCGCTTGGCTCACCTTGCTCTCAGCTGTACTGCAATGCCGACAGCGTCCCGCCCCTCCATAAGTCGAGTGCTGGCAGAGCTTACAGTTATAAAGGAAGACTGCCTTGGCCTAGAGGTAAATAGGATGGCAGAGCGCATTGACAAGGAGCTAGACACCTCCATATCGCAAGACTTTGATGGGGAGCTAGCCCGTATTGCATGTATTAAGTCTCAAAGTTTGGCATGAACACGTCTTCACGCATTTGATGTCCAATTTATATACCATCATTTATACATTACCGTACTAGAAGTGGTGATTGGAGAATGTCAAGGTACAACATAACCCCATAAGGTTGGAAGTGCATAAATGTTGGTGTTTGGAAAATCTAAGGGTTCCACAATAAGTTCGGGCAGTCAACGCTCAACACCACATTATAGCTTACAACGACATAGTGATATACAACTTATCATGTCCCGTACCTTGGTCATGAGTTCTGAATTTTAAAAATTTGTGCATTGCTTTAAAAGCTTTACCATAATGCAATGAATACTGCAGCTGGTTAAGTGTTTAAAGCGTCAAAGCCCGGTGTAAAGTGCGTAGAGGCACGTATTGGAGTCATGTTGTTCAACTTTCTATGATGCTTGGTAATGTCTCTGTAATCCATCTTGACAAGCCTTTTTGTCACTAGCGGGGACGTTCTCAGAGGGAGATTCATTGCGGTATGGGGCCGTCTTGTTGAGTCAACAGAAGCTAAGTCCAATCTCGCATCAAACCCTCCAAACTGACTGTCCAGCTCATACGTTGTAATTTCGTAGCGGTCAGCCCGGCGGTTTTATTTTTTTGCCCGCGGTCAGCACGCTGACTCGCTCGGTACCGTCGTGTAGCGAAACGGTAGCGGTACCGAGCGCTACCGACGCTACCGACCGGCTGAGGTACACCGCCTGACGCGCACATCGCCAGGACAACCACATGGCAGGCAACCTACATGGCCAGGCCATGCATTTTCCCAACTCTCCCCAAACCATCAGCCACAACCACAACCACCCCACCCACCCAATTCTCCTGCCCTGCCTGCCTGCGTGTTCACGTCCATGCTATTGAAATGCACAATCCCACCATATGAGATTTCGTGATTATTTTTCCAGCTTGCTACCTAGATAGAATCACGAACCCTGGCGACCCGATGCTTATTGCCTTTCTGACTTCATCTCCATAGCGTAAACCAGTGTGCAACGTGCCTGTTCTTCCTAGTCCTCCTAGTGTAATTGCGCTGCGAACACTTGACGCGGAATCGTAGTCGATAAGAAGATGAGTATGATATTTCTCAAACGCGCGGCGTCATCGTTAACCCAGTCTTCACTTCACCGTGCCGTTCATCCCCGCCACTTTTCCAAGATTGCAACGAAGACGAGTCGCTCGACATGGATGCGCGTGATTATGATCGGAGTGGACGGTAGCGACGCTAGCATGAAGGCTTTGAGCTATTCAATAACAAATGTATTTGATGCGAAGACGGACTACGTCATCATCATGTTCGTCCGGGCCAAGTTTGACGGTAATCTTCACTCCCATTCTCGATTTTTGGAAGCGTATGTACACGAGAATAGCAAGTGTTACAGAACATCATTATCCAACAACATAAGCAGGTACGCTTTTCTTCCACAATCCATCATGGTGTGCTTCGCATACACCCCTTCCCTTCGTTACCCCCGTCCAGCCTCCAGCGCCAACCTGCAACGATCAGAGTCGACAATCGCATCCGACGCGCAGAGGATCTTGGACGAGGCGTCGGCGGAGGTGAAGGCGGCTCACCCGGGCATTCAGGTGGAGTCGATGCTGGGCGAGGGAGACCCACGCGACGTGCTGTGCAACCGCGCTAGTGAGGACTTTGTGGACTTCATCATCGTCGGCAGCCAGGGCAAGACCGCTCTCACGGTACGACGCTCCCTGTATCTTGTGCTGGCCAGGGCAAGACCGCTCTCACGGTACGACGCTCACTGAATCTTGTGCTGGCCAGGGCAAGACCGCTCTCACGGTACGACAACCACACTTCCTTAAGATGCAATCAGATGTGGGTTCGTGTGCGGGGGTGAGCGTGCGGCCAAAAAGCAAGGGAGATGCATGCAAAAGATATGCGCATCGAGTCTTGTAAGCGTGAAGATGTCAATAGCGTAGAACTTTCGGTTCTGGAATAATAGTGCTGCTGCCTCTGGCTGATAATAGTGCTATATTCTTGACATTTCATTGCATTAGTAGACGAGCACTCACTGAAGTTGATCTTCTTCATTCCCAACTATCACCCTTCAAAAATATTTTTGGAAAGAGTGGGATTGGAGGAAATAATCAGAGGCAAGAGGTTTGTGATTAAGGTCAATACAGAAACGGTAATGGTGGATGGAGGCAGCAAGAAATCAAGCTCTGTTGCTAACACAGCATCCAAACCAAGACTCACATCCTGCTCTTCTTTTCCTTCCATCCCCTCCGCCTTTACTCGCCTTCCAGAAAGCAATGACGGGGAGTGTGTCCCAGTACCTGCTCCGCCATGCGCCATGCCCTGTGCTGGTCCACCCCCCATCCGCAGGGACATCAAGGGCAAAAAAAAGTACCTCCCTCATTGTCTCAGCATCAACGTATCGAGAACCAGCCCCACGCTCAAAATCCGCAGGCGCGGTAGTGGTAGCTCAAAATAAACCCAATGAGCCTGTCTCCCGACCTGCTGCAGCAGCGGTAGTGTCAGCAGCTGCAGGTGCTACTGCTAGGGGGAAAGGCGCAATGGAAGTGGGGGGCGGTGGGCAGGCGCAGGTGTGTGCGCAATACTCACTGGCGGAGGTGGTGCAAGCAACGAACGAGTGGGTGGAGAGCAGGCGCATAGGGGGAGGCAGCTTCGGGGATGTGTACAAGGGCGAGTGTCCCCACAACCCCTCCCTTGCCTGGGCTGTCAAGCGCGCCAAGGTCCTCACCAACGACTTCAAACGCGAGGTGAGATGGGTGCGGGAGGGAGAAAGAGACTATGGAGAGGAGTGAGAGAGGAAGGGGCGATGGGATGAGGAAAGGATATAGTAGGATTAAAGGTGAAGTCATGTGTCATCTCGCTCTGACTGAACCGTGAGGAGTTGTGGCAGGTGAGCGAGATGGCAACGAAGAACCATCCGAACCTGGTGCGGCTGGTGGGGTACTGTCTGGACTTCAGCCCTGTGACGGAGAGGATGGAGCAGATCGTCATCTACGAGTTCATGCCCAACGGCGACCTCGAACACTGGATCGGCCCTTGTGAGTGCTTATCTCTCTCTTTCACTCTCACCATTTTATGTTGCTCAACATCTCAGCTAGCAACCTCACCCTCATTGTTTTTCCATGGCTGGTTCTCCATCCCCGCAGCCGCAAAGCAGACTCTCACGATGCGGCAGCGCCTGGATATTCTCATAGGCACGGCTCGTGGCCTGGAGTACCTGCATGAGTTTGGGGTGGTGCATCGTGACATCAAGCCTGCCAATATCCTTCTTGACGACAAAATGAAGGTACTTGATTCGGGTGTTCATGCAAAACCAATCGGGCCAAGTTAATATCTTTGGCATCTATTTCTTCTTACTTATTGCTTCACATGTGCATTGCAGGCTAAAGTGGCTGACTTTGGGTTGGTGAGGCATGGGGAGGGCACATCCGTGGCTGCAACCAGAGTGATGGGAACACCAGGCTATGTAGACCCCGCCTACTACAAGTCACAAAAGGCCACTCCCATGGCTGATGTGCACAGGTATGAATGGTTTGGTGTTCATTGAAGTGCATCTTGAATGAACTCTCAGTTGCTAACGTCTCACCCGTTGCTACACAATGATTGACAACTCCAATTTACTTTTTTTTTGCAAATGCTCCCATCCAGCTTTGGAGTGGTGATGCTGACTGTGCTCACGGCACGCAATGCCATCTGCAACTTGGATTCAGACCAGGTCAACCTCAAGGCATGGGTGGCTCCATTCGTTGCATGCAATAATGTGGCGGCCTTCAAGGACCCAGATTTAGAGGCATCGGATGACATTATTTTGCGCTTGGCTCGCCTCGCCCTTAGCTGCACTGCAATGCCAACAGCTTCGCGGCCCTCCATGAGCCGAGTGCTTGCAGAGCTTATGGTCATCAAGGAGGATTGCCTAGGCCTGGAGGCCAACAGGATGGCGGAGCGAATTGACAAGGAGCTAGACACATCTATAACACAAGACTTTGATGGGGAGCTTGCTCGAATTGCCAACATCAAGTCCGGAAGTTGTGGGTGAATTAGTGCACTGCACATATTTGTTTTCCAGGTTGTGAGTACATTTGACCCTAAAGCTACTTGAAGCTGCTAATTTGAAGATAACCCCTTAGGAATTGGAATGTGTAGAAGGTGGGCATCCAAAACCAACCAATTGCCTTGTCTATTGCGGGTATTGTTGGCTGACACCCTTCCGAACGATTCGCTTCACGAGCCGCATGTTCAGCAAGTCGCACAATGTCGACAGGCGGCTCGACCTGCTCAAAGCTTGCAGAGACCCGAATAGGCACGATTCCTCCTAGTTCACATGTGAAGACCAAAAAAAACAGCGTCTTTCGCAGAAATTGGATGAAGCTGCTGAAATCTCGCGTGCTTCCTTCTTCGCTTGCTGAACGGATGACTGCCTAATGGGCTAGCCTCGGCTTTCTCCGCGGTCTCAGTCGGTCGCTTCTCCCCTCGCCACGATGTCCAAAGAACGCTTTCTGATTCTTCTCCTGGTGCTTCTCCTGTGCCTTCAATCCTGCGCCGCACTGCCTGGAGCCGAGCTTAGTCAACGACGAAGCCGGCAGCCGCAGCTGCGCCACCGACATCATCACCGCAAGGCCAAGGCGCACTCCCCTTCCAGCCGTGATACCATCAAGCGTGACAATAGCGGTTGGATCGCTGAAGGTGCATCCGACGAGGCCATCCGTTATAGTGCCACCGCCACAAGTCAGCGAGCACGCCTCGCGAGCGCTGCCTTCGTTATCAGAGAACCACGCCACGATGCCATGGTATCCGCTCATGCTACGACTGGCGCGCTGGAATCTACCCAAATTCATGAATCTTTGCAAGTGGCGGTGAAGGGAGAGGTCTCGAATGCGGCGAAAGGGGAACGCGACGCGGACGCGAGTTTATCGGCGCAGGACGCGGGGAAGCTGGGGCGGTTGTTGCGGAACTGGGGAGGGCGAATGATGGTCGAGCCTGACGCGCTGAACGTGTACCTAGTGTGGTACGGCGACTGGTCTCCCTCTCAGATAAACATCGTGCGAAACTTTATCGCGTCGCTGGGAGCGAGCGACGAAGGCGGAAACGTCAGCCGCGACAGCAGCAGTAACAGCAATCGCAGCGACAGCAGGAACGTTGAGCGGAGTCGCGACAATGGCAGCATCAGTAACCGCAGCAGTGAAAACGGGCGCAGTCAAGACCTCATCAACGCTACTAGCACGGAGGCCATGGCTACGGCCGTTGGTAGCAGAAACAGCGGGAATGATAATGGTAATAGCTCGAGCAACGGCAGCACTAGCAGCAACAGCAGCAGTAACAGTAACCACAGTGGCAGCTACAGCTCCGGGAGTAACGGCAATGTCGGAGGTGGTGGAGAGGGTCGTGCGGGAAAGGGGGCGGAGATGTCAGCGGCGCCAGCGTCAAACGTGAATGGCCAGCCGGCGACAGTGGCGGGATGGTGGGACATCACCGCGCGATACTATGCTGACTTCGCTGGTCGACGTGCCGTTGCTCGGCTGCGACTGGCGGGCGAAATCGAGGACAGTTACTCATTGTCGCCGCTAGGGTCGATAATGAGCCCCTTGTCGCATGATGCTGTGCGACAGATCCTGCGACAGGCAATGGACGAGAGTCGCAGCGAGCACTTTCCGCAGGATCCGAGCGCGGCGTACGTGGTTTTAACGAGCGGGGACGTTCACTTAACTGATTTCTGTAGAGGTTACTGTGCGTATCACACGAGCGCGACAATAGTGGACGGCGGACCCACGCTCGCGTACGCGTTTGTAGGCGATTCGACAAAGCAGTGTCCACAGAACTGTACGTATCAGTACCTTGACGAGGGGTACGTGGGAAGCAACGGGGACTTGGCTGCGGATTCGATTGTGGACAAACTGGCACACGAGCTGACGGAGCTTGTAACGAATCCGTTCCAAGGGAAAGAAGAGAGGGCAGGGTGGGTGGTGGGGGGGGAGGGAACAGACGAAGCAAGCTGGCAGCAGATCGAGAATGCGGATCTTTGCGAGTGGAGATACTCTGGGGTGAACAGGGACGAAAAAGGGCGGCACTGGAATCTGCTGGGGGTGAATGGGACAAGGTACCTGATTCAAGACAACTTCAATGTGGAGCTGATGCGATGTGTGCAGCAAGGGGGGTACAGCTGAGAGCAGCGTATGGAAGAGATGAGGCTTGTATGCCGCCTTCCCTATTCCTGCCATGACGGATTCCCATCTTACCCATAGAAATCCACTCCATGGTTTGTGAGCGTGTGTGTGTGTGTGTGTGTGTGTGTGTGTGTGTGTGTGTGTGTGCATGTGTGTGTACATGTTTGTGCCTGTGTGTGCTAGCACTTATCTATGTAAGTATGGGTGTCTATGCATGTGCAGGTGCTTTTGGGTAGCATGAAGGATATGCCATGGATTGAGGCCGTGGTTGAAGGAGTTCCTGGGAACACCAGCCTGCTTCCTGCACGAACGGCCTTCCCACATGACCTCCACAAAGACGGCCCGAGAAGGGAAATGGGAGTGTAGTTTGACTTGACCTTATGCCATACTTAGAAATAAATGTAAAAAACGTTTGAAGCAGCATGTTTCTACACACATCAGTACAAACACAAACTAGGAGGGCAGACTAGAGAGAATAATGGAGGCTCTTATGCTAAAACTTGGCGTGTGGCGTTCGTCCAATCAACCGTGTTAGTGCATTTAGGAGAATGACCCAACTACCACACATACCATCTGAAACAGAACCACCCCTTCCGCTTTCAAGCTTGCTCATTCTCCCCCTCACATTGCCTTCCTTCCACCCTCCATTACCCCCCACCCCAACCCCGCCTCCCCTCTACAACCGCACCCACCCACACACCCACACCACCCCAATCTTCCCAAAAAATAAACAAAGCGGTTCAGAGGAAGTAGTCGGGGGTCTTGCGGGCAACGTCGGGTTCGCCCTGGCGCGGCGCGGGTTCGAACTGCAGGAAGGAGCGGTCCATGGCCTCATCCACCTCCATGATGGCCGCCATGTTGCCACAGCGGTAGCAGTAGTTGGGCGCACTGAAGATCGTCACCACGTTCTTGTCCTGCAGGCCCGAGGGGAGAGGACGGGGGTGGGGCCACCGTGGGGTGTGACGGCCAGGGGAGGGCGGACGGGGGGAATGACAGGGGAAGGGGAGGGGGGATTGAGAGGGGGAATGGGAGACACGGGCTGGAGCTGAGAGCGACAGGGAGGGCGGGCGGGAGGGCACGCGTGTCGGGCAAAGCCTGGGAGACTCGAGCTAGGGACGGAGTGGCTTTGCATGTATGGGAGTGTGGGCAGGCAGGTACTGGGGAGGTGTGGCGTGGTGGAAGCACTTGAATGTGCTGCGTTGCCAGGAAAGACTGCTGAGGTTTGATGGATGCAGGAGGGGAGACAGGCTGAATGGATACGGATCAGAGTGTGTAGGTGGGGGAAACAGGCGGGATAAAGTGAAACCAACGACTGGTCGCCTAGTTTTCGCCTAATTTTCACTATTCAATTGCATACCAGCCTCTTCCAATCAAAATGCAGGATGCGGCAATGCTGCACAAGGAAGAAGATCCATCCCACACATTCAGTATCCCACACCAGCAGTCCCACCGTCAATGCCAGGTCAACCACCCACCCACCCATTCAGAGCCCATCCTAATCCCTTTCCCCCACCCACACCTCTCCCCTCCCCTCCCCTCCCCTCCCCTCCCCTCCCCTCCCCTCCCCTCCCCTCCCCTCCCCTCCCCTCCCCTCCCCTTCACCTTCCCCTTCCCCTCCATCCCCTTCCCCTACCCATCCCTCCCCCTCCCCCTCTGCAGACCTGCGCCCAGTTGTAGCCCTCCATGACGAGCTGGTGAGCGCGAGCCACGAGGTTGAGGCCGTTGTTCTGGTTGAACTGCTCGCTGATGTCCTGCCCGAACGTGTACCCCGCCCCGCGCGGCGAGATGCCCCACCCGCACCGGTCGTCTGGGTCCGACCACAGCAGGTCGCACATCGGCCCCTCGTGGGGCACCTGGGGGGAAGGAGGGGGGAAGGAGAGGGGGAAGGTGGGGTGGAAGGGGGGAAAGGGTGGGAGGAAGAAACGAGGGGAATTGGGGGGGGGATTGGGGGGAGTTGGGTGGATAGCAAGAAGTTGTCCGGGTCCGACCACAGCAGGTCGCACATCGGGCCCTCGTGGGGCACCTGGGGGGGGAGGGGGGGAGAGGGGGGAAGGCGGGGGGGTGGGGGGGAGGAGCGAGGGGAATTGGGAAGGATTGGTGGAGGTTGGATGGATGGCAAGAAGTCGTCCGGGTCCGACCACAGCAGGTCGCACATCGGGCCCTCGTGGGGCACCTGGAGGGGGGGGGGGGGAGAGGGCGACGGGGGGGGGTTGGGGAGGGGAAAGGGGGAGGAGATTGGGGAATTGGTTCGGGATTGCAGTAAGAGGGATAACTTGTCCGGACCCGACCATAGCAGGTCACACATGAAGCGCTCAGGGGGCACCTGGAGGAAGAGGTGAATGGAGGGGCGCGGTGAGTTGCGGGAGATTGCGGGGAGGGAGGTCGCATGTGAGGTGAGGCCCTCGTGGGTCATCAGGAGAAACTGGGGAGGAAGAGAGGAGCGCGGGGAATTTGGGGGAATTGGGCGGACAATCATCAGCGTCTCTCCTTCCAACCTGCCTCCAACTTCCTTTTCCCCTTGCTCCTCCAACAATCCGCAATTTCCCCATCTCCTCCATCCACCATCCCCATCTCTCAACTCTCCCCCTCGCACGCGCCTGCCCGCACCTGCCCGCACCTCCCCGCGCATGCCCGCGTGTACCTGTCCCCGTGCCTCACCTCCTGGCAGCGGTCGAGCGCTCTGATGTGGTCCAGCGTGTCCAATGACGGCGACAGCCCGCCGTGCAGACAGAAGATCTGCCATGGCGCGCAGGGACGACGCGAGCAGGGGGGACGATGGGGTAACAGGGGGAATGAGGAAAGCGCAGCAGGGGGAGGGGGTGCAGGAAAGAAGGGATGGGTAGGGAATGGGAGAGAGAGGATGCGAGGAGGGAGCAGTCGAGGGGAGGCAAGCGAGAGGCTAGCGTGGGTAACAAAGGATGTCGGCGCATTGTCCGTGCACTCACCACCCTCAACCTTCCCCCTACCCCTTCACCCCTTCCCCTTTCTCAACCCCCCTCACGAGCGCGCATACACACATACAGCTCCCTCCACCCCCTCCCCCTCCCCCCCTTACGCCCCCTTTCCGCAGTGCGCGCGCGCGCGCGCGGGCTACGGACCTCGCTTTCGACGAGCGCGGTGAGCGGCAGGTAGTCGAAGAGGTCCGTAAAGGCCTTCCACACGTTGGCGTTGCCGTACTTGCGCAGACACTCGTCGTAGAAGCCGTACCTGCGCCGGGGGGGGGGGGGGAGCGGGGGGGGAGGGGGAAGGAAAGGGGAGGAAAGGGGAGGAAAGGGGAGGGTGCGGAATGCCGGGGTGAGTGAGAAGATGGGGCATGAGGGGAAGAAAGAGGGGGGATGAACGGAATAAAGGGGAGGGAGGGGGGAGGAGCGGTGAGGGTGGGGAGGGGAGAAGAGACGGGCGAGACGAAGGGGGAGGCGGGAATGGGGAGTGGGGAGGTTGTAAGCGAGGGGAAATAAAAAGGCTGTTACAATTTGAGAAGGAAAGGTGGGGGAGGCACAGAACGCAGAGGAAACAGAGGGCCGAGATGCGCGCAGCGATGAAATCCCGGCACATGACCGCACGTACACTTGCGTGATCTGCCTGCTCTCGTGGTTGCCGCGCAGGATGGTGATGCGGTCGCGGTAGCGCACCTTAAGCGCCACCAGCAGCGTCACCGTCTCCACCGAATAGTACCCGCGATCTGCACGCGCGCACGGGGGTGGCACGGGGGAAGAGCGGAGGAAGACGGGGAAAGATCGGGGGGAGACGGGGGAAGAGCGGGGGGAGACGGGGGAAGAGCGAGGGGGGACGGGGGAAGACGGGAAAAGCATGGAGTTGTGGAGGCCGGAGGATGAAAGGTGGGGAACGGGCGAGGTGCGGGCGAGAATGGGGGAAATGGTGGAAAAAAAAAGCGCCACGCATCTCCCGCGACGACACCGTGACTCAACGGCTTGTGCGTTAAGCGGTGTCCGATGCTGACAGACTGCCAAGATAAATATGCGTCCCTAATAAATCTTTCTTCTTTTAAGCTTTCAATTCCTAATTTTTGGCTGGCCAACTAAAGGGCCGAAGGACTGCCAATCCCAACCCTAAAAAAGGGAAAAAAGAAGGGCGCTTATAAGACCCCGCAAAAAAACAGCACTGGTTAAAAGACTGTCGCACGTATAAACCACGATTTTCAGAGCGTTTCGCGAAAAAAAGGCCCAAAAAAATACTGGAATCGACAGCACGTACCGACATAATCGCCCATGAAGAGATAGTTAGTATCCGGCGCTCGGCCGCCAATCCGGAAGAGCTCGATGAGGTCGTAGAACTGGCCGTGGATGTCGCCGCACACGGTGACGGGGCACCGCACGGGCTGGACGTTCGATTCCTCCAGAAACACTTCGCGCGCTTTCTCGCATAGTTGCTTCACCTCGACTTCCGATAATGGCTTGCACTCGCATAGCTGTTCGATCTGCCGGTCTAGATCCGCGTAGTACGCCGCCATTTGCGGGAAAAGGCAACGTGCCGGCCGGAGGGATGTACGGTGCTGAGGAGGGAAAGGGGTTCGACGCTGGAGTACGACGGTGCGTTGCGGTTAAGCGCGGTAGGAGAAGCTGATGGCGGTTAAGGTGAACAAAGAAGTTGAAGGTCCGTTACGGAGAAGAGCAGCAGCGGCTCGACAGCAAGGCGAGTTGTCTTTAGGGTCGACAAGACAGCTGCGATAGAAAGTTACTGGAGGAACTGCGACGGGAAGAAGAAAAAAGCGAAGCTTTGTACTTTTTGATTTTGTTCACTAAGGCGCCAACATGAGCGGGAGATGATAGGAAAAAAAAATTGAAGGAAAGCACGGTCGGCAGAAGCAGACTAAACCTAAACGGCAATAACCGTAAACTGTAATTATATGGCGACGGGCCTCTCACACGGGGAGCCTCTCACACCAGCACAAGCAGACCGACCGGAACAAAGCCACCTAAACCAGCCTTCGTCTCGTCTACAGACGGCGGAAACGGGTGGAGTATAATTGGGGGGAACCACGCGGGTCTCCCTGTTGTGTTCGGTGTTGTGTGTCTTGCAGTGGGGGTGGGTGCTGCTGCTGCGTGGTGAACCCGACCGATAAGGCTGGCAGGGGTTTGTTCGGTTCGGTGCCCTGGAAGTTGGAACTTGCAGTCACGAGATGGCTTGGTGGTTGGTTTGGTGGTGAGCGAGGCGAGGCTGGGAGAGAGAAGAACCGAGGTGGAGTTGGTGGAGAGAGACAAGGGGCGAGCGAGAGGGTAACAACCCATACGAATCATGGCGAAGCTTTCGAGGCGAAACAGAGTAATACATCAACGTGAAAAATAAAAAGTTACCCGACTAGCCATGAAGTGCCTAAAATAGTTCAGAACTTTCAGACTAGTTTGCAACAATGTTCATCCCAAACAAAAACTCCTTTGGCCGGCAACCTCAACATCTAGTCTCTTGAGCAGGTCCTGAAGCATTAGGGTACATTCCGCTCTGGACACAAATGTCTCAATCGCGTAATAGAACCGCTGTACCAGTCTGCACCGCATTACACTTGAGTGTCGAACATTTCCACCGCACTGCATCTCTTCGTTTGAGACGCGAGGCCTTTGTGACGCGCGTCAGGATTGTACCCTACTAGTGATTGCATTTGCGAAGACACATTATGCAACAATCACCATCATAAGCTATCGTAGTTGCCATGTCAACTTCCATGACACACCAACACCAGCATAGGACACGCCTGTCCAGGCCCTCAGATTGGTTTGAGATTATGCTGATGGATCAGCGTGCCCCGGCCAACGAGGTGTCCAAATCAGCGTTCACGGATTTTTTTTGACTGATTTTGCCAGTGTGAAAATCATAAGTAAACTGGACCAACAGTGTAAAAAAAAAAACTAACAGCTGAAACACTAGTGCAAGGTGTGTGCTGTTGTTACTGTGATACCGTAGGTTCCAGCGAGGCGAAAGATATCAGGTCCACACACTTCGGAGCGCACCTGATACAGTATCTGCGCAGCACATGCGAAGTGTGTGGGTTTCGTGACACGGAAAGGTATAGTATGTACATGCGTAACTTATACCCCCCCCCCACGCACTGAAGTATGCTGATTCGTCAGTGTTACTTGTTCAGAAACACACATAATCGTCAGTGTGGCAAAATCACATATACTGAAATTTCAGCCCATAATGGAAGCATTTACTGATTTTTCAGGGAAAACGAAATTCAGAGCTACAAAATCAGCGTAATCAGCGTGTTTTACGCTGATATCTGAGGCCCTGCGCCTGTCATTCAGCCCTGGACCAAAATAAATACCGGTACCACCCATAACTCCCCGTCTACTTCCAGGTTATTGCCACCCAACAGCCATGACAGATAGTGTCAAGGACCCAAAAGCGGTCAAATCTCCAAGAGTGTACTCTACTTCCCAATCCCAACACAGTACTGTCTGACAAGAACAAACGGACAGGCAAGTCGCAGGAGACGAGGACTGAGCCGTCGCAAGCAGTCGTCGCGTGACTCATGAGGGGGTGAGTCAGTAGGTGAGCCAGCCCTTGTTCTGCGCAGTGATCATGGCCCAGTTGGGCACGCCACGCGAGTCCTTGTCCACCTTGAACGACCAGAAGAACCACCCGGCTGATGCGTTGTTGTACACCTCAAGCTGCGTCTGGCTGAACACCCCGTAGTCGCCCTCCTTCGCCCCCACGAATTCTGGCAGCGCTAGCGACCACTCACCTGGGTGGAGTGGAGAAGGGCAGGTGATTGGAGAGAGCAAGGAGGTGGGGGAGGGGGGAATGGGGGAGGATGGGATGATTTGTGGTTGCAGTGACGGGAGAATGGGATGACGTGATGGTGGCGGATGGTGGTTGGGATCATGGTTGCGGGATGGGATGAGAGCACGTGAGATTCAGAGCGCATGGGAAGCGTTGAAGTTGAAGAGGAGCGACAGGGAGAAAAGAAGAGAAGGGTGAAGGGAAGGCGCAGAGACAGAGGCAGAGGCAGAAGCAGAGGCAGGCGTGCACGTACCGACAAGCACGGTGCGGTCGCCCTCAGAGAGCGCTTTGAGCTCGGTGGCGCGCTGGTTGCGCACGTAGTCAATGTGCGCCTGGAAGCTGGGGTTGGTGTTGATGTCCGGGTCAAACACGTTGTAGTAATGCACGTCTATCAGCACGTTGTTGTGCTGCCAGCCCAGGTGGGGGGGGGTGGCAGGGGGGAAAGGGGTTGCAAAGCGAGGAAAGGGAGCGGGGCGGAGGAGAGAGGAAGGGGTTGAGTGGGAGGGGGAGACGGGGGGAGCAAGGAAGGGAGAGGATGTGAAGCGTGTTGGTGTTGATGTCTGGGTCAAACACGTTGTAGTAATGCACGTCTATCAGCACGTTGTTGTGCTGCCACCCACGTGCGGGGGGGGGGGTGCGGGGGTAGGGGGGTGGGTGGGTTGGGGAGGAGGGGGAGGGGGTAGAACAGCAGGGCGAATCGGGAAAAGGACTTTTAAGGCACATCACAAGTTGATGTATGGGTCAAACACGTTGTAGTACGCGCGTCTATCAGCACGTTGTTGAAATTCTTGCCTTTGGGGGAGCAATCGGGACTGGAAAACAGGGACCATGGCGGAAGGGACAATGGTATGGTGCCGCATGTAGCCATGATATACAAGGAATTGTGAGGCCATACCAAGCTATGTCAACTTATGCAAAACCATACTATCTTCTCTCCCAACCTTCTCTCCTCCCCTCTCTACCCCCTCATCCCCTCTTCCTCTCCACTCCATCCTCGCCCTTCTCACACCCGCCTGTCTCCCGCCCTCCCTCATCCCCCCCAACGACCACCATCCCACCCACAGCCTCACATCCAGAGCATTGGTCATGAACCCGGCCATGTCGGTGGTAGGAGGCTGGCCCAGCAGCGGTGAGATGCCGACGTAGGCGCAGGGCGAGTACTTGCGCACGATGTCGTATGCATCCAGCATGTACTGCTTCAGCCGCCCACTGGGGCTGCCGCCTGTGCCCAGCGGTACCATGTCCGTGTTCGGCTCGTTCAGCAGCCCGATGCCGAACAGTGCTGGGCTCTTGGAGTACCTGTGGGTGGGGTGCGGTGGATGAGGCATTGTGGGTGGTGGAGAGAGATGGGTTTTGAGGCGTCTGGGCGTTCAGTAGGCTGATGTTGAAGAGTGCGGGGCAGCGCAGCACATTAGACATGGGTGTTAGAGAGGAGGAGTGGAGGGGTGCAGGAGCGGAAGGAGAGAAGGTTTTGGACCGAAAAGGTGATTCTTGAGGGTTAAAAAGAGCCCACCTGCAACACAACGCCACGGCCCCCATTCTGCTGACCTGCTAGCGAGCCACTCGATGCAGTCGAGTGTCTTGTTGATGTTGCCCTCGTAGTGCTGCCAGTCAAGCGCGCCTTCTCAGACCGAGCAGGTGGTTCTTGAGAACTCTAACAAAACCCACCTGCAACACCACACCACGGCCTCCCATTCCGCTGACCTGCTGGCGAGCCACTCGATGCAGTCGAGCGTCTTGTTGATGTTGCCCTCATAGCGCTGCCAGTCAGGTGCGCCGTCACGCGAGGAGCTCTCACTGCCGTGGTTCTGCCCGCCCGGCGCACTGTGCATCGACAGGTAGATGCGGATTGAGTACTTCTCTGGAGGATGGCAGGGATGGGAGGGACGGGGCGGATGGGAGTGATGGAAGGGAAGGGAGGGACGATGTGAGCAGGGAAGGAGAGAGTTGGCGGTGGGGATGGCACTAGAGTTAAGCGCAGGGACGTATTTGGGGAGGGGTTGGGTTGGGTTTGGGGTTGGGAGGATGGGAATTAAAAGGAAAGGTGCAAAAGAGGAGTGCTGTGCATCCCCGCTTTGTCCTACAACCCCCCTGAATTCCCCACCACACCCCCCACCCAGCTATCTATCCTCATCCCATCCACGGAGCAGGCAGAGTCAAGCACAGCGTCAGTCCCCAGAATGAAGGGCCAGTTGGGCTCGTTGCCCTGCATGCTGGACAGACAGCACAGAAAATCTCCCCCACTCCTCACCCCATCCCCGTTCCCTCCCACCCACACCCGCTTTCCCCACCACACTCCCCCCTCCAGCTATCTATCCTCACCGGCCATGGAGAAGGCAGAGTCGAGGATAGCGTCAGTGCCTGGAATAAAGGGCCAGTCGGGCTCGTTGCCCTGCATGATCCAGTAGCCCACGGGGATGCGCACGGTGTTGATGCCCTGCTCCGCCAGGTACCGCCAGTCGTCCTCCACTATGAACGCGCGCCAGTGGTCCGGCAGACGGTTGCTGGAGTCCCGCGCGTATGCCGCTGTCTGCCACTCGCCCTGCACGGATGTCACCTGTGGGGGGGGGGAGGAGAGGGAGGGAAGGGGGAGAGAGGGTGTGGGAGGGAATGGGGATCAGGTGGGGGAGAGGGTAGGGGAGAGAGTGTGGGAGGGAGAGTGTGGAAGATTCGGAAAGCAGATGATGAATGAGGAAGGGGGAATAATATATGCACATGTACACACATCCACACATGCACACATCCCCACACGCTCACATGCCCACGCGCACACATCTTCCATGCACACATGCGCACATACCCGAGCACTTGTACGCACACACATGGCAACGATACGCACTCTGTCAATGTAAAAGGCGGTATGGCCATCGAAGGAGCCCGGGGTGGCAGAGGAAATGAAAGGGGAGGCTACATGGATGCACACATGCGACGATACGCATGGACACATGGCAATGGTACGCACTCGGTCAATGTAGAAGGCAGTGGAGCCATCAAAGGAGCCCGAGGTGGCGGAGGCAGAGACGTCGTCCCCCTGCACGTTGAGGTACATGCCGTTGTTCGCCTTGAACTGCGCCTTGCTGCCATCCGATGACACCTGGTCAAGGACCATACACGCGCACACACGCGCGCGAGACCACATACACACACACGCGCGCGCACACACACGCACACACGCGCAGACGCACATACCGATCCGCCACACACACACGTGCAGGCGTGCCTCACACACAGAGACGTTAACATACAGGCAGGGGCACACAAGCAGCACGTCACAGATATTGTCAGGAGCATGGAGAGGGGCCTAGGGTCAGACGACAGCAACGGAGTACGTGTGTGGCATTCTGTTGACACTTGAACAGCTCCCACATTTCTCTACAAACAGAGCCTTTGATACGTCAAGGGACTGTGGGTGTGACGTGTTCATACTGTGGGGTCAGGCAGGCACTGCACTGCAGTAGTAAATCTCTGGTTATTATCTGGTTAATCTCTGGTGAATCTCTTGAACCCTGGGTGCACTGCAATGCCCTGCACTGACCTCCATGGTCCAGATGTCGCTGCTGTCGTCGCGCGGTATGTCATACTGCGTGATGACAGTGCCGCCACCGCCGCCCTGCGCCTGCATGAACAGCCCCGACTTCCACAGCCGCACCTGCACCTTGCCTCCTGCCCCGTCCACCCTGCGGATCACAAAGTGGTCATAGTCTATACTGCCGCCATCCCCCGTGCACCGCAGCTGCATGCAGGGCCATGGGGGGAGGGGGGGGCGAGAGGTGGAAGGAGCGAAATGGGATTGGGGAAAACGGGGAGGGGGGAAGGGGAAGGGATGGGGGATGGGAGAGGATAAGTGAGGAAGTTTCTAGATGCCTTGGAGATGCACTGCAGATGGCAAAGCGGTCATAGTCCACCCACCCACACTGCCACCATCTCCCGTGCAGTGCACGCAGCTGCATGCAGGGCCACGGTGTAGTGAGGAAGTGTCACCCTGTGGTCGCCGCTGGCAGCGGCGCGCAGCCAAGCTACTTGCTGCTGGCAACGGACTTGACCTTGAGAGCTCCCAGCCGCTTATGTGAAGATTGTCTGGAATGGCTCACCTTGTGGTCGCCGCTGACAGCAGCGCGCAGGCACTTATTGTTGGCAACGGACAGACTTGACTCGAGAGCTCCCAGCCGTTTTTTGAGAAACCTGCATAATTGCTCACCTTGTGGTCGCCGCTGACAGCAGCGCGCAGGTACTTGTTGTTGGCGACGGACTTGAACTTGAGCTCCCAACCGTCCACCAGGTCCGGCACTCCGTCGTACATGCTGGGCGTCATCCACTGCTCCAGCACCAACCACCCTCCCAGGTTCATCCCTCTAATGCGTGCTACCTGCCAGGGGGGTGAGAGAGTAGGGGTGCCGGGGTCGGGGCAGCAGGGTGGGGGGACCAGGTGGGGAAGTGTGTGGGATGCGAGGAGTAGTGAGGAGAAAGGGGGAGAGGGAAGGAAGAGGAATTGGGGAAAGAGGGAGGGCGGGGGGAAGGGAGAGGGGAATTGAGGATCGGTGCCGAGCTAGACGATGTGCGCACTGAAAGTCATATGGACACGTGTGCTCGCGAAAGTGCACCAATGCACACACACACACACACACACACACACACACACACACACACACACACACACACACACACACACACACACACACACACACACACACACACACACACACACACACACACACGCGTCTTCGCCTTCAGACAACAGCTCAGAGACATCGTACCATCCCTTATCCATGCTTAAAACAGAACCCTCACCCACGCCCCATCCAACGCCCCACCCACGCCTCAATCACGCCCGTCCCATGCCTGACCTTGGTGACTTCGCGCACGTTCCACGTGTACTGGGCGCCCTGGGGACCCCCGCCCATGGCGTCAAAGGCGTTCTTGTTGCGCTGCACCTGCAGCTGCCCCACCGCGTCCGCGTTCCGCCACCCCACTATCCCCCCGTCATACGTGCGCAGCACCATCTGCCTCTGCCCCACCTGCACTCGCGGCAGCACCGCCGTGAGGGGACACGGGGAGAGGAGCATTTAACAGGGTTCGGGCAACGAGGAGAGGCAGCAGGGAGGCGTGGGAGAGAGGTGGCGGCAGGGAGTGCAGCAGGGAGGGGCGATTGGGAGGGGTGGAAGGGTGGGAAGGGTGGGAGGGGTGGAAGGGAGGAGCAGCTCGGATACAAAACACAAACCATTAGAGAGCAGAGACAGAAAGCAGAGGCTGAAAGCAGCACCAGATAAAGCACAACCGAACACGCCCCCTCAGTCCCTCCCTCCTTCCCTTCCCCCATCCCTCCCCACTCCCTCGCCCCATCCCTCCCCTCGTCTCCTCCCCCATCTCTCCCCTCATTCTCCCTCCCCTCCCCCTCCCACCCCTCCCACCCACCGGATCAGCCGAGAAAATCCCCTCAGCAGTCTTGCCGGTCTGCGTGGCAACGAGCGTCCCGTCCTTGGTCACAGTCACCCAGTTCCCATTCGGCGCCTTCAATCGGAACGCCGTCTTGTTCACGCGCACCACCGTGAAAAACTCATCAACCCCGGGAGCCGTGTTGGTGTTCAGACCCAGCGGGCCGCGCCCATACGCGCCAAACTCGCCCGTCGTCCCCTCCGCAGGAGGTGCAGCGGCGCCGGGGGGAGCAGGCGGCTTGGGCTTGCCAGGAGAAGCAGGAGTGGGGACCGGGGGGGAAGGGGACGCGTCTGGAGCTTGAAGCAGCCGCCGTCGCCCACCACCTCCGAACCACGAGCTGACAGGAGGGGGCGTGTAGCCGTATCCAAACCTCGGGCGATTCTCCTTGGTGATTTCAATCGTGTTGTTGTACAGGACCCCGTCGAGAATTGTGCCCCACACAGGCATCCCCCCTATGTCCTTCGTCGTGTTGTCTGCGAGCTTTGCCGTGCTGCCGAAGGTCCCGTCAGAAGTCCCGGACAGGAAGGTCCCGTTGAGGACCTTCAGGTAGGAGAGTTCTCCGATGGAGCGGCGGCGGTCCAACAGGCTATCAATCACGGGACCCGGCTGAAACTCCACCGTTTTGTTCCCGTCGTCCCACAGAACCGCCGCGTACGTCCCGCTGGCCTGCCCTTGCCCCGTTACAATCACATTCACGTAGAAGGAATTCGCTATGAACGAGCCCCGCGTGGCGTGATTCATGTCGTCCTCACCGTATACCACCACTGCGTTTATCTTGCTGATGTCTAGAATCACGTTCTCGCCCATGTTGATCTCGCCCTTCATTCCGGGGATGTATGGCGGGAGGTTCTTTCGAGGCGGGGGGGCGTACACGCCAGGGGGGAGGGTGGGCGCGGGGAGAGCACCAGGGGGAAGCGGCGGGGGCGGGGGAGGCGGGGGGACGTATGGGGGCGGGGGAGCCAGGGGCGGGGATGGCGGCGGGGGGGAGAGGGGCGGGGAAGGCGGAGATGGGGGGGTCAGGGGGGGAGGTGGGAATGGGGGCGGGGGGACGTAGGGCGCTGGCGGAGGGGAAGGGGGCGCAGGAGGCGGAAAGCTTGGCGGGGGGGAGAGCGGCGGCGGGACATAGGGCGGGGGCGGGGCAATGGGGGGAGGAGAAGGCGGGGGAACAGCGGGGCCGGGAGGGGGGGACTGGGTGTTGCTGGTATCGGGGGTTTCAGGGATAACGACGGGGGGGGAGCCAGGGGGGGTGGTGTACGGGGGAGGGGGCGCGCCTGGGATCTGTTTGGTAACACCTTTGAGGACCCCGTTGGGGGGCTGCGGGTACCACCACAGGTTGCCGTATGACTGCAGCTGGATCTGCGAGTGGGAGTGATGGGTTGCGGTGCACGTGGGTGGTGTGCGGTGCAGCAGGAGGGCGGGAGGATGGAAGAGAGGGAGTGGGGGTCGGAGAGGGAGGGAAGCGGGTTGAGTAAGCTGTATGGCGTGAGCAAGGAGGGTGCGTGTAGCTGGTGGTTGGAAAAGTTAACACAGGACAGACAGAGGACAAAGAATTCCCTGCCATGGAACAGGAACAGCAAAGCAGGCAGAAGCAGCAAGCACCATCATCAACCCATCTCCCAAACCCTCCCCCTGCTCCCTCTCCCGCTTCCCCCCCCCCCCCCCCCCCGCAACTCTCTTTTCCTTCCCCTGCCCCCCCTGTCCCCATCTCACCTGAGCGCCATCAGCAAGCGCGTTGCTCCACCAGGTGCTATTCATCGTCTTCACCCCGGGATTCACCGCCTGCGCGCCGAACCCGCCCGAGCTGCACACCTGTCCGAGCGGCGGCAGCGTGAGCGGCGGCATCTGGGGCCCCGCAGGCGTGGCTATCGCCGTGACGTAGACGCTCATGACGGGCTGGCGGGTGACGTCGAAGAAGAGGAGACCCGGCAGGAGAAGTACGAGGAAGATGATGAGGACGGAGCAGCAGTTGCAGGCTGCCGGGAGGGGCACCTTGGGCGGCTCCGGGTGCCAGTCGGGACGGCCCACTGCCATGGTGAGCGCGCGCTCCTTGAAGAAATTGAGTTGCTTCTGCTCAGGGGGAGGGGGGGAAGGGGGGGGGGGAAGGGGAGGGGGGGAAGTGGATGGGAGGGGAGCGAATGGCGAGTGAGGAGAAGGGAGGGTGCGAGTAGGAGAGGGGAGAGAGGGGAGGAGCGGAGGGGAATGTGGAAGGGTTACAAGTGAGGGAGATGGAAAGGGGAGAGTGTCTTTTTCAGCACCCTGTAGCCCAGCCCACGGCTACAGGCATGGTGAGAGCACGCTTTTTGTAGAAATGGACTTGCTTCAGCAGAAATGGGGGGATTGGGAAGAAAATGGTTGGGTGGAGACGAGGGGGAGGGTATCGGCAGTGGGGATTGGGGAGGCAAGGAGATGCGGCGGCAGGGGAGAGCAGGGCAGGGACGACGAGCGGTGACCGGAGCAAGGGTAGGAAAAAGAGTTACAAGAGACTTTGTGAAGCAGAAGGAGGAACTTCGTCCCTCATGATGCCTTCAAAGTCGGAAAACGAAACTCGATAAAAAGCCCCATCGTTTCATAGGCTTAAAAACGTTCTTTCAAGCCCTTGAGCCATCAGCCACCTCACCCTCCCCACATGCTTGGGCTTGGCTTGCTCATATCACATGTTCCCAAGCAAAACGGTTGCCGATGCAGCCGTGCACCCTCCTCCCACCACCCATTACCCCATCCCCATTCCCACCTTCCGTTCAAACCCCTCCCTCACCCGCCGCGTTGAAAGCCGCGGTTTGGACCCACCTGCGCTTGGCCCATTGTTCCCCCATCCGCCAACCCTCTTCTCAAACCTCCAGAAAACAGCACGACAGCCCCTCCCTCCCTCTTTCCCTCCCTCCCTCCCTCTTTCCCTCCCTCCCTCCCTCCCTCCCTCCCTCCCTCCCTCCCTCCCTCCCTCCCTCCCTCCCCACTCTTCCCACTCTCCCTCTCTCCCACGCGCGCACCTGCACTTGTTCGTTTTCGAGCACGGCAACAACAGGCGCAGCAGCGGCCATGGTCATGGTGCGCGCGAGCTTGGTGGTGTTCTCCACCACCTTCGTCGTCGCGTCCTCCAGCGCACCGTCGCCCCGCTCCAACCGCTGCCGCCGCGCCTCCTCCATCGCCGCCGCCGCCTCCTCCACTGCGCCGGGGGGGGGAAGGGCCGAGGAGCGCGGGAGGGGAGGGGAGGGGACGAGAAGGAGGAGGGGGGGGAGAGGGGACAGAGGGGAAGGGGGGGGGAGGGAATGGTGGGCAAAGGGAGGCGAAAGGAGGGGAGGAGCGAAGGGTGAAGGAGAGTCAAGGGAGAGGAGGGAAGCAGGAGGAGCGAGCAGGAGGGAGAAGGGAACAGCAACGCAGATAGAGCAAAAGGAAGCGCGAGAGCAAGCTGGCCACAGAGGACAATACATCGATTCCCTGGCTCCTGTCCCTTATCCTCCCTTTCCGTCCACTCTACAGCAGCTCTCTTCTCACGCCCGGCCCTCCCCGCACCCGGCTCACCCTCCCTACCACTCCTTCCCCCCCCCCCCCCCCACCTCGCAGCGATCCATCTCACCTTCCTCCTCCGTTTCGAACTTATACTGGCGCGTGATGGTGCGCGTGAGGCTGCGCGACAGGTTCTTCGACATGGTATTCGTGCGCGTCAGACTGCGCCCGAAGAACGTCATCGTGCGCGAAAACGTCCCCGTGCGCGAGAACGACCCCGCGCGCCGGTACGTGTCCGCGCGCCCGTAATCCTCCCCCTCGTCGTCATAATACTCCTCCTCCTCCTCATACCTCTCGTCCTCGTCCCGCCCCCCCCGGCGCCGCTGCTGCGACCGGCTGCCGCCTTCCCTGTACGATCCGGAACGGTAACTGGCCTGCGAGCGAGGGGATCCCTGGTCGCCGTAGTCGCCGCCGTCGTCGCCGTCGTCGCCGTCGTCGCCGCCGTCGCCGTCGCGATCGCGGTCCCTGTCGTGGTCGCGGCCGCGGTCGGCGTACGAGTCGTCTGTGGACGCGTCCCAGTTCGCTCGCGAGCCGCGTTCGCTGCTCGACGCTGCGCGCACGGGCCACGCAGACGGTGGGGGAGAGAGAATGGTGGAGGGAGAAGGGATGGTGGGTGAGAGGGAAGGTGAGGGAGGGAAACGGTGGGGGAGGGAGGGAACGGTGGAAGGGGGGTAGGAGGGGGGACGGGGGGAAGGGGTGCAGTGGCGGGGAGAGGAAGAGGATGATGGGCAATATAGATGCACGTGAAAGAGCGACGCAGGGTGACAACTCGGCACGAACTTTCTGCCGCCATCAACGCGGGACGGGTCGATCGCGCGTCAGAAAAATGAGCGTTGTTTGAGTGTGCGTTTTGGGTGGGTGAACACGTTAGGAGGAACCAAGAGAGGTCGATCACGGCTCGCGTACGTGCAGACAGGCTTGCGTACGTGCTATACGCCACAATGACAAAGCCATCGCATTGCTCCGTAGTGCCATCGCACGACTGCCTAATGGCATCGCACGACTGCATGACGGCATCGCACGACTGCACACTGCCATCCACTCTCCCCCCGCACCTGGGTTTCCCCCCAGCGGGAACTCCGCGGAATGGTAGAGCGGATCCGCGCCTCCCCTGTGGCTGCCGCGCCCATCGTCGTAATCGTCCTCCACTTCCTCCACCTCATACGGTTCCTCCTCCCCCCCTTCATCCTCATCCTCGTACCGCGCGCCCTGAGGCCCGCGCCCGCGCGTCGACGGCGGCTCGGAGTCGCTGTAGCTGCCGCGCGTGTGGCGGGAATGTCTGGGTGGACGCGCGACGAGGGGAAGGTGGTGGGGGGAGGGAATGCGGGAAGAGGGGAGCGCGGATGGCAACGAAAGAAAGAAGCGAGTGGTTTAAACAAAAAGAAGGGAAGACAAGGGGAGAGATGGAGAGGGATTCTGAACGCCAAAGAGGTCAGGAAGGCGTGATCGTGAAAAGACGCCAGACTTCTGAAACGGCGTGAGACTAATGGAAAGCCGCCGCGAGACCAACCGAACACCGAGAGATCATGGATAGGCGCGACTTAGGTATTTGTGAGATCATGCATCATTGTTCAAGAATCCTATCTAGCGAAGCCATGTCGGCGGCACGGACGCCCTTGGCAGAGTACTGAGAGGACGTTGAAATAGGATACGCTTGTATTGGACAATGTGCAGAGGCGCGCTGCGAACAACGAAGAGAAAAAAACAACAAGACCACCGCAGAAGAACGAACAACGTGATCCCCGCGCGACGCACCTGTCAGATCCGGACGTGTCCTCGTAGTCGTCGTCGCCGTAACTCTCCATGGCGCCGCGCCGACTCCGCTACAGCCGGCGGTACCCGCACTGGAGGCCGCAGCTACTAAGATACTCGGAACAGACGCCGGGGCTGGCGCTACGGTGTGCAGAGGACGGCGACAGGGCGACGAGAAAATGATAATGAGGCCGAGACAACAACAGATTCAGAGAACCTTGACCAAGCTACACTACGAGGGACGTATCCGAGGAATGGCGAAGAGTGGTGCAGTGCGGTAATATGGAAAGACATGGGCTCAAAGGTAAGCCGTGACTAAGTCACCAGTGAAGGTAAAGTTGACAGATGCAGGAGTAAAGGCGCGCAACATGGGAAACCGACCTAGAACAGAACAAGGTCAAGCATTCCCAAGAGCAACGGCGGTTGGCGGGAGCAACGACCTAACACGGATCCACATTGCACAGGGGAATGCACGCCATTTCGATAACGTAGCCTCATTACTTACCAGTATTTGCGCGACAGCAGACCCGTCTTCCACGCCGTCAAAGCGGAGAAGGGCAGGTCTGGTACTGAAATATGCTGAGACAGCCTAAAGCTTATTTCAGGCAGTCCCCTGGATTGGAAAGGTTGGGGAATGGGAAAGGGAGGGATCCGACGATTTCGCCCAACAGGGACCAGTCGGCTGGAGCCACAGAAGCTTGGTTTGGGGGGGTGGTGGTGAAACTTCTTGGCGTTTGACGAGCCCTGAGGTTGTTCGGTGCATTAAGGTGAAATACGTTTCAGTTAATTTTGTGAAAGGTGAGGTCAGGTCAGGTGAATTGAGGAGGTTTGGGGGGGAGGTAGAAATTCTCGATATGTACGGCAGGGGGAGAAAAGCGGGCGGGGGAAAGGGACCAGGGGAGGGGACAGATGGAGTGTGGTGGTGGTGACGGGACAGAGCAGGTACAGAGCGCCCCAAGTCACCTGCCCAACCTGGGGGAGACGTAGGGCAGGACGGCCAAAAAGCAAGAGGAGTACGGTGTTGAAGCTTATACAACGGTGCCGTTCGGTAACACTTACCAGACAGCCCACCACCAGCTATTTCAGCACCCTCTGAAGGTCAAAAGCGTGGTGAGAGGCCGGGCAGATAACTCTGTGGCTCAAACTACTGCTCCATCGTTTATTTAAGCAATGCGAATCACTTCAAGGTTTGAGACAAGGGAGATGACACACAAGTCAAACATCTTTGCAGTAGATAGAAAGCCTGGAAACCTGATAGCCTGATAGAACACTATTGTTTTAGGGTAAATTTGTCTCATTGCACCCATCCTGAACTGCCTCGTCCCAAGGACCAGAATCTGATTCGGACAAAGGCGTCTGCATTCAAGCGGGTGAAATTGCGATGAAAATCGTTTTGCAGCGATGATGGTGAGGACCCGTTTCGGGACAAGGGATTTTCTTGTATGTACCGTAACAGCAACAATCAGTGTTTATGACTAACAACCAGCTAAGACATAATAATGATATAAGATCCTATAACAATACAACCTTGAATAAAACTCGTGTGCTTAGTATGCACTAATCAATTTCAGTCATGACAAACATTTGGGAGGTTGACATTTTCTGTTACCGAAATCATGGATTCAGTCAACTTAGGGGTTACTAGTCATGGATAAATGGTGTTGTGGATATTTGTGGCCTGAAGTGCCATATTGAACACGTAAGGTATGTATGTATAAGTGTATTGCAAATCATTCTCCTTAAAGAACCTTCCTGATCGCTAATCGCAAGTGCTGGTTTCCCGCCATCTATCCCCAACCAACCGTACTCCCGTGCTGTCCCATCTCTTGGGATCTCCACTCCACCACCACCTAGATTCTGGCAACGTGTGAGATCGATCCTTTGCTGACAAAGCGCATACCGGCAATACAGTGCGTTTGCGACACATGACAATGATCCGGTTTCGGGCTCGGTTGTAGCACGATCGCGACGGCGCCGCAGGCCGAGCTGCTGGTTGTGCCATCGTCCTGAATTGGCTCGATCCGCTAAGGCGTAACTCGCTTCTCGATGGACGGTGGTCGCAGAGCGGCGAAAAAGCCAGCTCCGAAGAGCAAGCTGGTGGTCAGCCGTGCCAAGTACGTCTAATCCTCTCTGTCGCATTCCTCGCACATTCCTTCATCAATCGGAACGGACTCTTTTGCGTGATGTCGGCCTTTGAACAAAGGCCTGTGCTTGTGAGGGACCGCGCTGACACACGGAGCTTCCTTCGCGTGCCTCTTGGGTCCCTCTGATCTCTGCCGAGCTTCTGGTTTCCGCCTCCTTTTCGTAGATCTCGCCTTGTTGCACATCGGCCGCTCATCCTGTTGAGACTCTGTTATTGGCTCGTGCTGCTTGGACCGTGGTTCTCACACAGCAGAATGCAGCAAACATAATGCGATCTGTTTCTTGTTCCAATCTGTTTCTCTCTCTTCACGCTCTGCCCTTTCCCCCGCCCTTTCCCCCGCAAGGCATTCTTCCTCTGCCGATCCGGCCTCCCCCACATCCTCCGCACCATGGGGTTCTCCGCCAATGGAACCTCTTTCCGCGGCCCCCCGCCGAAGCCCAGATTCCTCCGCGCGCCCGCTGCAGCTGGGGGGCCGGGGAGGACAAGCGGGCATTGGCGGAGGTGGCGGTAGGCTGACTGGAGGCGGGGGCGGGATAGGAGTGGGGCTGGGGGGAGGGGCAGGGCGGAAGGGGTGGTCAGGTCCGCAGGGGAACGCGGGGAAGGGGAGGGATGGCGGGGGAAAGGAGGGATTCGGGGGGTGGGATGATGGGGGAGCGGGGTGGGAGCCGGATTGGGATGATATACCAGACGCGGAGGGGATATCGGGGGGGAGGGCAGAAAGGGGTATTTCAGTGCGGGGGGTGGGGGCTGGGCGCACGGGGATAGAGGGGCGGGGGCGTGGCGGAAGCGACGTATCAAGAGGGGGTTTTCTGACGTATTTCAGCAATAGGAGACGGCTGATCGCACTGGCGTGTATGGCGCTGCTGGTGCTAGGCCTTGCCGGCGGTGTGTATTGGTTGCTGCTGGGGCATCAGGCAGAGGCAGATAAGAATAGCCTGTCACGAATGCCCGAGCCGAAGCTTGGCGATAGGGACGGGGAGGCTGTAGGAGGAGAGGCGAGGGAGGACGGCAGCGTTAGAGTTGGCGGGGAAGGGGACGCGGGGAACGAGAGTGGGGCAGGACGACCGGGGGAGGCGGGTGCGGATGTGGGGGAGCCATTCGGGGGAGAAGTGGTGGGGGGGGCGGGTATGGGGAGAGAGGGGGATGAGCGGGAGGGGTATGGACGGGATGAGGGGATGCGAGGAAGGGGTCAAGGAGAAGAGAGAGAGGGAGCTGGGGAGTGGGAGCAGCGAAGAGAGGTTGATAAAGGTGCTGACGAGAATGGGTCGATGGTAGAGATAAGGGAGGAAGTTATAGCGCGGGAGGGAGAGGGAGGGAAGATGACGAGAGGGGAGGCGATGGTGGAAGAGATAAGGGAAGTGGAAGAAAGGAGGGGAGAGGGGGATCTGGGTCGAGGGGAGAGGGACAGAGGTGAGGAGGAGAGGGAGGAGCGAGTGAGAGAGGGAGTGCGTGAGGAAGGCGCAGGGGAGGAGGCGATGGGAGGGGACTTGGGCAAGGGCGATTATGGCGATGACGCAGAGAGGAGCATGGTGGAAGACGTGTTGGATCGAGAGAGAGCGGACACAGAGAGGGAGGGTCAACCGCGTGAGGAGGAGGAGAGAGTGGACAGAGAGGATGTTGAAGGGGCGAGAGAGAGTGTGAAGGCACGTGCAGAGGTGGCGAGGGGTGTGAGGGAGGGCGATTCACCAGAGGGTAATGTGGGGGAGGGGGATATGGCAGAGGTTGATGTGGGGGAGGACGTACCTGAGCCTGATGACGCGCAGACAGGAGGGAGGGTTGATGATGGATCGAGAGAGGGAGATGGGGAAGAGAGAGGAGGAAGAGGAGTGAGGGGGGATGGTAGAGAGGAGAGTGAGGAGCGGGATGGGAATGAGGAAAGTGAGGAGCGGGAGGGTGGGTATGGGGGGGAAGAAGGGGAAGTTAGGAAGGCAAGAAGAGGGCGTGGGGGACGACGTAGGGAGGGTGAAGACGATGGGGAGGGGGAGGAGGGAAGAAATGACGGTTCAGCAGAAAGGAGAGATGAGGACAGGGGAGAGAGCGTGGAAGAAAGGGAGGGTGGGGATGGCGACTATCGAGTGCGTGAGAACGATGGCTCAGGGATGCAAGGAGTAGAGGAAGCGGATGAGCTTATAATGGGGATGGGAGGCGGTGAGAGGCGCGTGCAAAGGAAGAAGCGAGTTGTGGAAAAGGAGAGCAGGAAAGGAGAGAGGAGAGTGGTGGAGGAGGTTGAAAGTGACATGTACGATGGGGATATAGGAGAGGGGGGAGAGGTGAAGGAGGAGGACGGACAGGAGGAAGAAGAGAGGAGGGCAATGGGAAACGAAGAGAGTAGGCGCAGGAGTGTGGAGGTGGAAGAGGTGGTGGAGGATGAAGGGGAGAGGGCAGACGGGGAGGAGAGTGAGGAAGAGAGCAGAGTGGAGCATGGGGAAGGGTTTGAAGGGAGGGATGGAGATGAGAAGGATGAAGTTTCAAGGGGGGAAGGCGAGGAAGATGAAGGGGAAATTAAAAGAGGAGGGAAAAGAACAGCAAGAAAGAGGGTTCTAGAAGACGAGGGAGTGGAGGAAGAGGAGGAAGGAGGCAGTGGGAGGAGGCGGAGGAGGGAGATGGACGAGGATGGCAAGGACTATGGAGACGAGCAGAGTGTGGGTAAGAAGAGGAGAGGAAGGAGTAGTAGTACGGGTGACGGAGAGGGGGATGAGGAGGTTAGTGTTGGTGGGAAGAGAGGGAAGCGAAGTGGGCGAGGCGAGGAGGTGGAGGAGGAGGAGGACGGGGGAGAAGTGGAGTCTTTGGGTGCTGGGAAGAGGAGGAAAAGGGTGGGGCGGAAGAGAGAAGTGCGAGATGATTTGGAGGGAGAGGGAGGAAGCGAGGGAAGGCGCGAGGAGGAGGCAGGAGAAAGGGACAGAGAGGGCGGTGTGAGAGAGAAGAAGAGACGGGTTGGTTCGAGTACCACGGTGGGGAAGAAGGTCAGGGCGAGAAAGGGAGGGAGAGGGGCTTCTGAGGTGGGAGATAAGGACTTGGCCGCACTGGAGCAACAGCTCGATGAAATGGATGAGATGATTCGAGATGCTGGTGGGGAGGAGGAGGAGGAGGGGGCGGACGGTGAGATGGAACGGGACGATGGAGAGACGGGCAGAGGGAAGGGTGCTGGTGAGCGAAGGAAGGGAAGGAAAAGGCGAATGGATGATGAAGGAGAGGTGGAGGAAGGGGGAGGTGAAGAGGTAGAGAGAGGGGTAGATGGGGAGGGTAGGGGGAATCGTGAGGAAGTCAGGCGAGTGAGAATGGAAGTGGACGAGGAAACGGTGAGAGAAGAAGGCATGAAAGAGAAGGAAGGAGGGGAACAGGATGAAGGTGTGAAAGAAGAGGAAAGTGGGGAGAGGCGAGAGAGGGAGAAGGCAGAGGAAAGAGTGAAAGGGGATGACGGAGAGGAGGGGGGAGGGGGGGAAGAGGAAGTGCGGGAGAATATGGTTAAGAGGAAGAGTGTGAGGGAAGACGAGGAAGAAGGGAAGGATGAAGGAGGGGATGTGGAGAAAACAGTGAAGGAGGATCGAGAAGGGAGAAGTGATGAAAAGGAGGTAAGGGAGGAAACCGTTGAAGAGGAGGAGAGTCAGAAAGGAACGGAAGTTGGTGAGGGGAAAATGCGAGAGGAGAGTCCCAGAAAAAGGGTGACTGGGAGACAGGAGCGTGTGAGAGAGGAAGGTGTGGAGCACGGTGGTGAGGTTGGGGAGAGTGAGGGAGGAGAGGAGAAGGAAGCAGTGGTGAAAGGGAAGAGTATTTCACAGGACGAGGAATCGGAGCAGGAGAGTGGGAAGCGGAGGGCTGACCAGGAGAGGGAGACGGGGGAGGCAGCAGAAGAGGGTGATGGTGAGGGAGGGAGGGGGCAAGGCAATCGTGGGCGTGTTGAGCAACCCTATCATGATGCGGGGAATAGGGTTGTGAGGAAGAAGGGGAGAGACGAAGAGAGCGAGGGAGACAGTGAGGAAGACCGTGAGGCAGAGAGCAAGGCAGAGAGGGAGGGAGGGGGTGAGGAAGAGAGGGAGGGAGAGAGCGAGGGTGATGGTGAGGGTGCCGCTGTGAGTAACAGATTTGTGAAGCGAGGTGGAGGGAAGAGTGGGAGCAGGCGTGGGGAAAGTGGTGAAGAGAGGGAGGGAAGGCGAGGGGATAACGATGATGATGATGTCGAATTGGCGGAGGGCAAGAGTGGAACGGTTAGCACCGAGCAAGAAGCACGGAGAGAATTGGATGACGGAGGTAGGGATGAGCTGGAAGAGTCAGGAGAAACGAAGAAGGGTGGAGAAAAGGAGGAGGAGGAGGGGAAGGAGGGGAGGGAGGAGGTGAAGGAGGAGGGGAAGGAGGAGGGGAAGGATGTGGCCCGGGAGGAGGATCTAGAGGAGCTGGGCGTGCAGCGTACGAAAGTGGAGGTGGGGGAGGAGGCGAGGGTTGTAGAGGACAGTGACCTGGCTGCTGTAGCTGACCCAGTCGTGGAGATGCGTGAAGGAGGCGAGGGGCAGGGGGTGATGAGTGAGGCGAAGGGGAGGAAGAAGCATGGAGGAGACGAGGATGGAGAAGAGGAGGTGGGGGGGAGTGTGGATGAAGGTGCGAAGAGGGTGGGGAGGCAGGGTGCGGAAGAGAGGGGAGAGCGTGGGGAAGAGCTGGAAGAGGAGGGTAGTGGCGAGGAAGTGAGGAAAGGGGCTGCAATGGAGAAGAGGGGAGGGGAGGAGAGTGTGAGAAAGACTGTGAGGAGGACTAAGGGTGGACGCGAGGAAGAGGTGGAGGAAGGTGATGAGAAGGTGGGGGTTGATGTGAGAGAGGAAGGGGAGAGTGGTGGGGAGAGGCGTGGCAAAGGGGAAGCAGAGGATACGGAGGATGGAGAGGAGGGGGAACCGGGGAAAGAGGGCCGAAAGAAGGCGGAAGGAAAGAGAGAGGAGCAGGAGGATGGGGGTGACGAGGAGGACGGGCATGACAAGGATCGGCAACAAGCAGGAGCGAGAGAGAAAGGGCACGAGTTGGTGGATGAGAAGGAGGGGGGTGTGAGTATGGTGGTGACGAAGAGTGGGAAGGGAGGAGCCAGCAAGAAAGAAGATGCGGATTCTGATCAGGGTCGTGCGTTGGTGGATGCTGGCACGAGGGGGAAGGTGCAGCATGGGGATGCGAGTAAAGCGGGGGAGGAGGAAGGCGAAGGAGACAGAGAGATTAAGGAAGAGAAGGAGCTGAAGACGGAGAAGGGAAGGGTGGAGGAAGAGAGTGAAGCGGGTGATGATGCGATGGGGAAGAAGTTGGAGAGGGATATCGGGGGAGGAGTGGAGGAACAAGAGGAGGAGAAGGGGGAGAAGGAGGAGGAAGAAGGGGAGGAGAAGAAGCAAGAAAAGGTGGAGGCGGGGGAGAAAGGAAAAGGGGAGGAGAAAGAGGGGGGCAATGGGCTGAAGGAGGACGCGAGGGAGGTTGTTAAGAAGGAAGGTGAGGGGATGGAAGGTGGGGACAAGAAGGATGAGGGGAAGGAGGATGACGGGGGGAATTCTGAAGGGGGGAGTGATGCTCAAGCCAAGAAAGATGTGGAAAGCGAGAGTGTGAGAGAGCAAGAGTCAGTTGGTGATGGGGCAAATAACGAGACGGAGGAGAAGGAAGAACAGCGGGAGGAAGATAGAGAGGAGAGACGCGGCAAGGTGGGTTCGGTGGGAGGAAACGGTGATGGAGGGATGGACTCTGAGGAGGCTATGGACGGGAGTGGTTTAACGAGCGGTGATACCGCCAACGGTGACAGTAAGGGCATACGGGAAGTGGTGGGTGCAACAACCAGGGAGGTGACGACAGGGGTAGGTGCCACACCTGAGCAACCACGAGAAACAGAAGCAGCAGGGGCAGAGGCGGGCGCAGAAGCGGGAGGAGCAGGAGGAGGAGGAGTCGGGGCAGGTGAAGCAGGAGATATTTCTGTGGCTGGAGTTGCAGTGGAAGCTGGTGAAGCAGCAGCAGCAGCAGCAGCAGGCAGCAGCAGTGTCCGCAGCAACACGAGTGTCACTGATAAGCACTCCTCTGATACTAGTACTTTGCACCAGGGTGCTGATGGTGAGGTAGGTGGTGACGAGAGAGCGAATGCTGGTGGGGATGCTGCTGGTGCCGCCGTTGCTGGTGCTGCGAAAGAGGGTGGGAAGGAGGGTGGGGAAAGTGCAGGGAACTCTGCAGCTGATGGGTCCTTGGCTTTGGCTGCTAATGCATCTGGTGATTCTGCTGCCGGTGCTGATGCTGATGGTGGGGAGAATGAAGGAGGGGAAGAGGAGTTCGAGAAGGTGATGAAGGGCAAGAAGAAAAAGCTCAAGGAGAAGAAGGATAAGAAGAAAAAGAAAAAGAAGAAGAAGAGCACGACCTCTGAGGCTCCAGTTGATGATATGGTTGGGGGAGAGGGGGTGGATAAAGATGAGGCTCCTAGCGTGACAAGCAGCAGCAAGGATGGAAGCAGCAGCAGCGAAGACACAGATATTGCACTGAGGGGTGCAAGTGCTGCAGATCCCAGCACCACACCAGGTGTGGTCACAGGCGCTGCTGGCCTGTTGCAGCCACAGGGCGGTGATGGGGAGAAGGAAAAGGGAGCAGGTGGAGTGAGTGCAGGTGAAGAGGAGGCAGGCGGAGAGGGGGCAGGCGGGGACAAGGTAGAGGAGAAATTGAGTGGGAAGCATGGTGATGGGAATGGAGAAGGAGAGGAGAGCAAAGGTGGCGAGGTAGGTGTGGGCAGGGATGCGGTGGGTAAAGCAGAGGCAGAATCGGCTCATGAGAGTGTGGAACGGAGGGAAGATTTAGAAACGACTGGCGGAGGTGGGAAGGTGGAGAAGCAGGAGACGGAAGAAGGGGTCAAGAGCCAGGTGGGGGAGACATTGGCAACAGGAAAGACAAAGAAGAAGAAGACGACAAGCAAGGTGAAGAAGACAGGGGAAAGCAGTGGGAAGCAGGGAGGAGAGGAGAATGTGACGGGAGGAAGCAGCGAGCTTAAGGAGGGTGCAACGGACGGTGAGTCGAAGGGTGATGGCAGCAAGACTGGTGGGGGGAATGAAGAGGAAGGACCTGGCAGTCAGGAAGAGGGGCTAGGAAAAAGAGGAGGAGAAGGAGGAGGGGAGGAGGAAGGAGGAGTGGCGGGTTCGGTGGAAGGTGTTGGGAAGCAGCATGTGGCAGGTGGTGAAAGTGGTGGTGGGGAAAGCAGTGACGGAAAGGGAGAGAGTGAGTTGATGAGAGACGGTGTAGCTAGCAACGATGGCTCACAAGTTGCAGAGGGGTCCAGGAGAAAGAAGAAAACCAAGACGAAGAAGAAGAAGAGCCGCAAGACCCTGGAGTCGTAGAAGTTTGAGTTGGTGTGAGCAGGTTTGGGTTTGGTTGGATGCAAGGAGAGAAGGGTTTGGCCGCTTTTGCAGGTGAGCGTGCTCCTATGCCTGCATTGCTCTTGACTGCCAATACCGTAGGATGCTACTGCCGTGGTAAAGTGCACATGAGTTCTGTAGATAGAGCTTGATTGAGCTGAGATCAGTGAAGTAATGGGACTTGAGAGTTCAAATCATAAATGATATGACATCGCTGTCCTGACTAAATGAATTAGTTACTACACAGTAATCTGCAATATTCAACCAAGGTCATACTCAATGCGATATTATTATTATTATTATTATTGCATAGAAATATTATTTCATCCTGTAAATGATATTCGGGTCAATGATCTGCTGATATAATGACCATAATTTTACCATTAGGATAGAAGTCTTCATACTAAATGAAACAACAAAAGATTTTGTAATAATCTCACAAGAATAAATGCCCGTGGTGTACCTCGAGTAACCGAATGAATCCGCTGCAATCCAAGTCCCCTCCCAACACTTAGATCCGAATTCCAGCAGTGCTGTTCCCACTGACACCCGCACCTCCCTCCCGCCAGACCTGCCACCACTAGCCAGCAAGCCATACCTTCTCATCCTAGTTTTTGCCACTAATATTCGCCGCGCTTCGGCCCGCCGCGGATATTACCCCTTCGAGCCACCTCCTTTCGCGCTCTTTAACCTCACGACGGCTTAGTGACCCCCCAAGGAAAATCTGAGCTCAGTTGGCAGCGTTTGGGGTCGGTGGGCAACCCACGTCACTCGCTTCGGCCCCCTGGGTTGATTTCGACCGGCCATGTGGCTTAGGCGCTGCTGACTCGGACGATCGCATTCGATTTTCCGCATTTTCGCGCTCGAAAGTATTCGTCGCAACGGCTTTCTACGCACCCCCCAAGGGGCCCAAGTTGGGCATGCGAACGCAACTCTCGCTTGCGCATTGCCACGCTCCCACCCAAACTGCTGCCTCCACCTCTCCCTCCACATTTCGCACCTCCCTTTCTCCTTTTCGCTCCTAACTTTTGCCCCGTTCTCGTTCAACTCGGCTAGTTTACGCGGCTCATTCAGTGTGGCTAGTCTACGACTCTTGGTTCACTTGTGCACATTTCCAGTTGCTCGTCGCCTCCTCTTCTGCACTCTCGTCACACGAAACTGGCCTTCGCCGAAGCATTTTCAGCTGCGCTTCCATCGATCTTCACGACATTTCCTATTCGTCGTCAGATTAGCCACGCGGAAGCCGATTCAATCCATCCGTCGATCGCGGGCGTGTTGACGATTTTCCGTCATTCGACGTCGTTGCTGCTGAAATTCCGCGCGAGGCTGCACATTTAATCGATCGTCGACGTCGCGTGACGTCACGTTGTCGATTCGTTGCCTCCACGTCGCGTCGCGACTTTAACCTGATCCGTACGTTTTTTTCTCGAGTTCTTCTCGCGGATGCCGATTTTCCTGATCGTTTTGTAGGTTGTGCGTCCTGATAGTTGCAACTACGCGGTTGGCATCAATTACTGATCAGCGATTGACTTTACTGATCAAGCAACCACCCCCTTCGCCTGCTCCCTCCATCGCAACCACCCCCTTCAGGTCAAGCATGAAGCAATTCTTGAGAATCGCGGTCATCATTCAAATCGCACTCGCCATCCTTCCGCGCGCCTCCACTGCCGCTGCTCTCCGCTCGCGACGCGTCGTCCATCCGCCCACCCACGGCCATGCAGCAACCACCCCCTTCGCCTGCTCCCTCCATCACCATTCCGCGGTAAGCCGTCAGCCCTTTCGTTACATCAGCTCATTTCTCCCCAATCGCACGCGTTTCGTTCATGGTCCGTCCTTTGAACGTTGTCGAAGCTGTTGCATTGTTCCTTGGAGCGTGCTTCTGAAAAATAATCTTTGCGTTTCTGTGCAGGAAGCAGCAGGCGGGTGGAAGGCAAGGCAGCAGTGGGTGGCACGTGAGCAAGGCAGCGAGGCAGAAGAGAGCACGTGGCGTTCACTCGCATCGCATCGCAAGCACCACCGCTGGACGACCCACCCCATTCGTGGCAGATAAGTCCCCTCGCCTCGCCTCCTCCCTCTCTCCATTGCTCATTCATTGCACACGCCACGCCACTCAATGCCAGCCCAAGGCGAACCTGCAGACCTCCCTGTCTCTTCCCCTAGCTCGGGGAGGGAGCGTTGGAGAGGGAGTTTTGGGGAGGGAGCGTTGGAGAGGGAGTTTTGGGGAGGGAGCGTTGGAGAGGGAGTTTTGGGGAGGGAGCGTTGGAGAGGGAGTTTTGGGGAGGGAGCGTTGGAGAGGGAGTTTTGGGGAGGGAGCGTTGGAGAGGGAGTTTTGGGGAGGGAGCGTTGGAGAGGGAGTTTTGGGGAGGGAGCGTTGGAGAGGGAGTTTTGGGGAGGGAGCGTTGGAGAGGGAGTTTTGGGGAGGGAGCGTTGGAGAGGGAGTTTTGGGGAGGGAGCGTTGGAGAGGGAGTTTTGGGGAGGGAGCGTTGGAGAGGGAGTTTTGGGGTTGGAGCGTTGGAGAGGGAGTTTTGGGGAGGGAGCGTTGGAGAGGGAGTTTTGGGGAGGGAGCGTTGGAGAGGGAGTTTTGGGGAGGGAGCGTTGGAGAGGGAGTTTTGGGGAGGGAGCGTTGGAGAGGGAGTTTTGGGGAGGGAGCGTTGGAGAGGGAGTTTTGGGGAGGGAGCGTTGGAGAGGGAGTTTTGGGGTTGGAGCGTTGGAGAGGGAGTTTTGGGAGTTTTCGATCCGCCACCACACCCCACCAGAGCCCAATTCCCCTCAGGTTCAGGTTCAGGTTCAGGTGCAGGTGCAGGTTCAGGTTGGTAGCGGCTCTTGTGGGGCTGTGGGCGGCTGTCACATGCACCGTCGTTTCTGCACTCGCACTCGCGCTTCATTTGCAAGGGCCGCTCACGCACTCACGCTTCCGCCTGCCACGCACTCACTGTGTCTCCCCCCTGCCCTGCCTCGCAGGTCCTTCCCTTCAACCCTCCTCGCTGGCTCGCACCTCCTCCGCTCGCCCCTGCCCACTCTCCTTCACCGCACCCCCCACGCCACCACCACCACTGCTCCAACTCCCAGCTAAGTGCTTCGCCTCCTTGGTCCTTGCCTACTGTTCTGCTTCCCGTTTATTCTTCCAGTTTGTTTGTTTCCAAAACTCGCCGCTGGTTGGGGCTCGACTCGCAAGCCACAGACCTCAATTCAGGTTCAGGTTCAGGTTCAGGTTCAGGTTGAGGTTGAGGTTCAGGTGCAGGTTCAGGTTCAGCCCCCCTACAGCCTTACAGCCCCTCAGGTCCCCTTGGGGGTCTGTGCCTTGCAGTTGTGTCTCAACCAGTGGCCCCTTCTTGCAGTTTTGCTGCTGCTCTTGCTGTTTCTCCTGCCATCCCCTCGCTGCCCACTGACCAGCTCTGCGTGTGTGCCTTGCAGGTGGGGGGGAGGGGTGTGGGGTCAGCACCGCCATTCCCTCACGCCTCTCCCCGGTGGCCGTGCAGGGAGGGACGCACACGGGAAGGCTGGGAGGAGGGCTGCCGGGGAAGGAGTCACCTGGTGGTGCTGCAGCTGCCGTCTGCTCGCTCTCATGCCTTACAGCTAAGTTCCCTCAACCCCTTGCCTGCCTCGCCATGTCTTGTGTACTTTGCTTGCATCTCGTGTTTGCATGCGCTTTCGCACATTCCCCTTGAAACATTGCCACTGGTTGGGACCGGCTCACATGCTGCAGACCCCCTTACTTCAGGTAACCCTCTCAGGTGCAGGTAACCCCTTCAGGTGCAGGTGTGCAGGTACCCCCTCAGGTGCAGCCCTTGGGTCTGTGGTTTGTGACTTGGCCTCCACCAGTGGCCCCTCCCCTCTCCCGCCTTGCAACTGCCGTTCCCTCTCTTGCACTTTCACCATTCATCCCCTCGCTGCCCACTGACCAGCTCTGCGTGTGTGCCTTGCAGGTGGAGGGGAGGGGCGGGGGTCAACACCGACGCTTCCCCACGCCCCTCCCCTGTGGCCGTGCAGGTACCCGTGGGGATGGGAGGGAGGCAGCACTGCCAGTCGCTGCCACAAGGGAGAGTATCGGGGTGGGCTTGGCCTCTCAAGGTACGTCACCTCCCCTCTTGCCCTCGTCTCTCTCTCTTTCTGTTCTTCAGTTTTGCCTTCTCGATTTCATCAACTTCAGTTTTGTTTTTCCTTCTCTGGTCCAGCCAACTCACTTGCTTTTACTTCCCCCCTTTCGTCTGCCTCCACCCCCCTCGCCTGTGGCCGTGCAGGTGCCTGTCTGTGGGGATGGGAGGGGGGCAGCTCTGCCAGTCGTTGCCACAAGGGAGAGTATCGGGTTTGGGCTTGGCCTCTCAAGGTACGCTGCCTCCCCTTTTGCCCTCAACCCTCTCTATTTCTGCTCTGTAGTTCCGCCTTCTCTTTCTCGTCAACTTCAGTTCATTGGTTTCTCTAGTCCAGCCTATTCACTTTCTTTTACTTTCCCCCTATTCTTCTGCCCCCGCCCCTGCAGGCCATTGGGCATCGAGGGAAGACTGTAGCAGTGAAGCTGAGTAGCAGGCCGGCAGCAGCAGTGGTAGCAGCAGAAGCGGCAGCAGCAGCAACAGCAGCAGCAGCAGCAGCAGTGGGGGGTGGGGGGTTAGAGGCGGGCTAGGTTAGGTCGAGTCGTGAGCGAGGTGTGGTATGGTATCAGGTAAGGTATGGTAACAGGTTTGGTATGGAGATCTGATCCCCTCCTCCCTTTCTTCCTCCCCACCCCTCTTTGCAGCCTGAGTATGGAGGGAGCACTGGAGCAAGGGCGGGACAGAGGCATCTCTCTCTTCATCCTCACCTACCCCTCCCCTTCTCCCTCCCGCTGCCCCCCTCCCCACTTTCCAGCACGGTCGATGCAGCCTGAGCTGAGGGAGAGAGGGAGCAAGGGCGGGACAGAGCCATCGCACTAACCCCCCCCCCCCCGTCCCCCTCCCCCTCCCTCCCCACTTCCCAACACCCTGAGGCAACTTGGCGCTCTGCATGGCTGTGGTAGGTAGAGGTAAGAGGCATGGGGTGAAGGGGAGAGTGGGGAGGCGGTGGGAAGCATGGGAGCAAGTGGGCAGGTCACTCTCTCAGGGACAGCATCCTCTAGGGATCTGCCTTGTGGGTTGGGGTGTGGTGGGTGGAATCTGCGCGGCACGGCACTCGGTGCTCAAGTAACTAACCTGACGTTAAGGCTTAATGGGCACCGTCAGAGTCGACCGGCCGGCGACTCTGGTTCGCGTCAGCTCTAGCTACGTCAGGGGCAGGATTTGAGTCTTGGGCTGGAAGCAATTTTCCACTACCACACCTCGCCCTACAAGGCACTTCCCCTGGGGTGCTGTTTCCGAAGGGGAGTGGGCTGTCTGCTGCTCCTACTGCTGGCAGGTAAAGTTGGGAGGGGATGCGTGGGCTGGGTGGTGATGGTGGTGATGGGGTGATGGTGGTGAGAGGCAGTGGGGTTGGCGGTGGCATATGATGAGCCATATGGCACTGATGCCACCCTTAAGCATGGAAGCATGATGCTCATGCTTGGCTGGTTGGGGGCACATGATGAGTTGCACTGATGCCTCCTGTTGTTGGTGGCACATGATTAGTTCCCCTGATGCCACCTTTGCATGATGCGCATGAGTGGGTGAGGGGCTGAGTCCCCTTGGTCAGTTGAGCAAGTGAAAGGGGCTGAGGCCTCTTAGTTGGGTGAGAGCACGTGAAAATGTGGGAGGATAGTGTGTGGTATGGTACAGTAAGGTATGTTACGGAGTGGTATGATACAGTGTGGCATGATACGGTGTGGCATGATACAGTGTGGTATGATACAGTATGGTATGATCCAGTGTGGTATGATACAGTGCAGTATGTTACAGTATAATATGATGCAGTACGGTATGATGCAGTGTGGTATGAGGCGGTGATGTACGATGCAGTATGCTATGATACTGCATGGTATGATACAGTGTGGTGTGATACAGTGTGGTATGACTGGGTGGTGGGAGTGCTGCGAATGGTGACAGTGGATGTTGTGAGTGGTAACATTGGTGTGCGGAGAAAGTGAATGATGTGAGTGTGATGTGTGTGGTGAGAATAGTAAGGGTGAGTGGTACGGCAGTGAGTGGTGGTAGGGGTGGGTGTGGTGGTACTGGTTAGAGTGTGTGGTGGGATTAGTGAGGCTGTGGCTTAAGTGCGTATCGTATATTGAGTGAGTGGTAAGATTGACTGCTGAGAGTATGTGAGTGTTTGGTGAGAGTGGTGAGGGTGGGTGGTGGGTAAACAGAGCGAGTGGTGAGATTGATGGGAACGTGGAGAATGAGTGATCAAGTGGTGAGGGAGAGTGGTGTGGGTGCTGTTAGTCAGTGGTGAGACTGGTCCGAGTGAGTGTTACAAGTGGTGACAGTGAGTTTTACGAGTGGTTAAAGTAGAGAGCGAGTGGTGAGGGAAATAGCTGACTGATGAGGTAGTGGAAAGAGTGGTGGGAGTGGGTGGTAGGAGTGGTGTGGATGAGTGGAGAGAGTGCTGAGAGCTAGTGGTACCGGTGGAGTAAGTGGCTGGAATGATATGTAAGTGATGAGATTGGGTGCCTAGTGGGTGCTGCTGAGAGTGCTGGTGAGAGCGAGCGATTGGAATCGAGGAGGCCATGGGCAAGCGGAGGGTAATGATGTGTTACATGCTGTTGGGTGACGTGCACATGCTGTGCTGTTCCGTGGTGTGGTGCGGTATAATTTGGTGTGTCGTGGTATGGTTTGGTGCTGTGTGTTATGGCGTGTTGTGGAGTGGTGTGGTGTGGTGCAGTGTGATGTTGTGTGGCTGGGCATGATATGTGGTGGTATTGCATGGCTTGTCATGTGACGTCGTGCTGTGGTATGCAATGCTGTGTGATGTGCTATTTCATGTGCAGGCTGGCAATAGCTGGAATTGGAGTAAGAGCGTATTCCTATCCTCATATCAAGAATACCTCATGTCAACCTCCCACTGAAAATTCCCCTAAACCCAAAACCTCTCGCTAGTTTTACCAGGCAAAAAGTACATTCCTGACATGAGGTACCAATTGATACGAGGATAGGAATACGCTCTAAGGCAAGGCAAGGATAGTGGTATAGGAGGAAATGAGGTGTGGAGGTGAAAAACATTCGTCCGATACTATGCCATTCGGTGCTACGCTCGTGGCCTGAACAATAGAAAAAAAATAAAAAGTATCTGGCTTGTGCTTCGTACTATTAGTAATTATGGTTGATAAAATACATTTTAAAATAGTTTGTTTGAATGTATATAAGCAAAGCGATTGTATCTTGTGCTGCGTTGGTCCATAATGCGGGTCGCGCCGTAACGGGTGAATTGTAATTGTGTCAGCGTCTTGTGTGCAGACTGTTTCCTTCTCAATCCTCTTTGCCTACTGACAAGCGCGCCATCGCGGTAGATAGCTTGCTTCCTATCCTGCACATATTCGGACCGCTTTTTCCATAATCGCGTGCCTATTGCTGGTTAGCAGCCAGTGTTGCGATGTAGGCGACGCTGCGATTATCGGCGACATATGCCTGAGCGATTATGGGCGATAGCTGCATGAGCGTGGGTTTCTGGGCGGCGAATAAGGCAGTCTTAGCGTCGCTATTCCACCAGCCGTCGGATGCGTTTCCGATCAGAAGCCCCGAGTACGACGAGTTGCAAGGTGCGATGCGATGAACCGAGCCGTTAGCTGTAGCTGTAGACAATTGCCCGTGTTTCAGGGGTTCCGAGACGCACACGCACTGCTTATATTCATTCGCTTCTTCTCCATGGGAATCCCGCGTCGTCCTTCCTCGACAAAGCTACCTCAGAGTCGCGCGCATCGTCGCGCGCATCGTCGCATGCATCGTCGCGTTTATCGTCGCGCGCATCGTCGCGTGCATCATCTCGCGCATCGACGCATGCATCGTCGCATGCGTCGTCGCATGCATCGTCGCATGCATCGTCGCGCGCTCACTCCCGAGATCTCCTGTCATTCGACTCGCGTGGCGTCCTGATCTCATTGTTACGGGAACCTGAACCACTTTAGAAGCACAATCATTCTCTCAGTCCCCACGACTCATTGTCTTTTCACGCGCGTCTCCCGTCCCCGCTCCGCCAGAGTTCATTCCGAAGCTTCTGCAGCACCAGGCGAACGCGCATGCGCGCAGCCAGCTCAGGCGCGCATGGATCAGCGGCGGGGCGGGGGATACGGGCGGGGGGAGCGCGAGTGGCGGAATTAGCACCTTCAGCGAGAAGGCAGCGCAAGAGCTTGGCTTGCCTGTCAGGTACGGCGCTCAGTGCTCCTCGCTGATTCTCAGCGGCATGGAGAACGGATTCTGTGGGGAACGGCATGCCACCAAGTAGGTGAAAATGCTTTTTCTTCTTTTCACCGCCAGCCTTCGTGCTTTCTCAAGCTGAACGGTCAGCGCCTCGCTGCTTGCATGTTTGGGTCATAATTCCAAATCGTCTTCCCTGTCCCGGCCCCCTCTGCCCCTTTTCGCCCCTTTCCGTCCCTCTCCACCCCTCTCCGCCCCTCCTCTTCCCAGCTACGACCGGCGGTACCGTGTGAACGTGGCCGTGCTGACTCAGCATGAGGGGAGGATGCGGGCGCTGGGCAGGGACTGTCCACTCACAGAGGGCCACGTGGCGGAGTACAGGCGGATGCTGCACGTGTATGAAGACTTCCTGCAGGTGTGTGTGTGGAGGGGGAAAAGGGGGGGGGGGGAAGGGGCAGGTGAAGTGCGTTGGAGGAATGGGCAGCTGGGGGGAGAGACGAGTGGAAAGTGGTCACACGTTGAACGAGTAATTGCTTTAAGCGAGTCAGCGAGTCCATCCCCCCTCCTTTCCTCTCCTCGCCCCTCCTCTCCCCCACCCCTCCGCTCCTACCCACCCACGTCAGAAGCGGTCCCTAGCGAAGCTGAGGAAGCTGCGGGAGGACCAGGCGAAGCTTCCTGTGAACGCGCACAGGGAGGAGATAGTGGCAGCTGTGGCTGCATCGCAAGTCACTGTGATCGCTGGAGACACAGGGTGCGGCAAGGTACATGCTTACAGTCTGCGTCTGCCATATTTTTCATGTCACGGTTTACGAGGTGCTTTACAGTCTTCGTTCCAAGTCACTCTCATCGCAGGAGGCACTGGGTGCGGCAAGGTACTTGCTTGCTCCCTGCCACACATACACGCATGCACATGCACTGTACTGGTTTCAGCATACAAAACGTTGTAGTAGCCAACTTACACTCTATTTTCCTGCCCTGCCTACCTCTTCCAACCCCTTTCTTTCTCTCTCTCATCTCCGCACGCCCCCTGGTCTGGTCCCACGCTCTACCAGTCGACGCAGGTGCCTCAGATTCTCCTGGCTGCGGGCTACAGAAGAATCGCGTGCACTCAACCTCGCCGCATCTCCGCTGTCTCCCTCTGCAGGTATCTCCCTCCACTCCCAACCCCCCCCTTGCCCAACCACTGTCCCTCTCTTCTCTCTCCATCACCTCCTCTCTCCCTCCTGCTTCCTGTGTTTTTCCCCTCCTGTCCCCATTTCGTTCTTACTCTCCTTTCCTGTTCTCCTTTCCTCCCGTTCTCACTCTCCCGTTCTCTCTTCCCATCTCCCCCCTTCCCCTCCATCCCCTCACCCCCCACTGCGATGTCCGCTGCCGCACAGGCGGGTGGCCTTTGAATCGTTGAACGAGTACGGAGCGGGAGTGGCGTATCGAATCAGGTTTCAGTCCACCGCTACTGCAGCCTCGCGCATCCTCTTCCTCACTGAGGTGCCGCCCACAACCCCTCCTTCCCCTCCCGCCAGCCCGCCCCTTCCCCTGCCAACCATTTCCCACCTGCCTCTTCCCCAACCGTCCATGTTTCTCCCTCCCTGCTTCGCTATGCACGCTTGCGTAATGGTTTCGATTGTCGAGCATCAGCCATTCCCCCACCTGTCACTCCACTCACCCGCCCCTTCCCCTTCCCCTCCCACCCGTCGCTTCCTCTCCCTCCCAGCTTCTCTATGCGCCCTTGTGGTATGGTTTTATCCGTCGAGCATCAGCCGTATTTCCCCCACCTGTTTCCCTCCTTCCTGCAATGACTTCCTTCCTGTCTCCCCATGCCACATGCACTTACCTCGTCAGACAGAGCACATGCCACCTGCTGTGCTGTGCTCTCCCCATGGGCTCTGCATATTCCCGATCATTCAAGTTTGTGTCTCTGCCTCGCCTCTTTTGTTGTGTGTGTATGTATGGTATGGTGCGTATGCATGCGTGTATGATATGTATGACATGTGTGTATGTGTGTGTATGCATGCGTGGGGCCGGTGCGTGGATGCCAGGGAGTGCTGCTGAGGGAGCTTCTATCGGACCCTCTACTCACCGCCTACTCTGTCATCATGTCAGTCACTCACTCGTTCTAGGCAACCTCTTCTGAGACACCTCAATCTTTTTTGTCCAAACTTCTACTCACCGCCTACTCTCTCTGTCATTATGTCAGTCAGCCATTGTAGGTGACGTGTTGCTCTCCCATGCCTAGTAGTGCTACCAGGGTATTGGTGATTCCCGAATCACCCCCCCCCCTCCTTCGCCTCCTGCTGTTTCCTCTACCTGCCTTGCGTCGCACTGATCTGAATCAAATGTAATTCCTGCACGTTACTCTGACCTCCAAGCTCGTATATTCAATTCCCACGCTCCAGCCATTCCCTCTGCCTCCCCCATCGCCCCCACTATACAGAGTGGACGAGGTGCATGAGCGTCATGTCACCACTGACATGCTTCTCGCTCTCTTAAAACAGGTGCGCTCCTCCCCCCTCTCCTCCGCGCTCGTCCTGTTCCCTCCACGGCCCCCTTCTCCTACCCCTTTCTCTTTCCCTTCCTCATACACCCCCTCGTCCTTCTTGCCGATCCACTAGTTCTCTCTCGCTTCATCTTTCGTATGCCAGTTCGTGATCGTCCCATCTTTCACGTTCAATCAACCACTGTCGCAGTCTTGTCTTGCTTTATCTCCCTTCCTCGCATGTATCATGCACTGCTGCTGCTTCCCTCTCATGTCTCATGTGCTGTGCTGTGCCGTGCCGTGCCTGCGGTGCGGTGCCGTGCTGTGCCGGTGCCATGCCGTGCCTGTGCGGGCCACCAGGTGGTACAGCAGCGCAGTGACCTGAGGGTCATTCTCATGAGCGCCACCATCAACGTGCACACCTACTCCGCCTACTTCCACAACGCTCCCATCGTCACGGTGCGCTGCACTGCACATCTTCTCGCATCGTTCCCTGCCTGGCATGCCCTCGCTCCTGTCCGCTCCTCTCTTTGCCTGCTCCCTTGCTCTCCTGCCCTCCTGCTCCCAGCAACCCTCCTTCAGCAACCCTCCTTCAGCAACCCAACTGTGTGTCCCTCTCTTTTCCTTATCCCTGCTTCCTCTCCTCCCCTTGCTCCCCCCTTCCACCGACCCGTCTGGGCCCATCTTTGATACTACTACCACCACCGTGGTTTCCCCCCCTGTCTTCTACGTCAGGTCCCTGGTCGCACCTACCCCATCACCATCGAGCACTTGCCGCAACCAGCAGGCGAGGCAGGCCCAGCTGCTCCTCCTCCACCCACCACTCCCACCACTGCCAATACTGCCAATGCCTCTGTTGCTGGCACTGTGGCTGATGTTGCTGCTGCTGCTGGGGTGGGTCTGAGGAGAGCGGGCGGGGGAGGAGGCGCGGGGCGGGTGGGGAGAGAAGGGCGGGTGGGCAGTGCAGCGTATGTGCGTGTGCTGGAGCGCATCGATCAGCAGTTCCCCGCGGACCAGAGGGGCGACCTGCTGGTATTCCTCTCAGGTAGAGTTCTCTCGTTCTCTCTCTGGTGTACGGCTCTGCTTTCTGTGATGCATTGCACCATTGATGTAAGGCTTCCTTTTCTGCAAGCATCAGGCAACATTCCTATCCGCGTCTTCCGGCCTCCCTGAGCATTCAAGGTGCAGTGCAATGTTGTTCCAGCTCTCTCCTACGCTCCCTTTCTCCCTAACCTCCTTGCACTCTCCCTCTTTCTCGGCTCTTTGCCTTTTTCTCCATTTTGCATGCAGGCATCCAGGAGATATCAGCAGTGGCAGCGGCAGTACAGCAGTACGCACAGGAATCCAAGAGATGGCTTGTGCTGCTCCTGCACTCCTCCCTCTCCTCCAAAGAGCAGGTTCGTCTGTTTTTCAAACATTGGCTTGTTCTGTGACACTTTGTACTGACTGCTCAGACACAACATGCCCACCGGCCTGGCTGTTCTGCCTACCAGTGTACAGAAGAGAACCTTCTTGTTGCTTCTTCCCTGCTGCTCCGCTGCTGCTAACCGTCACTCTGCTGCTGCCCTGCCCGTTGCTGCCCCACTCCCCTCCCTGTGTTGTGTCCATGCACGCACCGTCATGCCCCATGAACAGGACAAGGTGTTTGCAGTGGCCCCTGCAGGTGTGCGCAAGTGCATCCTGTCGACCAACATAGCGGAGACGAGTGTGACGATAGACGGCGTGCGCTTTGTGGTGGACAGCGGCAAGGAGAAGGCCGTCACGCACCTCGCAGAGATCGCAGGCAGCACACTGCAGGAGCAGTGGGTCAGCCAGGTGTGTGCTGTGCTGTGCTGTGCTGTGCTCTGCTCTCCTGACTTGGATATATGCACATGCCAGGATGCCTGTGGTGGATACATTCACATCTGTTGTTTCCTTTCTCAGCTTTTATATCTGCCGTGGGAAAAACGCTAGTTTCGTGCCTAACTGTGCTGTGCCTTATCTTTCCACATCTCCCCACCCCACTTCGGCGGGTCAAGTCAAGGCATCAGCCGCACAGAGAGCAGGCAGGGCGGGGCGAACGGGTCCAGGTCACTGCTTCCGGCTTTACTCAAGAGAACAGTTCAATGCAGTGAGTGAGACAGCACATGCACGCACACACCACCCACAGTGGTGCTGTGATCATATCATGTGTGGAGCATGGCATCACGTTCATGTAGCCCAGCTAGTAGGAATGTTTTTCTGGTAAGGTCTCAGGTTCGAATCCTGCAAGGCCGCCGGGCCGCCAGCCATGCCGCCAGCTCGGCCAGCCATGCCACCAGCCATGCCACTGGGCCGCCAGCCATCTCGGGAAACCGGGAAACCGGGAAACCGGGCAACCGGGAAACCGGGCAACCGGGCAACCGGGAAACCGGGCAACCGGGCAACCGGGAAACCCGGGAACCGGGAAACCGGGAAACCGGGCAACCGGGCAACCGGGAAACCGGGAAACCGGGCAACCGGGCAACCGGGCAACCGGGCAACCGGGAAACCGGGCAACCGGGCAACCGGGCAACCGGGAAACCGGGCAACCGGGAAACCGGGAAACCGGGCAACCGGGCAACCGGGCAACCGGGAAACCGGGCAACCGGGAAACCGGGAAACCGGGCAACCGGGCAACCGGGCAACCGGGCAACCGGGCAACCGGGCAACCGGGCAACCGGGAAACCGGGCAACCGGGAAACCGGGAAACCGGGCGTGCCGCCGGACCGCCAGCCCACTTGCATTGCACTGCACCCCATCTGCCTTGTTTGGTAGCAATCCTGAATCTTGCATGTGTGGATGTGCACAATTGTCTGTGTGCAGTTCCGGCAGTTCTCCATACCGGAGCTCCTCCGAGTGCCTTTGGAGTCGGTTGTGCTGCAGATGAAGGTCCGCCTACCCTGCACCTACCGGATATCCCTACCTCCTCCCCATGTGCCCTGTCATGCCAAATCCACCTTTCGTACTTGTCAATTTATTACCCCTCTTCTCCTCAATCTTTATCCTCGATTCAGCACTCTTTTGCTCCCTTCTTCCCTGCCCTCTATCATGCCACCATTCCCCGTCCCCCAATCACTCGCCCTCCGTTTCCTCCCCTCATCCCTCTCCCCTCTCCATCCGCTGCACGGCAGATGCTCTCTCCTGCCTGCCCGCTCTCTCACTTTGGTTTCCTAGACGCCCCGTCCCCATCCGCACTCCATCGAGCTGTGCTCTCCCTCACACACCACGGGGCGCTCGCACCCCCAACAGCAGCACCACCACTCACCACCACAGGGGCAACGCAGCAACCAGAAGCTGGAGGCAGATGGGCAGGAGCGGAGGGGGATTGGGGGACGGGATTGCGAAATGGAAGAGATGCAGGGGATGGGGATGGTGGTGATGATGAGTTGGTGGTGACGCCTCTGGGGCATGTGCTGGCTGGACTGCCCGTGGACATACCACTCGGCAAGATGCTGGTATGTCTCTGTCTGCTGCACTCTCTTGCACACCTTTTTCCCTTAACACACACTGCATGCCTCGTGCTGCCTCCACCGCTCGCGCTCTCACCACAACCCGCCAGCTGCCATCCTTTCTGCTGCTTCCCCTGCACGCCTTCCTTTGCCTCGCCCGTTTCCCTGCCTGCCGTTGTTCCGTTTCACGCACTCTGGCCAAGAATGCCTGGCCCTCACTTCCATCAGGGGTGACTGAACACCTCTGCTCTATCTCTCTTCTTCTCAGATTCCCCTTCCGTCTCCTTTTCTTCTCGTACCCTCACCCCACCAGGTGCTAGGCTCACTCTTCCCGCCCATAGCACCCCTCATAGCGCTCCTCGCAGCAGCACTGGCGGTGCCGTCGCCCTTTGTGCGTGTACCCGAGGGCGAGCAGGGGGAGAGGATCCGCACAGCACAGCACCAGCTGCGCAGTGGGGACGGCGATGCGTTCACGCTCATGGCGGTGTTTGGCGAGTGGAGCAAGGTGCACAAGGAGTCCAGCAGAGCCGCGCACCGGTAAGAACTTGGGGGTGGCTTGGGTGGGTAACGTTGGTGTGAACACACTGACTGGCTGTGCAATGGGTTCTCACACGGTATGGTATTTGCAGATGGGGATGCGTTCACGCTCATGGCGGTGTTTGGCGAGTGGAGCAAGGTGCACAAGGAGTCCAGCAGAGCAGCGCACCGGTGAGGATGTAGGGTTCTGGCGCATACAGGCAGAGGAACGTGTAGTGTTGGGGATTGGTGACGTCGAAGAGCAGTCTGCAGGTGCATAGAATTTGACCGCATGTAAGAAGTGTATGGATGTGTGGTATGTTAGGCCTCTCACCTCCATGCCTCTCACCTCCATGCCTCTCACCTCCATGCCTCTCACCACGGGCATGGGCAGGTGGTGCAAGCGGCATGGGGTGGAGCCCCAGCGGTTGATGGAGATGGCAAAGCTGCACCGCCAGTTCACTCACATCCTGCTCTCCACTCGCCTCCTGCGATCCCCAGGTGCTCGGGGTTGTATTGAAGGGCAAAAGGACAGTCCGTATGGTTGTTGAGAGATTCTAGGGATGCTGCTGCTGCAGGGGCAGGTGCTGCTGAGGCAGGGGCTGTTGGCGCAGGTGCTTCTGGGGCAGTTGCTGTACACTTATTCAACATAGATCCACTTGATTGCGCACCTGCAAACCTATTCCCGTTTGCTCCTCCTGCACGCCCCACTCGTGGCGTCAAGCAGTGTCTTTTGGCTTGACTCGCTGTCAAATTCTGTGTGACCCCTTCTTTCATCCCTCCCACTCGCCCACTGGAGCAGCACAGAGGCGTCAGCACATGCAGCAGGGGAGGAAGCGCAGCCGGTGGGACAGAGAGGGGAGTGAGACGGGTGAGAGGGGTGAGGTGGGGCGGGGGGATGACAGGAGGGGAGCAAGGCACAGCAGATGGGATCGGGACGAGCGGCGGCAGCAGCTGATGCAAGTTCAGGTTCGTTGTGTTGCATGACAGGCTGTTTGTTGCGTCGGGGGTGTTTGTAGCATGGCGGGTTGTGGCCTGGACCTGGATGGATGTAGCATACTGGGCTACCAGCTTGGCTACCAGCTTGGCATGCCACCGCGTTCAGTGCGTGCATCCTGTGTACTCCTTTCACCTGCCTGTTGCTCCTGCAGCGCATGCGGCAGGCGAGAGAGAGGGGCCAGAAGCAGCTGCGCCTCAGGGCACAGAACAACGAAGAGGAGGAGGAGGACGACGAGGATGATGAAGGAGGAGGAGGGATTGGTGAGGAGATTGCAGGAAGGGGTGAGGGGGGAGAGGGGCAGCAAGAGGGGGCGGAGGAGGGGTATGGAGGCATGGAAGAGGAGGACCTAGAGGGGTTGGAGTTGAGGCTGTCAGTGGATATGGACCGTGTGGCTTCTCTGGCCAATAAGGAGCTGACACGTGGCGACATTCACCTCATCAAGTTCATTGTGTGTAAGGCACTTCTTTGGACACAGCTCAGCTCAGCTCAGCTCAGCTCAGCTCAGCTCAAGCGCTTTCTTTACGCCTCTCGACCCCTCACACCTCCCCCCACTTCTCCACCCACCCCACTTGTTGCCTGCCCACCCGTGCTGTTTGTTTTCTGCCCCCGCTTTTGTACTCGCCGCCTCTGTACTTTAAGGGTCTCCCCTCTCATGTTTACGCTGCGACTCGTATGTCTGTCTACTCCTCTCTCTCTCTTCATCCAGGCACCTCTCTGTATCCTGGTTCATGTCGCGACTGAGGCATGTGTTTCCCATGTCTATCCATGCCTCTCTCTCTCGCCATCTCATCACACAGGTGCTGCTCTGTACCCCAACATAGCTATTGCGGATGCGCACAATGGCATGCGGCGGGAGAGCGATCAGTTTTTCCACACGCGCCATGTCAGCAGCGCATGCATCCACCCGTGCAGCAGCCTGTGCGGCTCAGACGCGCCCATCACGGCGGTAATCTCACATTCCCTTCACTGCAGTAGATTCACTTTTCCTTTACGCATTCTCTTTGTTAACTCGTGCCATCACTGTACATCATGTGGCGAATGCATCACTGTGTACTGCTTGCTTGTAGGTACCATCTTGTGCATGGCTTCTCCGATGTACCAATGCGTTATTGCTGGATCGTCCACCCATCCTCCTCTTCCTTCCATTGTCTAACGCGGCCTTTGTGTTCTGTCTGTCCTATCCACCCCCTATATACCAACCGCCTCACTCACTGTGCCCATCACCAGAGCGAGCTACTAGTGTACGGCACTCTCTTGGAAACCACCAAGCTCTACCTCTCCAATCTGGTCAGTCAACCTGTTATGCCTTTATTCCTCATGCTCCTTCTCTCTAGTCAGCCTTTGCATCAGTACACTGCTTGGTTCTCTCTCTTTCTCTCTCTCCCTCATCCTTGCCTGCGTCTTGGAACTGCCAAGGTCATGTGTCTCTCTGCCTCGGTCTTTCTCTCCTGTGACCACTGTCTTTCTCTCCTGTGACCGCTGTCTTTCTCTCCTGTGACCGCTGTCTTTCTCTCCTGTGACCGCTGTCTTTCTCTCCTGTGACCACTGTCTTTCTCTCCCGTGACCCCCACAGATGCGCATACCATCGCTGCCAGCGCTGCTGCTCACGAGTCTCTCTATAGACGCCTCCTCCGACAGCACGCGCATGCTGTTTGACGACTGGCTGCTAGTGCGCCTCACGCCCCTCCCCATGGAAGAGGCACGCAGGCTGCTCGTGGTGAGTGTCACGGTTCTCTGATCTTAGGCACCTGGAATTCGTATTTTGACGCCTCGAAAATCACCTCACGCCCCTCCCCGTGGACGAAGCGCGCAGGCTGCTCGTGGTGAGTGCCACCACTCTCCCTGAGGCGCCTCACCAGTCTTCGTACAATGCTTTGGGCATGTGATTGCAGAGTTTAGGGTGCGTGCGCATGTGGTGTGTTCTGTTTATCTGTTGTGTGCCTGAGGGCAGTGCAGCTGATCATGCTGATTCCACCTCAGCTTGCCTTCTTGTATGCCTGGGTATGTATGTGTATGTGTATGCATGTGTTTGCACACATGTGTGTACATGTCTGTGCATGATTGCACACATGTGCGTTCATGTCTGTGCATGTGTTTGCACACAAATGCGTACAAAACATGTGCATACATATCTGTGTTTGCACACATGTGCGTACATGTGTGTGTGCTTGTGCATGCGTGCATGCGTGTGTGTGTGTATCCTGCACTGCAGACAGCAGTGGCCATTCGTCAGGACATCTCGTCCCTCCTCCACCAGCGTCTCTCTGCATTGCGCCCTCACACCCTGCCACAGCACCAGCACCAGCAGCAGACGCAGCAGACGCAGCAGCAGCAACATCAGAGCCACGCTAGTGAATCACAAACCAACCGCACATCACACGAAGCCCACACCCAGGCACCAGTGCGAGTGCGGAGGATACGGGCAGCTGATTTCAGCCAAGCTGCTCTGGGTGGTGATGCACGGGCGTTCATTCAGGCGCTCTGTGAGTGGACTGCCGGCTGCCAGGGTGCCGGGGAGGAGCAGCAAGGGGAGCAGGAGGAGGGGCAGGAGGGTGAGGAGGAAGGGGAAGAGGAGGGCGGGGGTGCGGATGCACAGGTGAAGGAGCTCGCAGGTAGGTCTGGAAGGACATGGGTGGGGGGAGGGGGCGAGTGTTAGAAAGGGTGTGGAGTGAGAAAGGGGGTGGATGAGAGAGGGGAGAGAAGAGGGAGGATGGAGGAGAGGGGTGAGATGGGAGATGGGAGGCGAAGCATAGGAAGTTGGCCCACTGTGCTCACCGCCCTTTTCCACTTATAACCTCTTGCTCGTCCCGCGCTTCATGCCCTCTCCCCCTCTGGCGTTTCTTCTCGAGCAGATCGCATTGCCACGTTCCTGCAGTCCCCTGTGCCCTTCTCCTGCCGCCAGCTCACTCCCATGGGCGCCGCTGCCCTGCTCTCCCACGCTGCCGCCTCAGCAGCTCCAGGCAGTGGTGAGGAACAGGATGGCATACAGAATGTTGCCAGTGCTGCATCTGGCTCAACAGAGACCAAGGAAGGTCAGCCGAGCAGCAGTGGGAAGGCACAGGCAGGCGCTGCAGACAATGCACCGGTGGGCTTGGGCTTAGTGCAAGGCGCACGAGGGAGTGCAGCGGTGGCAACGGCAGCAGTTCTGGTGGAGGAGGGAGAGGCAGCACTGCGGGCAGCAGAGGCATCCAAGAGGTGGGGTGCAGTCCTCTATCCACGTGCCGTTCCTCCCTCCTGCCTCTCACTGCCCCACTTTGTACTCTTGCTGCGACTTTCTCCCCTGTGCTAGTAAAAATCTCGTGCCAGCACAGCTTACCAGACAAGTAATGGAAGCCTAGAGGACTTGGGAAATCTTGGGATGCCTTGGGTCTCAAAAGTCAAGATACAGGCATCTCTCGCCTACATGCCCTCTCCACTGTCCCACTCGCCCACTTCCCCTAATCCCTGTCCCGCACACCCCCCCCCCCCCAACCTCTCCCTTCCAAAATTTTCCCCCCCACTTCTCTCCCTCTGCTCATGTGTGCCCTGCTTCCACCCACGTCAGTGGGAAGCCAATCATCAAGGGCGGCGTTCTCGTGATGCCATTCCTGCGCATCGGGTCAATCCCGTCGCATGAGACAAGCGTCGCCACACAAGCGTCGCTGCACATGCGCAGCCACTGGCAGTGCCCGCTGTGCGGCTCCAAGCTCATCCTCACTCTGCCTGAAACTGTGGACCACCTGCGTGCCTGTGGTAACCTGCCCCGCCAACCCCAGCAGCAGCCTGGCACTGCCACTGCTTCTGCTGCTGGTGCTGCTGCGGCGTCGGCTGGTGCTGCTGCTGCTGCTAGCACGGTGGAGGGTGGTGGAGAAAGGTTGGATGAACGAATGGCAGCAGGTGAAGTGCTGGAGAAAGCAGTTAGTGAGGGCGACGGTGGGGATGGGAAGGGAGCTGTGGGTCGGCGGCAGTATGAGTGCAGTGAGTGCAACGGCAAGACGTTTCTCTTCACTCCACCCCAGATTTTACAGCACAAACGGTGGCACATAAATCAACGAAAGGCTTGTTAAAGGGGTTGATTTGACAGACTCCACTTTTATGGCTATCGAATCAAAGGAAGAAAGCAAAAAGATCTCTACGCAGCGAAAGCATGCGAAAGAAGAACAGGGTAGTTCCATCATTATTTGATCGTATGCTTGGTACGGTAAGTTTCACACTGTGCACGCTGTTTTTCAACAGTCTGCTAATAGTGAGTTCGGGGCTCAAACGCGTTGCAGGCATCGTGCATGGCGCGAACTGAAGTGACAGTGACGGCATTCCAGCCTCCCCTTACAAGACCCGCGCTCGCCGCGAATTCGGAGAGCATGGCGGCACAGGCCCCTTCCTCACCTATAAGCTCCGCGCGCTTCCGCAGCGAAGATCCTCTCCGGCACGCGTGCCGTCGATTAACCCCGCGCTTGTTCCTTCGACAATTACACTCGCGCGCTATTCGTCGACAACGCGGAGCAGTGAGAACGCCGTGGCAGACGAAGCTGGCTTTAGGCGCGAGCGGCGCCAGCGGGGTGTGTTGGACGGCGGCACATGGCAGCCTTGTTTCTTCCGGGGATTCTCGACGGTTGTTAGTGCGCGTCGTGGCATTGCGCGTGTTGGCGGTTGAAGCATCCGCGCAATTTTATAAGAAGCGCCACCCCGCGACGGTTCCGACAGGCAAGGCGCAGCGCGGCTGCGCGCGAAAGCTCGGTGCGGAAGCTCGACGGAGCGCGGTTAAGCGTCGCTTTTAAGATTTCTCAAAAGTAACGCCCGCGGATTTCGCTTACCATGGCCACCACGGGTGCAGCACCAGTACCAGCAGCACCATTACAGGCAGCACCAGCACCGGCAGCACCAGCACCGGCAGCACCAGCACCGGCAGCACCAGCACCGGCAGCACCAGCACCAGCAGCGACAGCGGCAGCGGCGTCAGGAGCAGCAGCAGCGTGCAGGCGAATGATGCTATTGGACCTAGTGGTGGACGATGCCAATCGCGCACACACTCCCAACCAGGTGCCCCACCCTCCCATCCGATCCCATGCCATGCCTGCCACCATGCCGCCATGCCGCCATGCCACCATGCCACCATGCCGCCATGCCGCCATGCCGCCATGCCGCCATGCCGCCATGCCACCATGCCACCATGCCTGCCTCCTCTCGTTCCCATTACTTCCCTCGCCTCCTCATCCGCCCGTCCCTACCATGCCGCCCTCCCGCCCTTCCGCACGCGTCACCCGCAAGGTGCAACCTCGCCCTCTCGTCCTCTACCCCTGTATTCGCTGCTTTACAGGTTGTGCTGACTTTTAAGACGTCTCAAAAGCCGCAAGGTGCAACGTCGCCCTCTCGTCCTCTACCCCTGTATCTGCCGCTTTACAGGTTGTGCTGTATGGTGTGACCCAGGACGGAGCCTCGCTGTGCTGCCGCGTCCCTGGTAGGTTCCATCGAGCCCCAAAGCAGTGTCGCGCTCTGCTTATGCACGACTATGGGCGCCTCTGCCCCTCTCCGCTCCTCCTTACAGTGTGAATCTTGAGTGTGCCTGAGTAGATTAGCATTGCTGCAGTGGTAGTGGTGTGTTTGTGGCTTGTGGTTGTGATGTGTGTGCGTTATTGTAACAAAAATTGCAAGCGAGCAGAGGTCTGCCGCAGCCATGCACGTGCTGTGCTAATGATCTCTCTTTTCTCCTTCCTCCCACTCCCTCCTACCCATGCCTCTCAAATGCTGCAGACTTCCTCCCTTTCTTCTGGTTCCCGTACCCCTCGCTACTGCAACCGCACCCAACATCAAACCACACCACAGTCACTGCTCCCCATACACCATCGCCCACACCATCAGCTGCCCCAGCCACAGATACTGCCCCTTCTGCTGCTGCGCCTTCCAGCCCAGCTGCTACCAGTTCCGTTGTTGCTGCTGCTGTCGCTGCTCTCTCTGGCACAGCCGGCAGCAGCAAAGTTGTATCAGGGAAAGCGGGAGAGAGCGGGGAAGAGAGCGATGGGGCTGATGATGATGATGATGATGATGATGATGATGATGATGATGCCTTTGCTGTTGGTGGCGAGGATGAGCAAGTGGAGGAGAAGGGTGATTATATTAGCGAGGGTGACAGTGATTACAACGAAGGTGCCCCTGTTGCGGCCATGCAAGAAGCGGCGGAGGTTACTGGCAGGAGAATTGGGGCGTCCCAGACAGGAATGTTGTGGGGGGTTGAGGGGTTGCAGGATGCGGAACAGCAGGGAGAGCAGGGAGTGAGTGGAGGAGGAAGAGGAGGAGGTGGAGAAGATGGAGGGGAGGGTGGCGGGGAGAGGGAAGAGGATGTGCGAGGGGTGTGTGAGCGGGTGAAGCGATGGTTGAATGCATATGTGTTGGGATTGACAGGCAGAGCACGGAGCAAGGGGCAGAACCACATCAAGGGCGAGCCGGTCAGTGCCTCTCCTTAAAAGAAAGCTACCCAACAAGCTAACTATCTACCACCTGCAGTGCCAATGGTGCGACGAGCATCAGCACTAGCAGTTGCAACATGCAAGCGCAAATGTTCCATACCATGTCCTGTGCCTCAGCCTGCCCTGCTCCACACTCCTTGTACCTCACACGCCCCAATCATCCAATCCGCCTCGCCCGCTCATCCACCCACCCACCCATCATCCACAGCTCACATCCTCTGTATGCGTCCTTCTACCCACATACCCATCCATCCACCCACCACCAGGTGGCGCACATGGCTATGGAGCTCCGCACCCCCATCGTCTACTACCGCCCTGATGGCCCCTCACGCTACCTCAAGGTCACACGCTCTTTCCACTTGCTTCTTACTCGCAAGCAATCGCCTTTTTTCACTTTCTTTCACGCGCTTTTCGCTCGCAAGCAACCCTCAATTCCCTTCCTACCCTACACGTGGCATGCCTGCCAGGTGTACGTGTACCATGCGCGAGCCATGCCAGCTGTCGCAAAGGCATTGGTGGAGGCAGCAGAGAAGGGCCTCATGGCGTCTGAGGGCCTGCAGTGGCCACGTGGCAGCGAGCCATTGGAGGATAACATCAAGGTGAGAACAGCTGCGTGGGTGGCAGCAATGGCAAGATGAATAAGAGCCTTGTGTACATTCCATACCTCTCATCTCATGTTTCATCTTGTACCCCTCCTCCCTCACCTCTCGTGTCCCTCTGCTGCTCTCTTTTCTCCCGCCCCAACCAGCTGCCCATGCGATTCCTCGCGGAGACCTCTCTAGCCGGGGGTCATGGTGTGTGCTGCACGCGCCGCTCATTCTGGCCACCCGCCCCTCTCTTGCTGCAGCACCAGCTCCTCCCCTACGGCGCTCTCCCTCTCCCTCTCCCTCTCCCTCTCCCGTTCATTCAGCAGCATCGACTGTGCCACCCAACAAAGCAGAATCACATCTTTCTGCCAGCACCACTGCAGCTCCCAGCCGCACTTTGACTCTTACTTACTGCCCTCAGTGCGGAGTGGACATGGCAGCAGCCTGGCTCCATGGGACGAGCGCCGCACAGCTCAGCCACAGTCATGCATCTGCTGCCATCGCCATTGCACCTGGTGGCGACGGTGCCTCGTCCGTGCGTCCTCTCCTTGCTCGTGTATCGCGCTGTGCCGTTGAGTGCGTGTCCTCGTGGCGTTCCCTGCAGTCGCTCTCTCCTGACGTCCTCTCCACTCACGGCACACCCGATGCTAGTGCCACTGCCACCCGGAGGGCTGCCCCACCACCATTGGCTGCACCAGTGGCAGAATCACCAGCACCACCAGCACCACCAGCACCACCAGCACCACCAGCACCACCAGCACCACCAGCACCACCAGCACCACCAGCACCACCAGCACCACCAGCACCACCAGCACCACCAGCAGCAGCAGCAGCAGCAGTTGGTAGATCAAGGAAGCAGGCTCAACATGGGCAGCCGCACCAGCAGCAGTACCGAAATCGACCCCACCGTCACACCAGCAACACCGGATGCCAACGAGGGAGGGCCTTATCCTAGTGCGAAACCTGCTGAAGCCACTGCAGGTGCTGGCAAGGGGGGGGTTGGGGAGATGGGTGGACTGGTGGATAGGTCAGTGCTGCAGCTGGCGCCACTGGTGGTGCTGTGCATGCATGTGGTGAGCGGTGCTGGGGGCAGGGTGGCTGCTGGAGCCGCAGGGAGGGATGTGGGTGGGCGTAAGGGGAGAATGGTAGGAGAGGAGGGATGGGGAGGTTTGGTGCTGGGAGTGGGTTAGGGACGGGTGGAGAGAGCCGGGTGAAACGGGGGAGGGAGTTGGGGGAAGAGGAGCGAGGCGGAGACGGAGATGGGGGAGCAGGGCGGACGAAACGAGGGAGGGAAACGGTTGAAGGGAAAGGGGATGCAGTGAGAGAGGAGGATGGTGGTGGGTTGGGTGAGACGGGTGAGGCTGGTGACACAGCAGATGAAAGGGGTGAGGGGAGTGAGGAGAGGCAGGAGAAGACAGCAACGGCGCGTGGCTTGTTTGGTGTGAATGCTGGGGAGGGTAGCAATGCGGACGAGGCGGAAAGGAGTTCTGAGTCGCCTACACCAGGGTTAAAGGCAGAGGGCGTCCGCACAGGGTCGCGAGGCGTAGGTGCAGGCGCAGGTGCAGATGCGTGGTGGCGACCGCATGGTGGTGGTGGTGCTACTGCGAGTGCGAGGGGGGGAGCTGGAGGGGGTTCAATGGGACTCGGAGGTAGTGGGGGTAAGGAGAGCGGGGGAAAGCATGGCTCAGGCAGAGGGAAGGGGCGGGGGAACGGCAAGGGGAAGGGGAATGGGAAGGGGAAGGGGAATGGGAGAGGGGGAAGAGGAAGCGGCAGAGGAAGAGGAGGTGTAGGAGGGAGGATGAGTCCTGTGTCAGGAGGGAGTGGGAGAAGTGGCGGAAAGGAGAGAGCAGAGAAGACGGAGAGACCTGTTCACTGGTGGTTTGGGCTACGAAAGGGGAGGGGAAGGAGCAGGGTGGAAGCAGTAGCGTTATCAGTCATGTCCGCTCCACCCCTCCTTCGCATATCACACCACCTGCTACCTCTAATCACCCCTCCCCTGCGTCCTCCTCCCGTACCACCATAGCATCCACCCATCATCTTCCGCCACCATCTCCTTCCCCATCCGCCACTTCCCAATCCGCCCCAGCTGCCCCTCGTCCCCCCCTCCATTCCCCCCTCCCTCCTTCCCACTGCTTGTCTTCTACCCCTGCGAAGTCCCCTCTTCCGCCTCCTAACCGCTCTCCTCTCCCCTCCCCCCTGCATACTCCCCCTGCTCCTTCCTCTGGGGACATTGAATCGCTAGGGCTCATTCTTGGGGGGGGCACCACTCAGGCTAGTCGGGATCCTGTCCTCGCTATAGCGCACGTCATTAGTGGCACAAGGCGGGTGGGAGGGAGAGGAAAATGGGTTAGCGCAAGGACGGTGGAGGAGAGAGTTGGAGGAGGGGAGATTGGAGATGAAACGGAGGGTAGAGGGAAACGGGAGGGTGGAGCACAGGAGGAGGGCTGTTTGGAAGAAAGGAAACGAGGGTTTGAGCACCGGGTGTTGATTTTCACTCACTCCACTGCTGCTGGTGCTACTACCGCTGCTGCAAGTGAGGGGTGTGAGGGCGCATGTGCTGCAAGGGAA